CCGACCTGAAGCCCGGTCGAGAACATGCCGCGCATCTGCGTGGGCGAGATCTCGGAAATGAGCACGTTGGAGACGTTGATGGCGGCGCCGGACGCGATACCCGAGACGACGCGGCCAAACGAGAAGAGGTAGATCTCGCTCGAGACCGTCTCGAGGACACCACCGACAATCATCGTGATCGCAATCAAAAAGAGCGTGCGCTGGCGACCAAACTTGTCGGCGGGGTACCCGCTGGTCATGGCGCCGATCGCACCACCGACGATCCACGCCGTGACGGCCATCGTCCACTCGTTGCCCGAGTGGCCGGGAAACATGATGCACGCCTTGTCCGGGATCGGGTTCTTCGCGCAGTCGACGTTGAACGGACGGTAGTTGAGCTGCGAGAGGAGCCAGCCAAATTGGAACGAACCCATGAGCGCGACCGCGATCGTCACATACAGAATCGGCATCGGGATCAAGGCCGCGGCGTGCTCTTCGTGCATCATGCTCTCGAGACGACTGAGGCGGACACGCGACGTGCTGCGGCGGGACGCGCGCCATGATGTACTCGCACGGGGTTCGTTCAGGCCGCCATCGTCGGATCGCGGAGTGTCCTGAATGGCCACATAGTCGTCGGTATGTTCGTTGTGGTGTGCGTCTTGGAGGGCGACGTAGTCATCGTTGTGGTCTTGGATGGCCGAGGCCTTTGGTAGTGGCGAGATGGCTTTGGGCGCTGGCAATTGCGCTGTGTCGGCCATGGTGAATTGCAAAATGGTCAAAAGCGCTGCGGCCGCGGAAGACCAGGAGGTAATCTATGTTACTGCCACTTCGCGTGGCTCGGTTCTCTGCCGCTTCCACATCACTGCGTCAAGTAACACGATTAGCGGGTGACTACCTTCGATGTTTTAATAGTGTAGGTAGTGACTAAATGTGTTTGTATTGGATTAACACGATTTACGTACTTTGCGTGGTGAGAATGCGACTTTGCCTTAGGTTTGAAGTTCAAGAATGTTGGCGCCAAGTCTCCCATTTGCTGCTGCGTTTATCGCACGAAGAATCTTTTCAACGCCTATACAGCGTGTTGTCGCCGCGTACTGTCTTGCTGCGCGCGGTGAATCAGTCGAATGATGACGAAAGGACGCGGCTGAGTGTTGATGGCAACTTCGCCGCGCAACCACGCACCGTGATGCGATGTATCACTTACAGTGAGGGTGGAGCGACGAGCGTACGGCAAGTCGAGCCAAACACATGCCGCTATCGCACCCGTATCCGAGAGCAAGCTGCAAGTTACGGGGCCGGCCATAGTCTTTGAAGTCGCGTTTTGTATGCTTGCCAAACCGTACCGGTGCGCCGTCACAAGCTCGCCAGGATTTGGGCCAATCCACGCCCTCATGTGGTCGTGATTTTAGCCAATCCACGCGCGTATCCAAATTCTAGCCAATGAAAACGCGCTGGGACATCTGTGGGGACAAAGATCGATGGAACTGGTCCTGTGGCACGACGGCCTTGGCAGCGACGACGACGCAGCGACGGACGAAGAGTCAGCGGCGCGTGTCTTGTACTTCTTCCCGCCACGGGCCGTCGCTGACCAGCTCAACGTGCTCCAGCTGCTCCAGGGCGCCCATGCTTTCGCGTCCAGCTTTGGCGCGACCTCGGCCGCCGACGCGACGCATGTCCAGCTCACGACCATGCGCTACTGCTATCGCCGCTGTGAGTCGCACGTGTGGATTGCTCTCGTATGTGTACGCATGGACCTATCGCTTCTATGCGTCGTGCTCTAGGGCGTACAGACGCGCGACGACGACGCGGTACGTGACCACGCAAACGCGCCGCCGGGAACGCCAACTTGCCTAGGCCGCATGCAGCGAAGCGGCGATGGAAGCTGCGGTCGACCAGCTCTACGCGACGTTTCGGCTCTTCTACGGCAGCATTGAAGCGTACGGCACCAACGTACTTCGCCGCTCATGCCCAGCGTAGGCGCCTCGCCACGAATCGCGCGGGCACGTCGGGCATGGCCGTTCTCGAGCAAATTGGTGCGTCGCGCAAGCTGCTTCGCAAAGCCTCTTCGTACGATACTGCATGCAATGCACCATGGACTAGAGCGCAACGTGTAGGCGGGCGCTGCAGGTGCGGGACGACGCCGACACGAGCGCACTCGAGGCAGCGCACGAGAGGGTCGAGAGCCTCCGCGTCTCGCTCGCGCAGCTTGAAGACGCCTCTCCGATCCACGCGTTTCGTCGCGTGTGCGCCGACTTTTTCCCTGTCTTTGCCCAGGCGCTCGGACTCGACGAACAAGTGACGTGCTTTAGCGACCTCCACGGTACACCTCGCCTGTGTATGGTCGTGGGTTCAAGCCAGCAAGTGGACGCTAGGGTTGGTGTACTACCCAGAAAGCAAGCACCTCCAGCTATGCTTTCAGTTGCTTCTTCAGAGTCTCTCGACCGAGCTTCCCGCGATCGTGTCGGCGGCCGCGTTCGTCCACGGTAGTGAAGTCATGGCTCACGGCGCCCACTGTCTCGTTCTATTAGGACAAGTTGTCTGGACGCAGCTGCCTTTCGAGCAGCTGGCCTTGCTCTACACTGTACTCCGGCTCCGCGAGCAAGAGGGCTATGTGCGTGCGCACCCTGCGTCGCCGACGTCGCTGTGGATGGACCAGACATACTCTGCTGCTTACTCCCCCGTGTGGGCCACCAAGCAAGCCTACACCGAGATGAACGGAAGCCCAAGTCCGCTGCTTAAGCGCCGACCAAGGTAGTACCACAACCGACTTGCCAATTTATAACGCGCCATGTCTTAGTGCGCGCGAGTACTTGGCCGAAGTCACCAACTCGTTCAAGAACCCGAGCCCACACGCCGTCAACCACGGTTTACAGTGCGTCGACGGGACGTTTGCTCTGCTTGGAGCCAAGGACATTTGGGCGCCGGCCATTTCGCTGCTCGTGAACAGACAGCAATGCCACCTTCTTGTGTGGCAGGTGGACCACGTTATCTTGTGTCGGTACCGAGCTTGACAGGCTATGGTAGGAGCTGCTTGTTACGTTGGTCTTTGTCGTGGAAGCGAACGACGCGGTCGCACTCTCACGTACACGACGTCTTCGGTCGCCTGGGACTTACCACATTGCTGTGCTAGGCGTCTGTGGCGCGCTACAGGACGTTCTCGACGGACATGTGCATGTGCGAGAGGCTTCGCGGCGCACAGTGTCGCCGCCAACAGCGTCATCGTCGTACGTCCTTCCATGATCTGCCCTCGCAGCTAATGGCATTTAGGTCGGTCTGGTCGTTCATTCACGTAAACCGCATGACGCTGGGCGTGCAGCTCCACAACCTCGCCAAGTTGCGCAGTAAGTCCCGGGTACGTGATGCTGCCGCGCCAACGAGGCGACGTCAAGTAGGATGGTGCTGGTATGCCGCTGCGACTTCAGGCAGCCAGTGTACCTCGGCCACTCCTCGACGTTCTCAACCACGCCCACGCCGCGATGGCCGCGTATGCTTTGTATGGTGCCTTGTAGATGCGTGAACCGTCGTAGGGATACGGCGCTGCTGGATGTATGCGTTCGGACGCCGGGCGACGGCTGGGTCGTCGCCCGGCGATCGGGAACGGTCGGTCGCGAGCTCTACGCATTCTTTGATGCGAGCGTCGAGACGCTTGGCGACTTGAGCAAGAGCATGACCGAGCTCATCCTGCACGACTTTGAGAGCACTTTTATGTAACGTTAGTCTATCTTTCTACATGTCGACCCTACCCCTGTAACACTCTCACACGTGCCTCTACTCGTCGAGACTACGCATGCATCCTACTTATGTCCACCTTATATAGTAGAACTCTCCTCGTCGTCGATCGCACGCAGAAGCTTGTCATGGGACGAGACGGAGCGCGGCGGGTGGTGGGCAAAGGCCACTTGAATTTCATCAAACGTCTTTTGCGCAGTCTCGGGCACTACGGAATAGACAAAGCAGAGGACACCGAGGAGGTACCCGACAAACAGTAGAAAGGTATAGCTGCCGAGAACCGACGGGTCGGCCAAGAGCGGGTAGAAGACGCCAACGACCAAGTTGGCCAGCCACGTGGTCATGGTGCCGACGGCGCCTGCACCCGCGTGAAGAAAATCGGGAAAGATTTCAGCCGACACCATCCACGCCATCGGGCCGATCGAGAGACAGAACGCGCCGACAAAGATCCCGGTGGATGCAATAGAGAGCAGCGGACTGGCATAAAAGAGCGAGACGACGATGCCTCCGGATGCGAATGCCATGAGCGATAGAAATCCCAGCAGCAGCGTCCGTCGCGGGAACGTGTCCATGATGCGCGCCGCCACCAAGATCATGCTCGTGCGCACGACGTTGATGATCGTGTTGCCAATGCGCGGGTCGCTCACGCCGGCGCTCGCAAAGATGGACGATGAGTAGTACATGACGGCGTTGATACCGCAGAGCTGCTGCGCCGAGCAGAGCACGATCGCAATGATGAGTTGCTGGCGGTACTTCTTCGAGAAAAGCAGGCTCCAAGTGTTCACGCCAGCAGTCTCCTTGACCTCGTCGTCGTGGGCTGATAGCATGCCTTGTAGAATGCCTTCGTAGTCGCACGGGCGGTACAACTGCTGGAGCTCGGTCAAGGCGAGGGCCGTCTCGCCGTGCGTGACGAGCCACACCGGACTTTTCGTCGTGAGCGGGATCAAGAGGATCTGCGCAATGCCCAGCACGGTCGGGAACCCGACAAGGATGCGCCAGCCGCTGCCGTACCCGACAAAGTAGTGGACCGTGGTCACCGCCAACGACCCGAACGCGACGCCGACCTGAAGCCCGGTCGAGAACATACCGCGCATCTGCGTGGGCGAGATCTCGGAAATGAGCACGTTGCAGACGTTGATGGCGGCGCCGGACGCAATACCCGAGACGAGCCGGCCGATCGAGAAGAGAGTGATACTATCGGCGGCTGTCTGCAGCGCGCTCCCCAGTACCATGACGATGGCGTTGACAAGCAGCGTGTAGTGCCGCCCAATGTGATCGGCCGGATACCCACTGCCACTGGCGCCGATCGCACCACCGACGATCCACGCCGTGACCGCCATCGTCCATTGCTTCTCCGAGTGACTAGGAAAGAGGATGCACGCCTTGTCCGGGATCGGGTTCTTCGCACAGTCGACGTTGAACGGACGGTAGTTGAGCTGCGAGAGGAGCCAGCCGAATTGGAACGACCCCATGAGCGCGACCGCGATCGTCACGTACAAGAGCGGTGTCGGGACTAGAGCCTTCGCATGCTCTTCGTGCAGCATGGCTTCGAGGCGACTGAGGCGGACCCGCGAATTGCTGCGGTGTTTGGCGCGGATGGACAAGGCCGGCGGTGCGTGCTTGGGCGTGCCCTCGATGGCCACGTACGTGTCGTTGGGCGACGGCAGCGGCGTCGCGACATCACGGAACGACATGCGTCCGACTTTGCACGAGCCAAAATATCGAACGACCTGCGCATGTCCGTTTCCGCCGCCACGTGCAAGCAACCGCCGTAAAGACCTTGTGCGCAGTAGCGATGGGAGCTATATTGCCAAGCACAGGGCTCCAGAAGATTGGGCACCTTGCTTGAATGCAGCTTTTCCCAACCTGCAGAAGTATTCTCAATGCGTTTGGCCTCTAAGAACTTATCGAAGAACTTCGGGTGTAGTGGGCTGTCGGCCTTGGAGCTGGTCGCTTGACCACACGATGCCGCGAAGACAGTCCTTTCACGGGCATTGCATGCCGAAAATAAGGCTCGACCTTGGTTTTTGGAGGTCACGAACTTGACTCTTTTCGAAGCCGACAAATCGTCGCCGAGGGCAGCAGCAGACGACATTCCACCACGAGACAGTGGCCAAGGATGGGCGGCCTCAACAAGCGTCCCAACGCGGTATTGCAAACGTCACTGCATGTGCCCGTTCAATAACAATGTCTCGAGCGAGCTTCGTCCGTCAACCTGGTACCGTGCTTGAAGAAGTGGCACGTAAGATGCAATCAGATTCCTAAATTCTATTATTTAAGTCGTCGCGATGTCGCTACTCAAAGCTGTCGAACGGGTCGACTTCGGCCACGGCCTTGGGCGACGGCGGCGAGACGCGGTCAAACTCGGCTTGGATCTCGTCAAACGTGCGCTGGGCCGTCTCGGGCACAACAAAATAAATGAAGGTAATGAAGATGACGAGGAGGCCGAGGAAGATGAGGAACGCATAGTCGCTAAGCACGTCCGGCTTGGAGAGCGTCGGGTACGAGATACCGACCAGAAAATCACCGCTGAACGTAAACATGGTGCCCACGCCGCCTGCGCTCGCATGCAGATAGTCTGGGAAGATCTCGGCAGCGACCATCCACGCCATTGAGCCGATCGAGAAGCAGTACGCGCCGACATACGTCGCCGTCGCAAGCACAGAGAGAATCGGACTGGCGTAGATGAGCGAGATCGAGATGCAGGTCGCCGCCGCCGCCATGACGCCCATACCAAAGAGGAGAAGCGTCCGCCGATGGAACTTGTCCATGACCTTGGCGGCAAACACCATACCAATGGTACGGACCACGTTGATGATCGTGTTGCCAATGCGCGGGTCGTTCACGCCGGCGCTCGCAAAGATGGACGACGAGTAGTACATGACGGCGTTGATACCGCAGAGCTGCTTGGCCACACAGAGCACGATCGCAATCGTGAGCTGAAGGCGGTACCGTTTCGAGAAGAGCGACTGCCACGGGTTGATGCCCACCGTCTCCTCGACCATCTCGTCGTGCGAAGCTTGAATTGCGTGCAAAATGGCCTCCGTATCGCACGGCAGGTACAACCGGTTGAGTTCAGCGAGGGCCAACTCGGGCTTGCCGACAGAGATGAGCCACACAGGACTCTTGGCCGTGAACGGAAGAAGAAAGATCTGGAGCCCACCAAGCGCGATCGGGAACCCAACAAGGAGCCGCCAGCCGTACGAGTAGCCGATAAAGTAGTGGCACGTTGTGACGGCGAGCGAGCCGAATGCAATCGCGACTTGAAGGCCCGTTGCGAAAAGACCGCGCATCTCCATCGGCGAGATCTCGGAGACGAGGACGTTGGCGACGTTGACAGCGGCGCCAGCAGCAATACCCGAGACGAGGCGGCCAAACGCAAAGAGGTAGATGCCCGTGGACGCGCTTTGAATCACTGCGCCGGCAATCATGATGATGGCATTGAGGTACAAGGTGCGTTGACGGCCATACTTGTCGGCGGGGGCGCTGCTGCCAATGGTACCGATGGCCGCGCCGATGGTCCAGGACGTGACCGCCATCGTCCACTCAGTGCCCGAGTGACCAGGAAACATGATGCAGTTGTCCGCCGGAATCGGAATCTCGCCGCACTTGGAGTTGAACGGCTTGTAGTTGAGCTGCGTGAGGATCCAGCCGAGTTGGAAGGTGCCCATGAGCGCAACCGTGATCGTCAAGTAGAGTGCACGTGCTGGCTGCAGTGCTTTCGAGTGCTCCTCGGTAATCATCGACTCGAGGCGGCTGAGATGGCGTCGGGAGGACGACCGGTTCGCGGACCGCGACGTCGCTCGCTTGCCATCGCCGAGCGTCGGTGAAGACGGCGGTATCGCCACAAAGACGTCCGGTTTGGGTGTCGAGACGAGGCCAAAATTGGTGGTTGGAAGGAGTTGTGCGCCGGCCATTGCAAGTTGTCGAGTGCTGTGCCATCGCGCCAAAGATCGCAGGTTTCGGCACGTGTCTCTGTGCGCCACCCATTCTATGTTGCAGATGAGATTGAACTTTGCAAGCAGTGTCGTGCGCGCGCCACGTCATATCGTGGTCCAGTCATGCTTTCTTTTATGGCCAATATGAGCTGCGGCCTCTGGATGCAGCAAGTGCATTGGGAAATGAGAAATGTGTGTCAGCGGTACCAACAATGATTTGTATTGCCCTTGAAAATACTACGCACTTCAGTTGCCGTTGTCGCTGCGACGACATGACAACCGGGTTCTCCTTCAAGGTGCGCCAACGGCCGCAGGAGTATGCATGAGGAAGCCACGACGTCGGACGAAATGTCGTTCGTCCTGGCGCGGACCCTCGACAAATTTTGTCGAGGGTCCACGCCAGGAACAGGATCGGCCAAGTTGGTTCCTCAGTTTTGCCGACGCTTGCGACGCCCAAGATCACACTGTGGTCAGTGCACGGATGCACGGCGGATGGAATCAGCAAAATTCTCGCGCTTGTCGTCGTCGCATCAGCTTTCCGAACGACAGGCCATTGCCAGTTGCGCCTGTGGTGATGATGGGTGCACGGTTGGACTTGCCAAAGACAGCGCAGATTTGCAGCCAAATAATGGGCGAGGTTGTACCGGATCAAACGTCTGGCGCTTCATACCATCCGGATACTAAAAGCAGTCCGATTGTTCTAGAACAACCGATGCACTGTCATGACAAAACACACAAATTAGTTTATAAATCTAGTGGGGTACCTAGTCGATGCTCGCGTACGGGTCCAATTCGACTTGAGCTTTGGGCGACGAAACCGGGAGCGGGTTGAAGAGCAGCTGGATCTCGTCCGAGGTCTTGTGCGACGTCTCGGGGAGCATAATGTACGTAAAGGACGCGTAGCCAACGAGGAAGGCGAAGAAGAGGAGGAACGCATAGTTGGAGAGCGCGTTGGCGGCTGCGATCGACGGGTAGAAGAGGCCGACGATGAGATCGGCGATCCACGTGGTCATGGTGCCGACGCCGCCGGCCTTGGCGTGGAGAAAGTCGGGAAAGATCTCGGCCGTGAGCATCCACGCCATCGGGCCGATCGAGAGCGAGAAGGCGCCGACAAAGATTGCCGTCGAGACGAGCGACACGATCGGGTTGGCGTAAATGAGCGAAAAGACAACGCCGAGCGCCGCGATGGCCATGGCCGAGAGACCCGACACGAGCAAAGTGCGGCGCTTGACCTTGTCCATGATGCGGGACGCGACGAGGATGCCGCCCGTGCGCACAATGTTGACGATCGTGTTGCCGACGCGCGGGTCCGTGATGCCGGCGTCAAAAAAGATGTCGGACGAGTAGTACATGATGGCCGTGATACCGCACAGCTGCTGCGCCGAGCAGAGCACGACCGCGATGAGGAGCTGCTTGCGATAGCGCTTGGAGAGGAGCGCTTGCCACGCGTTGATCTCGGCCTGCTCCTTCTCTTCCTCTTCGTGGGCCGCGATCATCGCTTGCAGCATCGCCTTGGTGTCGATGGGCGCAATATACAGACGCGTCATTTCCGCAACAGCTTCGTCATGCTGCTGGTGGGCGACGAGCCAGACAGGGCTCTTGGCCGTGAACGGCAGCAAGAAGATTTGGACCGCACCCATGACGACCGGGAACCCGACGAGGAAGCGCCAGCCGTACGAGAAGCCGACAAAGTAGTGGCACGTCGTCACCAGGAGCGCGCCGGACGCAATGAAGATCTGGATACCGGTGCCGAGCGTACCGCGCATGTGCGTGGGCGAGATCTCCGTGATGAGGATGTTGGCGACGTTGATGGCCGCGCCAGATGCGAGGCCCGAGATGAACCGACCGACCGAGAAGAGGTAGACTTCCGTGGACGCGGCTTGGACGGCGCCACCGACGATGATCACGATCGCGTTGAGAAAGAGCGACCGCTTCCGGCCAAACTTGTCGGCGGGCACACCGCTGCCCATGGCGCCAATGGCCGCGCCGAGAATCCACGTAGAGATGGCCAGCGTCCACTCGTTCTCCGAGTGACCCGCAAACATGACGCACGCTTCGTCCGGAATCGGCACCTTTTCGCACTCGAGGTTGAACGGACGGTAGTTGAGCTGCACGAGGCACCAGCCGACCTGGAGGCACCCGATGAGCGCGACGGCTGCCGTAATGTACAGCGCCGACGTCGGCATGAGCGCGGCCGCGGTCTCGTCGGGCAGCATGGCTTCGAGGCGACTGAGGCGGACGCGGGACGTGGATCGGCGGGATGCGCGAAGCGAGCCGGTGGACCCGGTGCGTTTGAGGTCGTCGGCCTTGGCTTTCGGCGAGCTCTTCATCGGAAGAAACACGTCCGGCTTGGGCTGGGTCGTCGGCGTGGTTGGCGCCGTGACGTAGGCGGCGGTTGGTGTCGAGGCCATGGAAGCAGGACAGCAGCCGTGAGGCAGTGGAGTGGTGCTGGGAAGTGGAAAGTTGTAGAATGAGCTATTTGGGCTGCTTGATTTCTCAAGATTCACGTGTGCATCGCGTGCGTGCGTGTCTTCGCAGCCCGATGACCTGGCAACATGCCGTTTTTATGCTACGGCGACGTCGCAAACCACTGGCTTGGCGGCCAAAACAGTGTTTGCATTTGCGACATGTGGCTGGGGCAGATAAAAATGAGTTCAACTTTCCGCGCTTTTTACGCGTGGCACGCGCCTGGAATCGCCCTGCTGTCGTCGCCGTCGGGTGTTGGCTTTCGTTGGATGCGGTCGCAACGACCGATGCGCCATCAAGTTACGACTTTGGGACACTGTCGATGCACTGTTCGAGTACGCAGAGTCTTGAGGCAGTGTTGCAGCGTGGGATGGGAGTTTTCTTGTGTGCTACAGTGCCGCTTCCAGAGGAGCGGGCGAACGAACGTTGTAGCGTAGCCACGAGAAGATTGGTGTCAGCGCAGGCACCACATAAAACATGCTAGCATCCAGGTCACTTTGTTCTCGAGCATAGCTTCTGCTCGAATACAGTGCTGTGTCTCGAACCCGTGTACCTAGCCGGCGACGAATCGGCGCGACCGCCTAGGATAAAACGTCAGAAGAAGGCGAGGACGCGAAAAGGAAGTGCGTGGGAAAGCCACGGACCTGCAGCGAACGAGGTACGCACCTGCTAGCAACACAAGCGACGAGTGCGTCGGTCACGGGTCAGCGATTGCGCCGCCGTTGCAAACTCCGTGTGGCTTGCCACCACAATAGAGACCGCGTGTGCTAAGTAGTACGTACACGTCCCAGTTCGCCTCGCAGTACAGTCGACGATGCGCCTGACTGGGCACGGCAGGTGCACTGAGCACACTTCTTGTCGTCCAAGAAGGTGCCTGTTTCTTGAACGGCGCTAGAGAATGCGACCCCGTGCCTCGTCCCGTGCGATGGCTAGCAATTACGCTCGCTGCTGTCTACAGCGCTGCTCGTCACTCGCACTTGGATCGAATCGTCGGTCTGTGATTGGTTGGATGAGTACGGATAAAAAGCCAGCCAATCCGCGATGGCCCGCACGCAATGGCAGCGCGACCTGCGGCGCGCCGTGTGGCGGCAGCTAATGTTGGACCGCCACGAGCAGCACCCGCTGGTGCAAGGGGCGCTCTCTTCTCTGAGCGCTCTCTATGGCTCACTGAGTGCCCTTCGACGCAGCTATTATGCCTCACAACCGCGCCAGCGCCTGCCCCTGAGCACGATCAGCTTTGGCAATGTCACGTGGGGCGGGACGGGCAAGACGCCGTGCCTGCACCACGTCGCGCGGTACCTCGCTGGGCGTGATGTGCCCTTCATGCTTGTGTCTCGGGTACTTGCTGAAAGCTTGGGAAAATCGTCATTTCGCACGCGTAGGGCTATGGCGACGACGAGTGGAAGATGTTTGCCGCCGAGTTCCCAGAGAGCACGTTGGCGCTAGGCGCGCACCGCTACAAGGCAGCAATGGCTCAGATATCAGCACACAAGAGGTGCCTCTTGGCTATACCACGTCTGAGCTTATTTGCTCGTGTAGTAGAAAGCCGGCGATCGCGCTCCTCGACGACGGTTTGCAGCAGTACTCGCTGCACAAAGATCTTGAAATCGTCATGCTGGACGCATACAATCCGTTTGGCAATGGCGCACTGCTGCCCCAAGGACGTTTGCGCGAGCGGCCCGAGGTGGCGCTGCCGCGCGCCGACATTGTGATCCTCCATCACGCCGACCACTTGGACCCTACCGACGTCGCCGCACTAACGACCCGCATTCGCCCGTATGGCCACTACAGCCCATGAAGTATGCGCTGACCTCGCATCAAATTAGGTGGCTCCGACCGGACACGGTGGTCGCGACAACCCGCATGGAGATCACGGCGCTGCCCCTTGCGTCGGAGGCGGCTGCATGTGTCCAGACACGCGTGGCACCGCCTCTCGCGACGAAAGAAGCCGCGCTCGTCGTCGGCCTCTGTGGCATTGGCTGCCCCGCGTCGTTCGAGGACGCGTTGCGCAAGGTCTTTCCAGCGGCGGCGCTGCACATGGAAATCTTCCCAGACCACCACGCCTACACGACCGAGGATCTCCACTCGGTTGCCTCGGCGATCGAGACGCTACGAGATGGCCGCGACGTTCTTGTGGTGACGACCGAGAAGGACTTTTTCCGAACCCCCGCGCTTCTCCAGGCAAACTTGGGTGCTGACTACGAGCTCCGTGTCGCGCTGAGCCAACTGACCTTCATCCAAGAGCGTGCCGCTGTCTTTGCACGCATCGACAAGCTTCTCGCGACACCACGTGAAGCGTAATTGCCTAAGCCCAAGTACCTCCGTACATGCTCTGCTTCACGTGCATCACCGCGGTTGAGTAACTTAGCTGCTCAGAGTCAATGCAGCGCGAAATGAAAGAACTGTCTGCGGCCAGCATAGACAAACAAACGCCTCCAAAGACGACGACGCCCACAGACACCACCCACGCAGTTGCGCTTGGTGCTGACCATGTTCCGGCCCGTGCCGTCATTCGCAGACAAGACATGCAAGCTCTGCGTGTTCTATGCTAACGTGTCTTCGCAGCTCCTCCGCGACAAACAAATTGGCGTGTCGCATCCAGTGTATCGAAATCCAAACACTGGCTGGCTTATCACACGGGCGCATAAATCAGCGACCGCAAAAAACGACCACTCTGCCGGGCCAAGATACGCACGCAAGAAATCAAGCAGATATCCACCAGCTCATTCTACAACTTTCCACTTCCCAGCACCACTCCACTGCCTCACAGCTGCTGTCCTGCTTCCATGGCCTCGACACCAACCGCCGCCTACGTCACGGCGCCAACCACGCCGACGACCCAGCCCAAGCCGGACGTGTTTCTTCCGATGAAGAGCTCGCCGAAAGCCAAGGCCGACGACCTCAAACGCACCGGGTCCACCGGCTCGCTTCGCGCATCCCGCCGATCCACGTCCCGCGTCCGCCTCAGTCGCCTCGAAGCCATGCTGCCCGACGAGACCGCGGCCGCGCTCATGCCGACGTCGGCGCTGTACATTACGGCAGCCGTCGCGCTCATCGGGTGCCTCCAGGTCGGCTGGTGCCTCGTGCAGCTCAACTACCGTCCGTTCAACCTCGAGTGCGAAAAAGTGCCGATTCCGGACGAAGCGTGCGTCATGTTTGCGGGTCACTCGGAGAACGAGTGGACGCTGGCCATCTCTACGTGGATTCTCGGCGCGGCCATTGGCGCCATGGGCAGCGGTGTGCCCGCCGACAAGTTTGGCCGGAAGCGGTCGCTCTTTCTCAACGCGATCGTGATCATCGTCGGTGGCGCCGTCCAAGCCGCGTCCACGGAAGTCTACCTCTTCTCGGTCGGTCGGTTCATCTCGGGCCTCGCATCTGGCGCGGCCATCAACGTCGCCAACATCCTCATCACGGAGATCTCGCCCACGCACATGCGCGGTACGCTCGGCACCGGTATCCAGATCTTCATTGCGTCCGGCGCGCTCCTGGTGACGACGTGCCACTACTTTGTCGGCTTCTCGTACGGCTGGCGCTTCCTCGTCGGGTTCCCGGTCGTCATGGGTGCGGTCCAAATCTTCTTGCTGCCGTTCACGGCCAAGAGCCCTGTCTGGCTCGTCGCCCACCAGCAGCACGACGAAGCTGTTGCGGAAATGACGCGTCTGTATATTGCGCCCATCGACACCAAGGCGATGCTGCAAGCGATGATCGCGGCCCACGAAGAGGAAGAGAAGGAGCAGGCCGAGATCAACGCGTGGCAAGCGCTCCTCTCCAAGCGCTATCGCAAGCAACTCATCATCGCAGTCGTGCTCTGCTCGGCGCAGCAGCTCTGCGGTATCACGGCCATCATGTACTACTCGTCCGACATCTTTTTTGACGCCGGCATCACGGACCCGCGCGTCGGCAACACGATCGTCAACATTGTGCGCACGGGCGGCATCCTCGTCGCGTCACGCATCATGGACAAGGTCAAGCGCCGCACTTTGCTCGTGTCGGGCCTCTCGGCCATGGCCATCGCGGCGCTCGGCGTTGTCTTTTCGCTCATTTACGCCAACCCGATCGTGTCGCTCGTCTCGACGGCAATCTTTGTCGGCGCCTTCTCGCTCTCGATCGGCCCGATGGCGTGGATGCTCACGGCCGAGATCTTTCCCGACTTTCTCCACGCCAAGGCCGGCGGCGTCGGCACCATGACCACGTGGATCGCCGATCTCATCGTCGGCCTCTTCTACCCGTCGATCGCAGCCGCCAACGCGCTCTCCAACTATGCGTTCCTCCTCTTCTTCGCCTTCCTCGTCGGCTACGCGTCCTTTACGTACATTATGCTCCCCGAGACGTCGCACAAGACCTCGGACGAGATCCAGCTGCTCTTCAACCCGCTCCCGGTTTCGTCGCCCAAAGCTCAAGTCGAATTGGACCCGTACGCGAGCATCGACTAGGTACCCCACTAGATTTATAAACTAATTTGTGTGTTTTGTCATGACATGTCGTGGTTGCTTTGGAACGACTATACAACGCGTCATACATGTACCTTTGGGTGTCGATTTAGTCGTAGTTAGTCGGTGCGTAGTCGGTGAGGATCGACTAAAGTCGAGATGTTGATATTGGATTTGAAAGGTTTTTGAAACCTCGCACATCAAATGATTTCAAAATGCATCTTTTTTCGCGAGGCCAACTTCAAGGTGCGGGACTGTGCAGTCCATGTACCGTGCGACGAGGGCGGTGGCCAATCATACAACGTTTGCACACCGGCGTCGTGCTTGGTGTCGCGACAAGTGCGAGGATCGCGGATGGTTTTTTCAGCCGCCACTGTATTGTGTGGGAGTGTTGGACCAAGACCATGGCAAGACGGTGGCCCGACTGATTCGTATTGCTCCTGAAGCACATTCTGCACGGCTCAAACGACGTCCTCTGCTCCTTAGAGATTCGCTTTGTTGTGAAAACAAAGAGGGCAACTTGACCTGGGATTACACCGGTGTAAGTCAGCGTGGCCTTTGGCGGAGCTTCAAGGAGGCATGGCGATCTTGCATGTCTTCGTCGCGACAACTTCAAACGCGCGTTGCTTGTCGCTCGTTGAAATCACCACGCTACATGTATATAGCTTGCTATCGACTGTATTGCCAGTGTTCATGGCTTTTCTCGGAGCTCGCGCAGTTTTGTGCTCCCGAATCAATTTGCTGCGTGCTATTCGTCGACTGGCCTCGTCGAGGATGTGACGTGGCGCATCACCTTGAGCTGAAATGCAAACTCATCAGGCGCAACCGACATAGAATGGGTGCATCGCAGAGCCACGCGATGGAACGAGCGGTCCGCGATCTCTAAACCTCGTCGTCCGGCACTTTGGCACTTGGCAACTTGCAATGGCCGGCACACCACAGCTTCCACCAACGACCACCTTTGGTGGCGTCTCTACGCCCAAGCCCGACGTCTTTGTGGCGATACCGCCATCGTCGCCGACGATGTACGATATGAAACGAGCGACGTCGCGGTCCACGAACCGGTCGTCCTCTCGGCGGCACCTCAGCCGCCTCGAGTCGATGATCCCCGAGGAGCAATTCAAGGCGCTCCAGCCAACGCGCGCTTTGTACGTCACCATCACGGTTGCGCTCATGGGCACCTTCCAACTCGGCTGGATCCTCACGCAGCTCAACTACAAGCCGTTCAACTCCAAGTGCGGCAAGAGCCCGATTCCGGCAGACAACTGCATCATGTTTCCAGGTCACTCGGGCACCGAGTGGACGATGGCGGTCACGTCCTGGACCATCGGCGCGGCCATCGGTACCATTGGTAGCAGCTTTCCTGCTGACAAGTATGGACGTCAACGCACCTTGTACCTCAACGCGATCGTCATGATAATTGGTGCGGGGCTCCAGAGCGTGGCTACGGGCATATACCTCTTTGCGTTTGGCCGCCTCGTCTCGGGTATCGCTGCTGGCGCCGCTGTCAACGTCGCCAACGTCCTCGTCTCCGAGATCTCGCCGATGGAGATGCGCGGTCTTTTCGCAACGGGCCTTCAAGTCGCGATTGCATTCGGCTCGCTCGCCGTCACAACGTGCCACTACTTTATCGGCTACTCGTACGGCTGGCGGCTCCTTGTTGGCTTCCCGATCGCGCTCGGAGGGCTCCAGATCTTTCTTCTTCCGTTCACGGCCAAGAGTCCTGTGTGGCTCATCTCTGTCGGCAAGCCCGAATTGGCCCTCGCTGAACTCAACCGGTTGTACCTGCCGTGCGATACGGAGGCCATTTTGCACGCAATTCAAGCGTCGCACGACGAGATGGTCGAGGAGACGGTGGGCATCAACCCGTGGCAGTCGCTCTTCTCGAAACGCTACCACCTTCAGCTCACGATCGCGATCGTGCTCTGCGTGGCCAAGCAGCTCTGCGGTATCAACGCCGTCATGTACTACTCGTCGTCCATCTTTGCAAGCGCCGGCGTGAACGACCCGCGCATTGGCAACACGATCATCAACGTGGTCCGTACCATTGGTATGGTGTTTGCCGCCAAGGTCATGGACAAGTTCCATCGGCGGACGCTTCTCCTCTTTGGTATGGGCGTCATGGCGGCGGCGGCGACCTGCATCTCGATCTCGCTCATCTACGCCAGTCCCATTCTCTCTGTGCTTGCGACGGCAACGTATGTCGGCGCGTACTGCTTCTCAATCGGCTCAATGGCGTGGATGGTCACCGCCGAGATCTTCCCGGACTTTTTACATGCGAGCGCGGGTGGCATCGGCACCATGTTTACGTTCAGCGGTGATTTTCTGGTCGGTATCTCGTACCCGACGCTCTCCAAGCCGGATGTGCTCAGCGACTATGCGTTCCTCATCTTCCTTGGCTTCCTCGTCGTCTTCATCGTCTTTACGTACTTTGTTGTGCCCGAGACGGCCCAGCGCACGTTTGACGAAATCCAAGCCGAGTTTGACCGCGTCTCGCCGCCGTCGCCCAAGCCTGTCACGGAAGTCGACCCGTTCGACAGCTTCAAGTAGACGTCTGCTAGACAACGTTGGATATTGTCGGGTTGTATAAACTATTTGTTATGAAATCGATTTGCTCTACGCCGCGTATGGATTGTTGTCCGCGTATGGGCTTTTTTCTGTTTGTGGGCATTCAGGCAACGTGGCGCTTCCACACGTCTTGCGCTTATGTGTGCGGCTGAGGCGTTACCCTTCATTGGTGCGCCTTTCAGGTCGTCCCTATTTGCACTTGGACGCTCGTGATATGTAGTGTCATAATGGCGATTGGCCGAGGGTGATAGCGGAAGTCGGTTGCCAACCAAGACACTCGAAGCGACCCATCCCCAGGATGAGAGAACGTTGTGCCAAGTTGGATCAGCATTGAGCGTTTCGCTGTTGATTTTGTTGGCTTTGCCATTTCACCGACCGTTTCGGCTTTTTCTATGACGTGGCATCCTGAAATTCAATTGGATGGCACCTACTTTAGCACAAAAACACGCGGTGTTTCTAAAGGTTGAAGTCAATATAGAACCAGCCACTGACAGCCGGTCCTTGCCCGCTTGGCTGCCATTACTGATCACAGGATGGCATCCCGGACCGGCCTCGACGCGTCGCCCAACCGGGTGCCGACGGCGCACTCGACTGAGGGCACGTTTGGCCCCAACAGCGCCGGCGATCTTGGTGACGACGACATCGACGACGACGACGATGACGTGTACATGCCGGTGCAGTTCTCACCCAAGCCGGGCGCAAGGAAACGACTGAGCTCGCCGTCGTGGCGCGCGTCCCGCCGAAGCACGTCGCGGCATCAACTCAGCCGGCTCGAGTCGATGCTCCACGAAGAGCACTCGAAAGCGCTCATCCCGGCGCCGATCCTGTACGCAACGATCACGGTCGCGCTCATGGGCTCGTTCCAGTTTGGTTGGCTCATGTCCCAGCTCAACTTTCGGCCCTTTGACGACAACTGCGCGCTGCGTCCGATCCCTGAGAGAGACTGCATCATGTTTCCCGGCCACTCGGAGAACGAGTGGACGATGGCGGTCTCGGCGTGGATCCTCGGCGGCGCAATCGGGGCCATGGGCAGCGGGTACCCCGCCGACAAGTACGGCCGGCAGAAAACGCTGCTGCTCAATGCGATCGTCATGATCGCCGGTGGCCTCCTCCAAGCTATTTCGAGTGAGATCTACCTCTTCTCGATCGGCCGGCTCGTCTCGGGCATTGCGTCCGGCGCCGCCATCAACGTCTGCAACGTGCTCATCTCGGAGATCTCGCCGTGCCACATGCGCGGGATGTTCTCGACCGGGCTTCAGGTCGGCGTCGCGTTTGGGTCGTTGGCGGTAACCACAGTCCACTACGTCGTCGGCTATGGCAACGGCTGGCGCGTCCTCGTCGGGTTCCCGATCGTGCTCGGCTTTATCCAAATGCTCTTGTTTCCGCTTACGACGAAGAGCCCGGTCTGGCTCATTGCGCAAGGCGACCACGACGGCGCGCTCGACGAGCTCAAGCGCTTGTACCGCCCGTGCAACACGGACGCAATTGTAAACGCGCTCATCGCGGCGCACGACGAAGAGGAGCACGAGGTCCTTGGCATCAACCCGTGGCGCGCGCTCTTCTCCAAGAAATACCGCAAGCAGCTCATCATCGCGGTCGTGCTTTGCTCGGCGCAGCAGCTCTGCGGCATCAATGCCATCATGTACTACTCGTCCGACATCTTTTATCACGCCGGCGTGGAGGACCCGCGCGTCGGCAACACGATCGTCAACGTCGTCCGCACGGGCGGCATCCTCGTGGCCGCACGCATCATGGACAAGGTTCAGCGGCGCACTTTGCTGCTCAATTTCATGTCGCTCATGGTGCTCGCGTCCGTCGGCGTCGTCGTCTCGCTCACGCAAGGCTACTCGGCGCTCTCGATTGTCTCGGCGACGATCTTTGTCGGCGCCTTTTGCTTTTCGATCGGCCCGATGGCGTGGATGGTCACGGGCGAAATCTTTCCCGATTTTCTACATGCGAGCGCCGGCGCCCTTGGCACAATGGCAACGTGGGTCGCCAACCTCCTCGTGGGCATTTTGTACCCGACGCTCTCGCAGAAGGACGTGCTCGGCGACTATGCATTTTTGATTTTTGTGGCGACGCTTGTCGGCTACACGCTCTTTGTATATTTTGTCGTGCCGGAAACAGGCCAAAAGACGTTTGACGAGATCCAAGCGCTCTTCAACATATCGCCTGCGCCGCCCACGATCGACTTGGACGACGCCGACCCGTGGGGCGAGTACATTTAAGAATCTAACTTAACACACACTGAAAAATCTTGTTTCGATTCGACAATTTTTGGTCGCGTTGTATCTTGTCGAGTTTGTCGTCGCGACTGTGCATGGACTGCCGATGGCAACCCACTTGGTTGTGTGCGTGAGTCGTTCGCCACACCAAAACGAGCGCCACCGCGTAGTGAAAAGACGAATCCAGGAATCAAAATGCGGTAATCGCGATATACGATATACGAGAGAGCAGGAAGAAGAACTTTACATTGGGTTCATTCCGCCACATTTTGGTCCAGAATATACCTTTTGCAACGAAAGTTAGTCGTCGGTGATGACGGGCAGAGGGCCCGGCAGCAAAACAACGTGGCCAGATTCAGAGGTGGGCGTCATGAGCTCGCACGCATAGGCAAAGAGGTGGACGCCGGCCGCCTTGGCGCGTGCGCAGAGAGCTGCGAACGCAGGGTCGTGCGCTGTCGACGGCGCAAACGAGCTGCTGTCGCGCCGCTGGATTACAAACACGATGGTTGGCTGGATCGACGTCCCGTGCGACGCTTGGAGCGCGATCAGTTCTTCCACGTGCTTTTGCGCGCGCGTCGAGACCGTGTCGGGGAAGACCGCGCGGCCGTTCTCCGTCAGTAGCGTCACGCTCTTGACTTCAATGTAATACGTTTTGGCATCGGTCTCGACGACAAAGTCGATGCGGCTATGGGCTGTGTGCTTGACCTCGGCCGAAATCTTGGTGATGCGCGCGTGCCCGACGACGTCCGGCAGCCAGCCGTGGCGAAGTGCATTCCCGACCATCGCGTTGGCCGACGTCGAATGCACGCCAACCCACTCGAGCCCTTGGCCGTTCTACGCAGTCGCTGTCATTCCAATAGCAATGACAGAAGGAGGCGTACGTCAACTTGGATTTGCTCGAGCGTGTGGGCGTACTTGCGCTTTGGGTTGTCGCTCAATGACAGCTGCACGTTGGCGAGTGGCATGTCCAAGAGACCCACCATGGGCCCGGTGTTGGGGCAGTGCACGGTCACGACCTCGTCGTTCGCTAGCTGGATGTCGGCAAGGAATCGCTTGTACCGCTTGAGCAGCTTGCCTTGCACGAGGCGAGGGTACGTGTACACAACGCGCGCATCGGCGTCGGCAGCGAGAGCTACGATTTCCAGCGACTTGCCTGGTTTGGCGGCCGCCGCCTTGGCACGCTTGGGTGGCGTGCGTTCTTTCGCGATGGCATCGACCGACGCCGCCTTGGGCGCCCGCTTGGGCTTCTTGGGCGCATCGACAAGGTCGCCCAGGAGCTCCTTCGTGGCGCTGCTGCTAGAGCGCAGGCGACGTCGCGTGGCGGCCATGGTCACGAGACTTATGCGCTGGAGCATGCTGCGATCATCCGGATAGACCAAATCGCGCCAAAGTCCGATCCGGATCGGCGTACTTAACCGGAGTCACCGCGGGCCACTGAACATCACCGTGAGAATGCATCGATATTGAGTTTCAAAGGTACGCTGTGGGCGCCAATCATTTGATCCGGTGCCACTCCAACATGCTCAGTTTCAAATTCGCCGCCTCCACGGTAGTCGTTAGATATCGCATGTGAAGTAGTTAGTCGTTTGAAACAGTGATTGACCTATTTGGTCTCGTTCGTATGAAATCGTACCTCTTTAGGTATATATGATTCGAAACGGAAAGCTGAGTTTCATTATCGATAAAGTAGTCCATCGCGTTCAGTCTTTTGCGTAATATCGTCAGTGCTAGTCGTCAGTAATTCAAAATAACAAGCCTCTCCAAAAGATTTGTCGATTTTCGCTCCGCCGACACTTTCACCACACAGCGCATTTGGGTGTGGCCGCGAAGCAGTTGATCGGTGCTTGCAGAGTGTAGCGATTCCACAAACATAATGCAAGACGAATGAAGTCGCCGAGGGTGAGCGGATGGCTCTTGATGGATCATCTTGCCAGCTCGCGTGCGTCGCAGTATAAACCAAGCCGTGCATGGGTTACACTTGGGTGGCCAGCGAATCTGCAACGTGCACACTATTTTGGTGGTTTATATCGAACGTTACACGATTTGCGTGTAATAATTCGAAGGCGCCGTGTGAGCCAATGGGGGCACGGATCGGCCGAGCTTGTGAACGTGGGGCTATCCTCGCCATTCTCGGATTGCCCTCCTAGTACTCAGCATCAACATGTTCGCCCGCCGCGTCGTCCGCAACCTCTCCCGCAACGCCACGCGCGCCATGAGCACGCAGGCCCCGGCCCTCGCCCAGAAGGTCTCGGCGCCCTGGATGGTCGCCGCCGGTATCACGGCTGCCACGGCCCTTGCCTTCTCGACGCCGGCCCAGAACAAGGCCGCGCCCCGCGTCACGCCGTACACGGGCGTCGCCGGCACGAAGCACGAGCGCACGTTCATCGCCATCAAGCCGGATGGTGTCGAGCGTGGCCTTATCTCGGAGGTCATTGGCCGCTTTGAGAAGAAGGGCTACAAGCTTGTCGCCATGAAGCTCATGACGGCCACGGAGGCCCGCGCCAGCGACCACTACGCCGACTTGGCCGGTCGCCCGTTCTTCGGCGGCCTTGTCAAGTACTTTGCCTCGGGCCCCATTGTCTGCATGGTCTGGGAAGGCACGGATGTCATCTTGACGGGCCGCAAGATTCTGGGCGCCACGAACCCCAACCAGGCTGCCCCTGGTACGCTCCGTGGCGACAACTGCATCTCGACGGGCCGCAACCTTGTCCACGGCTCGGACGGCCCGGACTCGGCCAAGCACGAGATCGGCATGTGGTTTACGCAGGCCGAGATCCAGGACTACACGCGCTCGATCGACGAGTGGGTCGTTGCCGACAACTAAATGCTCGTCCTAGCGTTTGGTAACTAACTACACATTCAACACCACTTTCTGCAAACGTTGTGCACTCGATACGCTTCTTTCCAACAATCTGCTTTCCGCTCAGGATCCAGCACCACCTCATCCTCAACGTACCTGGCTGGCTTGCAGCCGCTTCATTCTGATCACGTCTGAGCTGGCGCCGATGCTAATGCAGCAGTGGATGGACAGCGTCCCTTGCGCCTCCTGCCACCTCTACCCGAGTAGCATCGCGTGCCCAGCCCTCTCCACGTACTGTACCATCGTGCCTAGCTTGGTCAGCGCGCATGGTGTTCTCGCATCCATCCCGCAGCCGCGGCTTGGTCTGGCTTGCTCGTCGTTGCCGGCCTTTTCTTTGTTGACGGCGTTGACTTTGCGTCATGACAAGCTGTCGAGATCCCAGGCTTTAATCCTTCGCGTCGTGATTGGTCATATGTCACCCGACGGGCGCGATTCCATTGGCTGAAACCACAGAAAAAGATAGACAGTCATTTCCTATAGATGCTAATTTGCATTTTTCTCCCAAAAGAACGGGTCGGGACGAAGCACGAGATGGACGACTCGAGCGCGTTCAGCATGGACGAGGACAAGCGGGCGTCGCTCCTCGAGTGGCTGCAGACCTTCGCTACCGACGTCGCCGCCCCCGCCGACTTCACATGGCAGACCCTCGCCGATGGCATCTTCCTCGGGCGCGTCGTCAACCGCATGTAAGATCCATGCTCGGCGAAAGGGCCCTCTTCCTCATCATGCTGGCCTGGTAGCGACCCGGACTACGTCGACCTCGAGAGTATCAAGGAAGACAGCGACATGACGTGGATCCTCAAGTCGGCCAACTTTAATGTGATTGCGCGTGGCATCGAGACGTTCTACCAAGAGGAGCTCGCGGTGCGCTGCGACGTTGCGGCCTACGTCGACCTCAATGGCATCTCCCGGGCGTCGAGCATGGACATCCCGACCGAAGTCGAGCTCGGGAAGCTCGCGGCGCTCATCTTGTACTGCGCGGTCAACTGCGCCGACCGCCAGACGTTTGTCATGCGCATTTTGAACCTTGAGCAGCGTGTGCAGCTAAGCGTCATGAGCCTCATCGAGCAGCTCACGTCGTTTTTTCCGCCCATGTCGCCCGCGGGCAGTCGCAGCGGGTCGGCCTTTTCGCCGACGATGTCCCCAAGCATTCCCCCACCGGCGGCCGCGGACATGACGCCCCTTCGTGGCTACAGCCATGCCGAAACGAGCACCGAGATGAACGAAATCAAGGAGCGCCTCATGACGGCTGAGAGCAAGTGGCAGGACGCCGAGCAAGACAAGCGCCGGATTACAGAAGAGTACGAGAAGCTCGCGATCGACTTTGCCGCGACGCGCGCGCGGATCGTCAACCTCGAGGACGAGAACGGTCGCCTCAACGCCGAGCGCCAGCAATCGATCGCGCGCGACAACAAGAAGCTCGAAGAACTCGTGAACGCCGAGAAACACGCGCTGACGATGGAGCTCCAAGCCAAAACGGACGAGCTCAATCAGATTAAGAAGGAGTCGTCGGAGCGCATGATGGTGCTCGAACATGAAGTTCGCCGGCAAGCGGTACGATCGCAATGATGATTCAAACTCAAAATCACTCTATGTACAGGACGAGCTCGATATCTCGCGCTCCAAGCTCGTGGCGCTCGCCAAGCTCGAGAGCACGGTCGTCAAGTACAAGCAGAAGCTCGACGAGATGAACACGATCAAACAGCACGTCAAGGAGGTCGAGAGCCAGAACTCGTCGTACCTCGAGAAGATGCTCGACCTGGAAAGCACGATCAAGACCATGCCGACGCTCAAGCTCGCGATCGAAAAGTACAAGAACCAAGTCGTCGAGCTCGAGACGGCCAACGTCGAAATCATGTCGTCGCTTCAAATCAAGGAGCACAAGGTGCGTCAGCTCCAGGAAGAGCTCGAGACCGCGATGCACGGCAAGGAGTTTCTCGAGCACCAGCTTGAGGAGCTGCGCTCGAACGTCCCGGACGAGGACGGGAGCGACATGGGCATGTACACGAGCGCAGCCGACGTCTTGGGCGGCGGCATGCCGTTTCGCGAGCAGATTGCGCGCCTCGAGCGTGAAAATAAAGTGCTCAAGGAGCAACTCAACGCGATGCCGCAGAGCAGCGATGCGGCGGCTGCCACGTCGACGGGCCCGAGTGGCGAAGTGCTCTTGCTCCAGCACGAGCGCGACGACGCCTTGCGTATGAAGGTGGTCTGGCAGGAGAAGGCGCTCGAGATGAAGCGTCAGCTCGAACAAATGAGCGATGCGGCCGCGCCGTCGTCATCGTCGGGTGCGGCGCCACCGCAGCACGTCGCGCACCTCGAAGCCGCGAACGCCAAGTTGCTCTCGCAGCTCCAGGCGCACGAAGAACAGGCGCGGAAGCTCACCAACAACATTGAAGAGAGCGACTCGCTCCGTGCGACGATCGGCGAACTCACCAACCGACTGAAGGAGAAGGAGACGACGATCAACAACTTGTCGCAGGACAAGGAAAAGCTCGAGACGTACACGAAGAAGACGCTGCACGCCGTGCAGAGCAAGTACATGGTCGCGATGAGCACGCACCGCAACCAACTGGCCGAGAAGCAGGCCAAGGTCGACCTCCTCGAGTCCAAGCTCAAGGACCTCAAGTCGATCCAGAAGCGCGAGCAAGCGCTGCTCATGTCGTCGTTCTACGAGGTATCACCCCACCCGTAATATGTGCTTTGCACCACGCGTCTTCATGTGCGTAGATTGGCGGCGAAATGCAGCGGAGAACCATGATGCCCCAGCAAGCAACGCAGGGCGCCGCGGCCTCGGCCGCCGCGAGCCAAGTGCCACCCCTCGCCGCGTGGCTCCCCAACAAGCGGTCCGACAACCGGACGGCCAAGCGCCAGACCTAGGCATTCGCCCTTGGGCGTCGTAACCCGCTTGCATGAATCAACCATATAAAACGTCGTGTGGTGTGTTGACGCTGCTAATCTGACGTGCTCACGCCGAGGTTCACAAGCGCGCGCGTGGCTTGCTGGCAAATGCGGTCGTTGGGCGAACGCACGAGAAACTGCAGCGCGTCAACGCCGCCAAGGCGCACGATGAGCTCCTTGTTCTCAGCTATTCATCGCGATACATGAGAGATGCATCGTCCACACGAGTTAGTCGCACCATTGACGGACAGGTTGCGCAGCGCACGCGCGACCTGCGACTGCAGCTCCATCGAGTCCGACTTGGCCCCGCGAATGATCGGTTCCAAGCCACCTTCACGTGCAATTTCCACTTCGTTCGCATCTACATACACCACATTCACAACTTTTGTTGGAAGATGTCGAGTCGCATACCGTTGACAGCCAAGTTGGCGAGCGCGGCAATGGCCTCGACGGCGACGCCGACTTGCTTGGAGCACGCCAACTTGATGAGTGGCTTGATCCCGCCCGCCTTGGCAATCTTTTCCTTGTTGTCGACTATCATCGGTATCAGCACCGGCGAGACGCATCGCCGCTGTACCGTTGACGCCAAGGTTCGCCAGGGCTTTCGCCGCCTGGCGCTGCACGTGTTCGTTGTCCGACGCCAAGAGATCGATGAGCATGTCAATGCCGCCTTCGTTCGCCATCTTGGTTTGGTTGTCCGCTAATACACTGCATGAGAATGGCCAGCATCGTACCAAGCTGTACAGTTGACGGAGAGGTTTGCGAGCGCATGAGCGGCGAGGCGCTGCACCTCCGTGTCCTTGGACTGCGTCAAGGGCAAGAGCAGCTGGAGGCCATCGAGCTCGACAATTTGCACTTGGCGATCCGCTACAGGCGCCATGAGCCTCCATCGTCGCAGCACGTGCACGCACGCTTGACCGCTTCGTTCGCGAGCTTCTCGGCGACTTCTCTCTGCAAGCTGGCGTCGGCGCTCTTGGCGTACGCGATGAGCCGCTGGAGGTTGACCTTCAAGGCCTCCGTGAAGCCCTCGTCCGAGTCTTCGTACGTGAACTCTTCCTTGCTGCCCTTCGATCCTGAGGCCCCCATCGCCCGCAACCGTCGCTCCCGAAAATGACGAAGAACGTATCTAACGGTATCCGTATCCGGACGCGCAACACAGTCTCACTGCACGCAATTTATCACGTTATCGTGCGGGTGTTGGTACACGCGTCCGGTAAAAAATTGCGTTTTTATAGAGTATCGCACGCTCTGGTCAAGATCGAAATCGCCTACATGGCTTGACAACTTGTTTGACTGGAAACCATTGTCATGCGCAAAGTCGGCCAATCCGAGCTTATTTCATACACGTTAAAGACTCTCCTGGACGTGGTCGCGGAAGATATGCGCGAGCTTGTACGCAGTCGGACGATCGTTGGGCTCGGACGCTACGCACTGCGTCGCCACGTCGCGGAGCCAGCTCGGCATTTTGGCCGAGAACGTCGGCTTCAACGAGCCCGCAATCACCATGCCCATGATCGCCGTGTCCACGAGCGGCTTGCCGTTCTTCTCGTTGATAACACCGGCGTACGGGATTTGGTGCGAGTCAAACTCGGACAAGAGCATGCCAAACGAAAAGATGTCGGCCGCCACCGTGTAGTGGTTGAACTGGAGGATCTCGGGCGCCATCCAGCGGTACGTGCCGACGCCAACGGTCATGGTTTCGTGCGTGTCTTCCTTGGAGACGCCAAAGTCGGTGAGTTTGGTGCCTTTGGCCGAGTCGAGAAGCACGTTGCGCGACTTGAGGTCGCGGTGGATGATCTGCATCGAGTGCAAGTACACAAGTGCGTACACGATGCTGTGAATGCACGAGATCTTGGCGCTCCACGAAAACTCGTTCGGCTTGTGGTTGGCGAGGTAGTCGCGGAGGTCGCCCATGTTCATGTACTCGAGCACACACCGGATCGAGGACGGAGTCGTCCACGTCGCGCCAATCAAGGATACAATGTGCGGCGAGTCAAACCTATAGCGAGGGTAGTGTTGGCATTCCGTTGAACGAGCAAAGGTATACGCACTGGGCGAGGAGCTTGATCTCGTCTACAAGGCCCTGCACGTCGACCGCGGACGACCGTGTGTGCAGCAGCATCTTGACAGCGACTGTCTTGTGCTTGTACTCGGCGCGCCAGACTTCGCCAAACGCCCCGGTTGCAATCTTGTCCTTGATGACGACCTCGGTCGCATCCAGCCGGTGCGTGGCCAGCTCCTGGAGGTTGAACGTCTGATCCTGCGACCCCGTCGCCGTGCGCGGTGTGGCCGACGCGTGCGAGTAAGGCGCCTCGACTGTCGTGGTAACGTTCTCATGCGCTTGCTTGCGCCGGCGGCAGTAGCAGTAGGCGCCAAGCGCGAGGAGAACCAGGACGACGACACCGACGACGACACCGACGATCGTGCCCGTGTTGCTGGAGCTCCCGTTCGACGTTGCGTCATTGATCGTGGCGGCGGTCGGTGCCGGTGTCGCGTCTAGAGTTGCAGATCTTAGCGACAAGCGATGCGAGAGAACATACCCGAGTAGACGCAGATCGTATTGTTGGTCCAGATCGTCTGGAGCGCGCCGTTGGCCTTGGCGCAGAGCGCAGCGTCACTTGCAATGGGGAGGACCGAGCAGCTCTTGTTGAGCCCGTTGAGCGCTTTAAAGGTACTTGGCGACACGATAAAGTTGGTGATGGCGACCGTGCCTTGGCTACTGCCACAGTCACTACACAAGAGAACCTGAGCGAGAGTCCAGACATACAATGTATGTACAAAGTCTTGAGTTTGGGCGAGAACGTCACGTTGACGATGCTCGTAACTGGGTTGCCATTGGTCGCAAACGACTCCAAGTGCGACAGATCGGCGTTGGCGAGCGATTTCATCAAGTTCGACTGCAGATCCCTACGACCCACGGCAAGAGCATGATTTAGATGCTAAATCAGGCACGTAGGAATGGACGTACAGGCTCAGAATCGTCGCAGGCAAGTTGGTGGGCAGCGTCGTCAAGTTGTTGACCATCAAGTTCCTACAAACGCATTCGCTTCGTGGTTGGCTATACGAGGCTTATCCACGTACAGCGACTGAAGCGCCAAGGGCCATGTCATCGACGACGGGATCTCTGTCAGCTCATTGTACGAGAGCTCGCTACCGAGGGGTTGTGACGCAACGCTTTACGACAGGAGCCTACAGTGTGACGAGACCGGCCGGCCACAGCAGCTTGGACGTATCTCGAAGCACCTTGGGCGAGAAGCGGACGCGCCTAGGAAGGATTCGTGATGTTCGTCAGGGCGCAGGACGAGGCGACGTACAGCGACGGGTTGCGGTAGTTGGTGAGGGCGCCGATCTGCGTGATGCTGCCAAAGGACGCCCGCGTGTCCGGCTCCTCGAGCGTGGCTTGGCACGTGGCGTTGAGGACGCAGATCATTCCTTGGCTGCAGTAGCCGCCCGTGCCAATGGTAAGGATCGCGAGGTCCGGCGGGTTCCCCATGGCAGCGCAGGACCCGACACCCATGGCGTGTGCTGCACAGAAGAATTGGTAATGCAGGTTGGATGCGGCAAGAATACCGGATACGGTTGTTGCGTATCCGTAACTTGTGGTAATATCGCTCTGGACAGCTTTGCACAGGTTTGTGACAAGCTGCACCATGGCTCTCTTCCTACGTCCCGTCCACGACGCAGATCTGGGCCACGAGACGCTCGGGCCGGCCGTCAAGGTTGCCTGCGCTGCTCCAGACAAGAGAGGTGCACCGATCCAAGTCGACTGATGTTGAATTAGACCTCCAGTAACGCCACTGGTAGTGTGCTTGAATCGCACATGTAGGTGTCTAGGTGAGCATGTCGCCCAGAAGATACCAAGCGGAGGGCGCAATGCTGTTCGCTGAGCGTTCACCTGCTCAGTAGGGCGCCAACAGCATCACAGATATGAGCTATCGCAACCCCAACTCTGAATCAGGCCACCTCGATACCGACTTGATACAACACTACTAAGTACGCTCCGTACCTACCGAAAAGCGTACTTGAATGGGAGGACTTAAGCCGACACCAACCCAGACGGCCAACATTCCGGACGCAGGCAACATGGCAGGTAAGCTGGTCGCAAGCCATCATCTTCGTCGCGCTCATGGCTGCATGCAGACCTTCCTCGCTCCACATCAAGCAGCATCAAGGTAGATGCGATGGATGCGACCATGGCGCTCATCGCGCGTAGGGTGGCGACGAGGCCGCCTCGGGCTGCACCATCTGCGGCTTCGACAACAACGCGGACAACATTTTGCTGTGCGACGGCCCCAACTGCGCTGCCGAGTACCACACGTACTGCCTCGATCCTCCGCTCGAGGATGTGCCCGAAGACAACTTCTACTGCCCTGCATGCTGCAACGGGCCCGCGTATGAGTTTCGCGCTCGTCCAGACGATCGTACGCTACATGTACCTCGCAACGCTAACCAGTATGCTATAGAGGAGACAGTAAGCGCAGCGTCCGACCGGTTCGAGCTCCGTCCGTGCAAAGGCTTTGTCGGCGTCTTGCGGCGCTGGCTCAAGCGCGAGAACGGCAAGTGCTCCAAGGTCTTTTACAAGCCTTTCGTCGCCGACATCCCGACCGTCCATCTCCGCGTCAGCAGCAACAAGGATGCGAACGCATACGAGACGGAAGCTGCGGCCGCCAAGGCGTACGACCAGTTTGCTTTCAACCTCGCGCTCACCGAGGACCGCGACGTCGGTGTTGTCAGCTTCAACTTTCCGGCCAAGCTCGAAGACTATCGCCGTGCCGGCAAGCCGCTGCGCACGGACGTCGAGGACGCCGCACGCCGGGCCTCCCGCCGCACCAAGACCGACGTGCGCGGGCAGAAGCGTGCGACCGAGCCCGAACCTCCCTCGGCCAAGAAGCGCAAGCTCGAGGGCGAGATCCCGACCGACTACATTGGCGTCCACGTGTTTCCTGACCACTCGATCGCGCAGCTCAGGATCATTGAGAAGCTCGTGCATCTCGGCGAGTTCGAGTCGCCCGAAGAAGCCGCCGAAGCCTATGACCGGGCGGCCGTCAAGCACTACTGCCGGGGCACGCCGCTCAACTTTCCCAACCGTCTCCCCGAGTACTTGGCCGAGACGACGACGACCGCACCATCGTACGTGATTCCCGACAACCGCTACAACAAGAACGTCGGAAAGCTCCGCGATTGGACCAAGAAGTTGGACCAGACGCGCAAGCTTATGGAGGCCACACGCCGCGTGCAGTGGCCGTCATTGGACGCCGACGGGATCGAAGCCGGCCCCGAGATTCTCGAAGCCTTTAGCTCCACCGACAAAAAGGTACTTACTACCTAGTCATGCATTGAGCAGACAACACGCCGCGTCTAGTTGCGCGAGGCGTGCGCGGCCGTGGATGCATCCGTCGATAGCATCGTCCAAGAGTCCAAGTACTACCAAGAAAAGTCGCCGACGGGGCTCTTCCTCAACCCGCCGCCCGCCGGCTGCTTTATCGAGCTCCTGGCGCCGACCGAGTACATACTGTACTGCAAAGCCATCAACGACTTTTCGACCAAAACCGACTTTGACGGTGCGCTAGGAGTATGTGCCGATTTGATCGACGTGTTTGTATGATCCTAGATAGCAAGTCGCTCAACAAGGCCCTCACGACCCTCCTGGCAACCCGCACAAGCTTTATCCGCAAGAAGGCGGCCGAAGACATGTTGATTCAAGAGCTCGAGGACTTTATGGCGACGGCCATTCGAGTCTTCGAGCCGTCGGGGCGGCCCGTCGACGACTCGGGGTATTTCCCCAACTGCAAGTACGTCAAGACGACGCCGCTCAAGCTCGAAGACGGCACGATGCTCGTGGACGAATGCTGCATCGCGATCGAGCAACCGGCGGGCGACGTCTACGAGCTCTACCCGCTGCAGACGCTGACGCGCAAGGAGCTATCCGACGGCACGCCGTTGCTGTGGTCGCTTGACGACGTCGCGGCCCACAGCATCAACGAGTTGGACGCGTTCACGTACAAGGTCGACCTCTCGGCTACGTCGCAAGAGGACATTGTCTCGCTCCTGACGACGGCGTTCGACCACGAGCATTCGCTCCGCAAAGACGTCAAGAGCCTCTTGGAAAGCAAAAAAAAGAGCGTCGAGAAGATGCGTGCGACCGAGACCAAGCACGACGCCTTCTTGGAGCAGTGGCCGGCCATCGACGCTGCGCACAACGCCGAAGTCGACGCGCAGCGCGTCATTCGCGAGAGCGCCGAGCACGACCTTGTGTTTCTCCAGACGATCGACCATTTTGTGTCGCCCAACGTGGCGGCGGTGCTCGAAACGTGCATGCAGCACCTCGCGTCGTACGTGGCCACGCTCACGCGCCGCCTCAAGACGTTCCAAACCGAGTTTGCGTACTACGTCTCGGCCCTCACCGAGCTCCTCGCGGACGGCCTTGACGATGACTTTGTGTCGGAGAGCTACGTACGCTTTTTCACGCGCGAGTTGCATGGGCTCTGGAAGGAGAAGCATGCAGCGACCGAGATCCTCTACCTCGTCGCGCGCTCGATGACCAAAGCCATCGAGACGCAGGGCGCCGTCGGCGACGTCCAAAGCCTCCAGGACACGGTGCGGTCGCTCGTCCAGAAGTGGGAAGCTTTCGAGTGGCCCGCAACACTTCTCGAAGCAGCCAACACCAAAACGTACCTCCAGGACGCCACATCGGCGCCGACCATCATGATCAAGGCCGAGCCCACCAACACGATCAACGAGCTTCAGGACTTGCTCGTGTCGACGCTCGAGTCGGCGGTGGCGGCCCCCGCTGCCTCAACTGAGAAGACGCGGACGACGTCGACGCTCGTGCTGTACCATCCGGTGTGTGTCAAGCACGAGACGCCCAAGGAGCATCCCGAGTGCCCGGCCCGGCTCACGGTAACCTCGCTTTCACCTCGTTTGAAGCGCACACAGGCGGATTCGTGTAGCGCGTCGTGGCCACGTTGTCGGACTTGAGCGAGCAACACCCGCGGACGCTCCATGTGCACCGACTGGACGCAAATGCCGACGCACTCTCGCCGTCCGAGGCCATGTTGCTGCTTGTGCACTCGCCGCAGTACCTCTCGCAGCTCAAGGCGCGTGCGACGGAAGCCTCCAGCGACGCACTGGTCTTTGAGACGGACCCTGGCGACGACAATGACGGGGCGACGCAGCCTCTACCAGACGCGATCCGGCCATTTGCCAACGCGGGGGGCGCGTTCCGTGTCGCCGCGCTGCAGAGCAGCAACGTCATGGACACGTACGTCAGCGCCAACTCGTGGGACGTGGCGCGCATTGCCGCCGGTACGGTGTGCATGGCAGTCGACAAGGTGCTCCAAGGCGACTACAAGAACGCTGTCTGCTTGGTGCGACCGCCCGGTACGCTGTTTGCTATCATTTCTTGGTCGCAAAATGTCGATGACTAATATATATGGATAGGTCATCACGTCGGTCGGCATGGCCGGACACCAACGGCGTCGTCGTCGGGCTTTTGTCTCCTCAACAATGTGGTGATTGGCGCGCTGCATGCTCGTATGCACCCGTCCGTGACGCGCGTCGCGGTGCTCGACTGGGACATTCACCACGGCAACGGCACGGAGGAGCTCCTTCGCGGCGACCCGCGCTCGTTCTTTTCATCGATCCACTTGTTTGTCGAACACTTTTTTCCTGGTACGGGCCCGACGGGGTCGGACGCCAACATTGTGAACGTGGGGTTGACCGACACGGGGCTGGGCTCGGGTTCCGAGTACGACTAAGATCTATTGCGCAAGAGGATCTGAGATGCTTATCTGTAGGGCCTTCCGTGCGGCCCTGCGGGATACGGTGCTGCCTGCGATGGAAGCCTTCCAGCCCGATATAATCTTCATCTCGGCCGGCTTTGACGGCCATAAAGACGACATTATTGGCGGGCAAGCGGCCGTGGGGAAAAACTCGACGGCACCGGCCGGCTACGTGGAAGCGGTACTGACATGACGCTCATGGATCGTTGGAAATGGAAGGGATGGACGTAGGACTATGCGTGGGCGACCAAAGAAGTGCTGGCACTCGCGGACCGGTGCTGCCACGGCCGCGTCATCTCGGTGCTCGAAGGCGGCTACGACGTCCGAGAGGAAACCAACTCGCTGGCCAAGTCGGTGGCTGCGCACATTGACGCGTTTTGCGACGTCGGTGACGACGAAGAAGAAGAAAAAGACGATGGCGAGGCCATTGTCAAGACCGAAGTTGCGCCGACGTCGACGTCGAGTCGCTTGGCCGCGCTCTTGGCGCGCGAGATTGACGAGGATACGATCTTTATCGATGACGACGACGACGAGGTGGCGCGCAAAACAATCGCGATCGCCATCAAGCGCGAAGCCCTCGCGGCGGCGGCACACGCGCCGATTCACGCGTCGCTCGCCTTGTCCAACAACGAAGAAGATATTCCGACAACAGACACGGACGGAGCGCAGACGGTGGATGACGACGAACCTCGGGCCCACGACGCTGGAGCCAACGAGAGTCCCACCGAGTTATCTGGGAACGACGAAGCCACTGCCGTTGAGATGAGCTCAGACAACGTCCAAGAGGCCCCGGTGACGGATGATTTATCCACAGTCGAGGCTGCCGCTTTGGACGAGGCGGCTCCAGTTGCCGACGAGACGCCAGTCGCTGAAGCTACCGCAGCAGTCGAAGCAACATTGGTTGTCGCTGCTGCACCAGTGACGGACGAAACGTTGGTTGCCGACGCTGCATCGGTGGTCGAAGCTGCATCGGTGGTCGAAGCTGCATCGGTGGTCGAAGTGGCTCCAGTAGCCGAAGCTGCGCCCGTGGTCGAAGCTGCGCCGGTGTTGGACGGCGCTCCAGTTGCCAACACTGTCGCGGTCGCTCACGCCGTCCCGGCACCTAACACTACAGCGACGAATGAAGCTACCTTGGTGGTCGAAAGCGCTTCAGCCGTGGTCGCTGCAACGGTCGTTGTTCCCGAAGCGCCGTCGGTGTTTGCTTCGATTGCCCAAGCTGCCCCGACACTTGCCCACGCCCCGATCGAGACCATGGAGATGGTCGAGAATGCGCCAATGGACGACGCTATGGAGGTGGTCGACGAGCCAATGGGCGACGCGTACGAGAGCGACACTGCGATGGACGTGCAAGTGCCGACGCCCGAGGCGATGGAGATTGTTGCCAACGACACGGGTGACGAAGACGTCGTCATGGACGGGACGCCCGACGCCGCCGACGAGAACGAAGACATGGACGCTGGCTCTGAAGCGTCCATGTAGCCGTCTCGAGTTGGTTTATCCATCTCGACAAATATATATTTTCAACGATCACTGTCATTCGCTCGATGAGGGGTAGGGGATACGTCGTTGGTCGATTCAGCCGCTGCGACACCACGCTATTAGAACAGAGCACGACAACACTAACGAGTAACTATGTACAAAATGTGTATGTACACAAATTATACTCATGATATAGCGAAATCTTGACAAACGGGCCACCCCCACTCTGACCAAGGCTTCGTTGAACCCGGTTGTGTGCGTTTAGCCAAACAACCCAGCCACGGTCTCGCACCGCCACAACGCTGTCCTGTGCCTCTGTCCTATCCTGTTGAATCCAACAAGCGCTAGCATGCCACGCTTTCCATCATGACTCGAGTCGTCCAGGCCACCTCTTCGCCAGCGCCACGACGCACGTGGTGGTCTTTTGAGTTGCGTGCGATTAGTCAGCGGCGTGCGACAGGTCGAGAACCTCTACAATTTGATGCTTCTCGGATCCAAATCTACTCTCGAAAGCCGAATTCTCTTCTTCGCCGCATGAACCTCTTCCAGAACGTCCGCGAGTACCTCACGCCGGTGCTGTCCGAGTCGGGCTTTGTGACCGACGGCGTGCTCACGCCCGAGGAGTTTGTCGCGGCTGGCGACCAGCTGTGCTACAAGTGCCCCACGTGGCGCTGGGAAGGCGGCGACGTCAGTGCCCGCAAGGCGTACCTGCCGCCGCACAAGCAGTTTTTGCGCACGACGGGCGTGCCTTGCCGGCGCCGCGTCACGTCGCTCGAGCAAGATTACGCCGGCGAGACGGCGCTGGCCGACGACGAAGACAGCGAGTGGCTCGCAACGCACAACAACAATACGACTGCGCTCCACGACGACGACCAAGTCGAGCGGCTGCAGCACATCTCGCTCGACGCCGAGGCGCCGGCGACGGGCAGCGTCAACATTCTCAGCGCGCTCGTCGACGAGCACTTTCATATCACGTCATCGAATGACGCGGTGCCGGATCTGAGCTCGTTTGAAGACGCCGACAATATCGTTGAGGATGACGAGGCGGCGCTGACGTATATTGCAGCGACTGAGCCCGAGCCGCTTGAGACCGATGCGGATGGCAACCTCGTGTACACGCGCACGTACGACCTCTCGATCACGTACGACAAGTACTACCGGACGCCGCGCGTGTGGCTGTTTGGGTACGAGGAGAGCGGCGCGCCGCTCAAGCCCGACGACATGCTCCAGGACATCATGCAGGTGCGCGCCATGGTTTCTTTATAAGTTGAGCTCAATGCGCGCGTGCTAGGACTATGCCAACAAGACGGTGACGCTTGACCCGCACCCGCACATGCCAGGTATCCCCCATGCGGCCATCCATCCGTGCCAGCACGGCGCCGTCATGAAGCGTATTGTGGCCAACCTCATGGGCGGCGGCAAGGAGATTCGCAGCGACCAGTACATGTTTATCTTTCTCAAGTTTCTCCAGTCGGTCATCCCCACAATCGACTACGACTACACGATGGAAGTCGAAGCCAAGTCGTAGATCCCTTGGCTTTTGGTTGCCAGCCTCTTCGACCTTACACTGGAATATATACCGAAACGATCGTCTATACAGCGGTTTGAAAAGCTTACGCGGCCTGCACAGCGAGGTCGTCCAGTGCTTCTTGCACCCAGGCGCCGACAATGTTGGTCTTGGTCGCAAGGTAGTGGGCGTAGTGCGTGTGGAGGCACTTGACGGACGCGCGGTTGCGAATGCCCGCAATGCCTACGTGCTTGAGCGCACGTTGCCAGCCCTTGGCCTCGACGATGGCCATGTCGCGGGGCGTCAGGAGCCCGTAGCGCAGGTCGGCGTAGCTCTGGTGCGCCATTGCCATGGCCTATACCACATCATAAGATGCCAGGTGATGGTACACAATCATACCTCGAGGTACTCGGGGTTGGACGTTAACCGCTCGGTGAAGATATCGACGAACCCCATGCCTTCGAGCACCGACACCTTTTCCTTGAGCTCGGTTGACGCGAGCCAGAAGGTCGTCGGGAACGGCTCAATGTATGCGCGCTCGTGCTTCTTGTACGCGTCCATGCAGTTGCGCAGCGGGTAGAGTTTGAGGACCGCGGGCTCGTGGCCGTGCTCGTCGCTCTCGTGGAACGCGGCGACCGTGATGAGGTTCGTGGGCACGTAGCCGAGGTTACGCTCGATGGCGCCGAGCGTCGCCGTGTCGGTCACCTTGGACGGCACGCCGTCGAACGTGGTTGTGTCCATCGGCGTCTCCTGCGCCGGCGGCTGCGCGACGTCGCCCAGGCTCAGAAACACGCCATGCTCGTCCATGTTGCAAAATCAACCAAGGAGTGGACATCGGCAACATTTTTCAGCCAATGGCATCGCTGCGCTTGTTGAGCGGTAGCCAATCAAATCGTGCGATAGAGATGTTTTGATACACGCCTCAGTGTCACTGCCATGAACAACCTTTCAACTTCGAGCGGAATCAGCGGGCCCATACAAAGTATTCTGCGATAAGCTCACTCTATGAATGAACGCGTAGTCCATTCCCTCGTCTGGCAGCTCAAGATCATGAACATGGGCGACCTCAGCATCTGCAAAACACAACACCGGCAGCACAGAGCAGTCTTGAGAGCTCTGTGCAAATGATCTGTCGCAACATTGGTTCACTCTTCTGAATACTCCCAGGCTTAGGGTGTGCCGATAAGATAATATTATGTGATGTGAGAGCAATGTAAGAACGGCAACTAGTACATGCCGGTGCTGTGCACCCAGTGCGCGAGCAATTTCATGCCGCTTCTACTATCAGAACGTAGCGTGAAATCTAACTTATAGATTGCGAAGAACCGATTATCGCTCCCGCCAATCACATCTTGCGGTCCTATTGATAGGACGACCCGGAATGGAGACGGCAGCCAAGAAGTACGTGGCACTCCTCGCACAGGCAGAGCCTGTTTTGCTCGACTCTGCGGCACAGTGGACGGATGACACCAAGATGCAAACTCTTCTGCGGCACAAGCTGCTTCCAGGACTTCAAGCAGGCTTGCAAGCAAAGAACACGAGTCTCTTCGCACTCACGCGCGCGCTTTGCATCAGTGCGTCGTTCGTACAGGCGTTGGTGCGTCCACTGCTGCGAAAAATCTGTGACGAGACGAGTAGACGACCTGCGACGGGCTTCTCATGGAGCTAACGAGCCAGCTATCGCTGCCTTCCGTCGTATCACGCCCGGAATTGGCGGTATCCGTTTACTCGAGTCGTTGGGCCATTTGACCAACAAGTCTTGGGATTAGGTTTGCGTAGCACATGTCTTCTACGTCGTCGCTCGCGCCGTCAACCAAAGCTCGAGCACAGAGAAGCGCGTTCGGGCGGCTTTGTTTTCCGGTCTTTTAACCCTCTGGCCAGTACACGACCTGTACCTAATCTTGGCTATCGAATGGGGTACCATAGATGCTCAACTCTACAGAAAAAAGCGTGTCGGGTGCAGTGGCCCCTCTTCAAGAAGCAACACTAGCCTTGGCCATCGAGGCGCTCGCCTTGGCACCGACGCAAGAGGCACAGAGCGCTCTAGTGACCGAGATGGCTGACGCCATCACGTCACTGCAGCTTGTCTCACCGTGGAGTACTTGCGTCGAGCCCAACGTCTGCTTCTATTTGTATCTGTTGGTGCTTTCGCCGCACCTTTTAAGCACGAAGGAAGCGCCAGCACTGCTCGCTTCCTGGCTCACAGGCCTCGACACGGAAGCCTCAAATGACGTTTCTGCCGCGGGCCTTGTTCGTCCGATGCAGTGGCCATCGTCGCTGCCGTTCGCAGTCAATGTCCAGGGCAAGAGCTTTCTTGAAACCATTGGCACAGCAGCCTCGAGGTCGGAGCTTGCGGCGTGGCCCTCGCTCTCCCACTTGTGGGGCCTGCTTCTCCTTCCGTTTGTGTCGGACGAGTCGTGGTGGTCGCTCGCTGCCATGCTTTGCAGCTACATTGCTTGCCATGATCCCCCGCAATTGGACGATTCAGTGCTCTTGACGACGATCGCAAACCGGTTTGCATCAACTGCACCGGGCAAGCGACCCAAACGACTTGGCAGCGTGGCAAAGCTCGTTCAAGCCTACAACCTGGCGTCTCTCGTCCCGGCAACGATATCGCTCGATGCGCTTGTGCTGGCTGCTCTTTTTCAAGCGACCTCCGACGCGGTGGGTTCAATTCCACGCTCTGAATCTTTTTCATGTTGAACGCAGATGACAGCAGCAAATGTAGCTCTCTCGGTCCGTGACGCGTCCGCACTCTTGTGCATTGTGCACTTGTGTTGCCGAGGCTCACCTCACATGCCCGTCGTCACCCTCTTCTCAAACAGTAGTGCATCGCTGCCCGCGAGTGTCTTGATCGGCGTGTGTGAGACGCTGCAGCTACTTGTGGACCCGCCCGCGCCGTACCAAACCCGCGTGATTCTCAGCGATGACTTGGCGGCACTCGCAGCGACAACAGTGCGCTTTCTCCTCGGCCCACCTCCGAGCCCAGCGAGCGGCTTGGAGCTCTGGCGACTGCTTTTGGTGCTGCTGCACCAGCCAGCGTATCCTTGGGCGTCGACATCGAATGTTCGTACCCCTCTAATAAGATGGATTCGACTGCAATAAGCTGACCTCTTGCTATGTAGAAATCGATCCTCGACGCATGCCTCTCCGCTCTCAGCTTGGCCCATCGCGACGAGCAGGAGAATACCATCTATTGCGTCTGGGCCCGTGTCTTGCAAAACTCCAAAGACATGACGTCGTCACATGACGTCCGCAACGCGCTGCAGCACCTTCTCGAGATGTTGCCACATGCGCTAGGTACCGCGCCGGCATCGGCCATCGTGGCGCGTCTCGCTGTCGCTGCGCACCACGCACCATCGTACGACCTTTGTAGGATATAGCTTGTGCAGCACGTTGGCTTAGGTTTCCAGATATGCGTATATTGGCGCTTTCGGTCGTCAACGCAGGAATGGAATGGATGCTGTGGTCCTTTGCGTACCCTGCGGCGCCACCAATGGTCCTCTTCCCGTTCGCAGCATCTTCGACAGAACCGGACGACCTTGAAGATGCGCGACAGAGTCTTTACGACAAATCGCTCGAGCTCGCGACGCCCTTGTCTCGTGCTACTAGTACAGAGCTGCCGGCATGCAGTCCACTGAAAGACGCAACGACGTATCTCTTGGCTCGTGGAGACGTTCCGACTGATGTCACTGCGGCCAGTGCTTTCGTCTTTCATTTGCTGCGTGCGATTAGCCTCGCCACGATCCACGACTCCTCGTTCTCCCATGTCCTTTTGCCTTTACTGCGGTCGCTACGACTGGTCTGTGCGCTGCCATATGTGGCGCTTCGAGACCCGGTGTTTGTTGTGGATCTCGTGCACACTCTGATGTTAATTGTCGACTTGCGCTCAAGAGACGCTGATAATGACTGCGCTAGGCTAGTCGCCGAGGGTACTCGACGCTTCGAAGCGCCGACAGCCATGGAAGAGCCTGTGACGGCGTGGCATCGCTGCGGACGGTTGTTTCGCTTGTATGCATCCATCTTTCGACGCGTCGAGGAGGGCGAGCTCCCGCCGTCAACTGACCTCGTTCGGATGCTTTGCACGGCACTTCTTCCGTGCGTCAAGGCCCTCGGGCTCTTCAAGGCTTCGGGCGGACGCTGGAAACGGGACTACAATATCGTATTGCAACGGCTCGTAAGAAGTCTGACGTGGAGCCTGGCAGCTGTCACCTCCGAGGATGTGACGGCACTTGCGGCGCTCCTGCTGCAGCTTTTGGTACACGATAGCGAAGGAAGATAGATGCATGCTCATCGAGGCGAGGTAGACCGTGATTGCGAGCAAATTTATCGTGCAAGCAAGAGTGCTATTTCGAAGCCACGTGCCGCAGCTGGTCGGCCTCCTCGGGCATGCAGATGGAAGCGACAGACCGAGTTTCGTCATCGATGTCCTTGACCTGCTTCGGTTCACAGCCATGCCAACCCAAGCGTACAAACACCTCGTCATTTCGACCACTGTGTGACGCGTATGGTGAATGTGGTGTAGAGAGCTCACAGCGGCCATGCGGCAGCCTTTGAAGGAAGCGACAGCATTGCTCGTACCACCGATGCAACACGCCATCTCGAGTGCCTACTTGGCCTACTTGGAGTCGACGCTTCCCATCTAGCGCTGCAGAAAGCAAACTGAGTAGAAGACAATAAGGTCGTCGATTTCGACGTGGTTGGAACGCTCATGTCGAGAACGACACTACGGCGTGCAAGTCGGGGGCACGTACGGCGTCCAAACGTCGTCCGGCGCCGCACCTTGCTTGCACGTGACTTTGGCAGCGAGCGCCTTGACGACGCCAACGCAAGGGTCGACGAAGAGTGCGTTCTGAGCCGGGACTGCACAGGAGCCTTGGCCGACGCAGAGTTGCGTCAAGACGCTGGCACTCGACGATGCGTGGCACCACCCGTTGGTGTAGCCGGCCGTGGGCAACCCGTACGACGCATAGTCGACGCTCGAAATGACGTAGCCATTCGCGCACTTGAGGTTCAGCGTCTCGTGCTCGGCGACATAAGCCCACGTCTGGTATGTCGGCGCCGCAGTGCACTCGGCGGTGACCGTCAGCTGCTTGGTAGTGCCCGGGCACGGATCGCCGCCAAAGTTGCTATTGGAGTAGATGATTACACTTCAGGGGAGAATGCCTGCGGTCGTACCCGTTGTTGACGGCCACGCTGCAGGCCTGCAATTTAGCGCACGCGCTGGTGACGACCTTTTCAGACACCCCCGAATAGCACGTGCCAAACTTGGCGCCGAGGCCACTGCCGCTCGGCGTGCCGTATGAGGCAAAAATAACGCGCGAGATCTGCAGTGTCGGGCTGCCGCAGTCCAAGCTCATCGTCGCGCTGTTGCCTTGCGTCGTTGTTTGCGTTAAAAGCGTCGCGCCCGACGTCAGAGTCAGCGGGGGGGTCGACGGGGCCGTCGGTGCGGGCGGCGGGGGTGGCGGGGACGAGTTGTTGTTGCCCATTGACCGAGAGTGCAAAAGGTAAAATGAGCTCTGTCGTGAGAGCGCGCAAAGCCAAGATACATCTCATTGCATCTTTGTATGCTCGTCTTTGTTCGAACCATTTGCAATAGTTGGCGGCTCGTATCTTTCGAGATTTGAATGTTTTCAGGATATAAATGACGCGTTTTCATTGGTGGAAAACATCCCCTTTTCAGCCAATCCGATTCTCGATTAGACGACGATGGACGAAATCCGGGCGCTCCAGCGCCAGCTTGCGGCCGCGCAGGAGACCAAGGAGGGCAATCTCAAGCTCTCGGAGCGCCACGTCGTCGACCTCGTCCTCAAGATGCAGCAGCTCGGGAAGCTCGACGTCATCTTCACGCGCAGTGCTAACGCGATGCTGACGCCCCGCCAGCTGCGCCACGAGGTGGCCGACGCGCTGCTCAACCACATGGGCCGCGTCTCGATTGGCGACCTCTGCGCGACGACCAACGTCGACATGGCGTACGTCGAGAAGGCATGCGCAGACCTCGCCTCCGAGAGCGTCGGGCGAGACCGCGTCACCGTGATGGGCGACGAGGTGTTCACCGAGTGGTACCTCGATGGCATCATGGAGGACATGAACGAAGTCCTCCACGAGCATGGTCATGTACGCTGCCAACGCCCGATGCATGCATGCTCATATTCGGTTCTAGGTGACGATCGGTGACTTGGCGCAGCAGTATGGCTTTCCGGTCGACTTTATGATGGCGGTCATCACCCCTCGCCTTGGCACGCTCATCCATGCGCATGCCAAAGGCAACAGCTTGTACACGGAAGCTTACGTCGAGCGTCAAGTCGCCCAGATCCGTGGGTCGTTTTCCGGCATTACGCGCCCGACAGCGATCCCCGAGGTTCCTTTTCGTGAGCCAAACGCCGAGCGACTCATGCGCATGTCTAGATCGTAGCGGCGACAGGTATGGACGAGCGACTCGTTACCGATACCGTGACCGACCTCATCGCAAAGAACGTGCTCCGAGGCTCGCTCCGCGGCCGCGAGTACGTCCCCACCATCTTCGTGGACGTCCAGCGGGCGAACGTCGATGCATTCTTTGGCGCGAACGGGTACCTCTTCCATGATATGGCGTCCCAGCTCCACATTGCGCGGCCCCTGGAGTTTCTCAAGCGCAGCTTTCCGCATGTCATTGCGCTCACGGACGTGGTTGTTGCTGACGCCTTCCTTGCGACGCTGGAGGGCGCCATCGACGCTGCCTGCACGGAAGTCTCGTGGGTCGATGCGCGCACGGTCTTGCCGCCGGCGCTGCCGGATCGCAGTGTCGCCGAGCTTGTGGCGCGCACAACGCGCCTGTCGATGCGCAAGCAGTCGCCCGCCGTCGCGATCGCGTCCGTGTACGTGGCCAGCCGCGGCTTCTTGAGCGCAGTGCACGACAAGTTTGCCGAGCACGCGGCGGCGCAAGCAGCGCGTTTGGCCGCCGAGACAGTGCGGCACAAGATCCAAGGACGCAAGGTCGACGTCAAGGCGAAGTTCACCAAGGGCAAGCATTTCATGCATTCCAATGACGACGGCGAGAGTGACGCGTCGAGCGGTGTCCCGTCGACCGAGGCCATGGCAGAGCTTGTTGTCAAGTGGTTTGAAGAGTGTGAAGATGATGACGCGTTTGTCGCGGGGCTCGTCTCGGAGCTGCGACCCCGCGTCTTGTACGAAGCTGCAGCTGCCAAGGCGCTCTCGGCGATTCACCGCGGCGGGTCGTCGACCAAGCAAGAGCTTGACAGCATATTTGAAGATCGTTTCGACGCGCTGTACGTTCAGCTGCTCTGCTTGTCCAAAGGCTGGCATAAGCTCTCGGTCCTCGTGCGTGCGAATGCCGAGATCCACAGCGTGGAAGACTATCTTTTGGCCACGACGGCGTTGGATCTGTGCAACCTCGTGTTATCGTTTGTACAAGACGCGTACGAAGTCTGCGATTTGGTTGGCGTTGCGCTTCTCGTACCCGAGCGCGACGGAACGCCGGTGCCTCGCTTGACGCAGCTCAGTCTGGACAACCAGAAAGCGCTCCAGAAAAGCACTTCGTTTGCATCAGCAATCGAGACGATGTGGGCGCTGGCGACGGGCGACAGCCAATCGGTCGTCGATTTTGTGCGCCACATGTCTGTCCTCGCCGATGCACTCAACATGCCGCTGCGCAAGTGCGACCGAAAGAAGGAACGCGCGCTTCTGACTGCCCGCAAAACCGCACTGGAGCAGCAGCTCCAGAACGCCGACAAAGACTGCTTGGCGCTTCTGGCGCTCGTGTCCCAAGGTATCTTTACGACTGTGACCAACCTCGCACTTGATTTTCCTCCACATGGAATGCCCACGGTCTTGCCTGCACTTTGTGACGCTTTTCAGAGCAGCGTGCCGGCTGAGACAATGGAATGGCTTCTCTCGCTGCTGAAGAACCAAGGCGATCTGACGACAGCCGACGTCACTCGCCTCCAGACACTCGCGACATCAAAAACACTCTTGGTCTAACCCAATAGTGACATTTTGATCTGATCCTATCGAGATGATCGGGAACTAGTACCATGCAATTAGATAGCACACTGTACACTGCAATTGTGGGGCCGTTGCGTCAAGCAAGGAGCGCGCGTGGTCTATTGCGGGACTGAGAGGAACGGAGTAGTGCCAAAGAGGGTTGTCGCCGAGAGCGAAGGGAACCAGACGACGTAGTTGGCGTCAATACGCCCTCTATTGATGGGCTTGCGCGTTTGTCGCGCTCACTTTGCATCGCTATGAGTCCATGATATTCCTCCGTCGTGGGACAGCCCGCAACTCATACAGGTTAGCGGCGCTCGACGACCAACACAGCGCCTTGCTTGTAATTACCAATGAACAGTCGGCACGACATGGAACTATAGTACGCCAATTGCCATAGGATCGACCACCACAAAGCTCGACACGCGCCCGTGCGCACCGCTGGCGGTGCAATGCAACCATATGGACTGTCCGCCATAGACATTGGTGTGATCACAGATGAAGTCAATTTGAGTCATTCGTACAGTGACGTGCTAATCACATAACAGATATTACATGGTACTCGAGACCGAGTCGGACCATGTGAGGTGGAAGAGAAGACATTCTTCGTTCTGGTCTTGGTGGTCGTTGATGAAGAGGTAGACCTTCTTGGAGCACGGGAGCGAGTGCGGCGCAAACGCCAGCCGAAGGTACCCGTCACCGTTGCCTTGGAGCTGCAGCCGAGGCTCGCGCGGCTTCATGATGCTCGGGTCGTTGCTCCGCAAGACAAAGCTCCGATCTTCGTCCCACGGATTCCGATACGATATTTTCTACCATAGACAATAGTGTCAACACCTATTGCCGTACACCAAATAGACAAAGCACCTTGAGCACAGGCACGCCCGTCGGAAGCGTCACGTCAAAGACCTTGGTCACAATCGGCTCGCTCACGGTCGTGTTGAGAAGCCACGCTCCCACAAGATCGCGGCTGTCGACGTCTACTCAGCCATTAGTTAGTTGGTTCATTTGCCCGATTCCTTACCAACAACGTGGACGACAATCTGCTTGGCACACACTTGCATGGTCGCAAAGCGCACTTCAATGCGGTTGAACGCATGCGGAATGAGCTGAAAGATGCCACTCGGCTTAAACTAGTCACGTAGTACTATGCGACATGAAAGGAATAAAAGACATTCTACCTGGAGCTCGGTGGGGTGGGAACTAAAGCACGAGACGCGTCGGGGCATCGCGTCGCCTTTGACGATGAGTTCGTTCTGGACTCCTTGGCCCATGGTCGCGTGCAGGTCGAGTCTAGGGAACTTGCCAGTCCATCTCGTCTGGTTCAACAAGTGCAAACCGCATCATGGACTGAATGTGGATGCGCCAGATCTCGTGCAGGCGTGCGTGGTACATGTCGTCGTACAAAAGCAAGTAAAAGACGCCGAGACTCGGGTAGTCGCCAACGCGGTACTTGATGTAAATCTCTTGCGGGGCGTACGGTCGCTATCAACCATAAGGTTTGCCCGTTCATGCCAACAATACCTCGACCGGACGCGTCTCGACAATCACGTTGGCGTCCGGGCACATGACGAACTTCTCCACACCCGACTCGGCTTGATTGTTGTCATTCTCGTCGTTGCTCGGTGGCGGTACCCACTTGAGACAGCGGCGCAAAATTGCAAGCGAAAAGTGCTGGAACCGATATGTGCGGTGAACGACAAAGGGCGCGGGGTGCACGTGCAGCTGGATCACGGCGATCGTATGGCCGTGGGCGACGCTCTTGATCGAGATCGGGATCGTGCGCTCGTGCGTTCGCAGCGCGAGCGATAGAAACCGAAAGGGAAGTGCAACGTAGTCCCCGCCATCCAGGAGCAGCTCGTGGAGGCTGTCGACCATATCGCGCTCGACACGAGTGGTTGGCGCGTTTGGAATGTCCACAGCACGGGGCACGTGGTCCCGGTAGTAGGCCCACTCGGCCGCGTCCGTCACGAGTTGGAGCTCGGCGTCGGCCCACTCGATGCGGAAACGCTCGGCGTGTCCGTACGGGTTGCGCACGGGGAGTTCAAAGAAGAGCATCGAGCCAAACATCGCATATAGATGCACGGTCGTCGTCACGTGGTCTTTCAAGAGCGCTTGGATCAGCGCCTTCTTGTGGCCGTCGCGGTAGAACTGAACGATTTGCAGCATCTTGTGCTTCTGCGCCAAGTACGCGTCGACGGTCGCACGGCCGGAAGCGACGTCGTTTTGACGGCCGTGGTTGGCCAATGACGCGGCGTCGACCAAATCCCGCTGCGCGCGGGTCGTCGTCCGCTGTTGCTGACGCTTGTACATGCGGAGACGCTCAAGCTGCCGCGCGTACACCTTGTCGTGCATGAGCGACGGCGCGTCCGCCACATATCCCGCCGACCCGAGGTCGTCGACAAGCGAGAGCCCGAGCTCCATGAGAAACTCGACGAACCGGACGCGAAGGATCTCATCCGATTTGCCTTCGGCGTACTTGGTCAAGAGCGCCGGGGCACGGACACCGCGTGCCGCAGCCGCGATCGCCGCTTTCCGCAGCTTCATTTCCACGAGGCGCACGTTGGGCTCGGGACTGAACCGGTACTCGACGCTGGTCGTGGGTTGAGCCGTGGGATGCGGCAACTCGTTGTTGCTATGCGATTTCGCGGCTGCCGGTGGCTGCTTCAAGGCGCTCTTCGCTGTCGTCACCGGTTTAGCCGAAGACTCTGGCGTCGGTGTCCGGCCGGGCGTTGGTGTTGCGTCAACACATTGAGTACGTTTTGGTTGAGACGGAACCGACGCCGGTGTGGCCGCAGGCTTTGGCTGCAGCGCGGGCCGCGTCGCCGAGGATGATATCGACGCAGGCGTACCTTTCTTTGCCGTTGCAAGAACCGGATCCGACGTCTGCTTCTCGAGCGCGGGCTTGGCCTTGGCCAAGTTGAGTCGTGGAATTGTTTGGCTCCTCTGCGCACCATCCGGCTTGGCGGTGGTCGGGGACACGACCTCCGAGCGCGCTGTGGGCTTGGCTTGCTCTGCAGTGGCGGTGTAAAGCGCTTGGAACTCGCTCAGCGCAATCGCACCGCTGCCGTCGGCGTCGAGCCACGTACGGATCGCCACAATATCCACCGGACTGAGCTGCTTGTCCATACCTAGCGCTGCCATGCCTTGATCAAACTCGGTGTGCGTGATCTTGCCATTGCCGTCCTTGTCGAAGTGACTAAACGCCTGGCTAACATCAATGCCTTCTCCCTGAGCGCGCAGAAGTAAGCCCGAGAGCGCTGCGACGGCGGGAGGCGTCCCCTTGACGGTCATTTCTCTCGCCGATGCTTTGGTCTTCAGCGTGCGCGCCGATGTTGCCGGCGTTCTTGAGGGCTTGGCGTCGGGAGCGTCTGTTGACACGGGTGCGGCCTCGCTGCCGCCGGACGCAGTTGCGGCCGTCTTGGGCGGCGGCTTTTGCCACGGTTTGCGCTTGGCGTCGCCGGTGGACGGTGCTTTAGCCAAGCGGGGCTTTGTGTACAGTTTCTTGAGCTCGACGAGTGAGATAATTCCGTCCAACTCCAAGTGATTGCCGAGTAGCAGTGCGTCGTCCGGAGCCAAATCGGCGAGGGCAAGGGCTTGCAAGCCCGCATCAAAGTCCGCTCGCGAGATTGCGCCGCTGCCTTCCTTGTCGTAGGCGGCAAATGCGTTGTCGATGTTGACGCCACTTTCTTTGGCCTGCATCAGCAGTTGCTTGATAGCGTCGATCGGTCTTGCAGCTGTGGGGGCAGCCACCGCAGGCTTGGCGTCGGCGGTCGGCGTTGGGTCAGAGAGCTCGGTGAGGCGCTGTAACGACACGACGCCGTCGCGACCAAGCTCGGTGCGAATCTGAGTCATCTCGGCGTCGTCGAAGTCATTGAAGCCAAGTTCGACGAGCCCCAGCTCAAAGTCGCCGAGGGCAATGCACCCATCGATGACCGTAAACTGCTGAAACACGCTGTCGACTTTTCCGTCACCTTGTTTCGCCGCTGTCAAAAGCTGCTGCAGTTTGCCAAGCGCGGAGGGCCGTGAGGACGCACGTGCGGTCGTGGCCGGGGCTTGCTGCTGCACAGTGGCTTCCGAGCTCCAGAGTACCGCGAGTGCAATGCGCCCTGACTGAGACGGATCCAGCGTCGCTCGAAGAGCCATCACGTCGTCGTTGGTCATGTCGTTGATCTCGAGCTCGAGAAGGCCCGTGTCGAGCTCCGCGTACGCGAGCGACCCGGAATTGTCGACGTCCAAGGCTGTAAGCACGCGACGGATGTCGACGCCTCGGGCGGTCGCCGCTTCGATCCCGCGCCGAAACTTGGCAACACTGGAGTTCAATGTTGCTGGCAAAGATGCATCAGCTCGCGCCGATGTCTTGGAGCCATCGTCGAGACCCAACAGTGCGCCGAAATCCGCAAGCGCAACGACACCCGAGGGCCCGAGCAGGGCTCCTGCCGCCGATACGAGCTCTGCCGTGACGCCGTCGACGCCCAGAGACAAGAGTGCCGCCTCAAAAGCCGCTTGCGGTACGCTTTCTGCGTTCACTTTACGAAGCGCTTCGATGGCCTTGGTCTGCACTGGTTGCAGCAACGCGGCAAGCTCAGTCGTTGCTGTCACACGGCGCGCCGACGACGGTTTGCTAAGTGGTTTTCGCGCCGACGTCTTGGCCGGATACAAGGCGCGAAACTCACTCAGCGCGATCTTGCCGCTGCCGTCCTTGTCCAGCACAAGAAGGATGCCCTTGATGTCGCCATCGGATAGCGGACCCAAGCCAAGGCTCTGGAGGCCTGCGGCAAACTCTTCGCTTGTGAGGACGCCGTCGCCGTCCGCGTCGAAGTGAGCAAAGGCTTCGTCCATCGGAATGCCTTGGTCGCTCGCGCGGGCCAAAAGCGCTTTGAGGTTGTCGAGCGGTGTCGGTGCATACAGCTTTGAAAACTCGGCGAGGGTGATGACGCCACTCCCGTCTTTGTCGAGGGCCTTCTGCAGCTCGTCCATATCACTGGCTGTCAGATCGGTAAAACCGAGCTCCCGCAGCGCAGGCGCAAATTCAGCGTACGTAATACCACCGTCGCCGTCCTTGTCAAAGTGAGCAAAGGACGTTGCCGCATCGACGCCTTGCGCTTGCGCGCGACGCAGTAGCGTCTGCAGTTTCGCCAAGGGCGACGATGTCTCGGTATTTGTCGCGGTGTCGTAGAGCGACTTGAATTCTGCAATCGATATCGACCCGCTGCCATCCTTGTCCAAGTGGCTTCGAATGGCTGCGAGGTCCGACGCCGTGAACGTTATGAACCCGAGCTCGGTCATGGCGCTGTCAAACTCTGCGTGGGAGATTTGCCCATTGCCGTCCTTATCAAAGTGAGCAAAGGACGCCGCAATGTCGACGCCTTGGGCTTGGGCCTTACGCAACAGCGCTTGTAGTGCGTCCAATGGCGACAAGCTCGTCGTTGGTGGTTGCGCTACGCCCGATGTCGTAGCGTCGGGCGGGTACACAGCTTTGAACTCGGCCAGCGAGATGGACCCGCTATTGTCCTTGTCAAGGGTGGCCCGGATGCTGGCGACATCGACCGCGCTCAGCGATGTAAACCCGAGCTCGGCAATCGCTTGGTCGAATTCCGCGTGGCTTATCGAGCCGTTGCCGTCCTTGTCAAAATGGGCAAACGCATGTTGGACGTTGACGCCTTTCGCGCTCGCTCGACCAAAGAGTTCGCGCAGCTTCTCCATCGGTGGCAGCGGGATCACGGCGTGGCCCGCGTCGGACGCGCCTCCTACAAACGCTTTGAACTCGGCCAACGTCACCTCGCCCGTTTGGCTTGCGTTCAGGACAGCAAAGAGCCGCCCGGCTTCGTCGCTACTCGCGTCGTTAAAGTTGAGCCGCACGAGACCGTCGTGGAAGCCCGCGGGTGTTAGGAAGCCGTGCCTCGCCGTATCGAAATGAGCAAACGATTGCTCCAAGGGCACGCCTTCGCCCGTGGCTTTGGCAAGAAGGGCCCGAAAGCGCATCTCGAGCGACACGCTCTTGGCGATGCCGAGAAACGCGCCAAACTCGTCAAGCGAAATGGTCTGCGACTTGTCGGTATCCAAATGCGACAGAATGTCTTGCATATCGACCGCACTCCACGTGTGTGCGCCGCCGAGCTGCCGCAATGCCGTCTCAAAGTCCCCATACGAGACAGCCCCCGTGTGCGCCGTGTCAAAATGCGCAAAGGCGCCGCAGACGTCGATGCCGCTGGCCATCGCCTTGGTCAACATCGTCTTGAGCCGCATGTACGGTCGGTTGTTGTCTCGCATCGTCTGCTGCGTCCGCGGTGTCGCAAGCGCCACAAACTCGTCCAAAGCAATCTGTCCGTCGCCGTCCTTGTCCAAGTGCGTCACGATGGCGGCAATGACGTCGTCATCGAGTCCGCCAAAGCCCAACTCTCGGAGCGCCGACGTAAACTCGGACGCTGACACTTGGTTGCTGCCGTCTTTGTCGAAATGCGCAAAGCACTGCAGAAGGTCCATACCCTTGGCCGCCGCCGCGTCAAAGAGCACCTTGAGCTGCGTCTCAATGGGCGACGCCACAATCGCAGCCGACTGGTCGCCAAAGCAAAAGAAGAGCAGCTCCTTGTACGAGACCGACCCGTCGCCGTCGCCATCGAGCTTGCGCATGACGCGTTTGAGATCACCGTCCGAGATCGGGCACTGGAGACTTGCTAAAGCCGCTTGAAACTCTTTCGGTGTCACGCTGCCGCTGTGGTCGTTATCGAATTGGCGGAACGCATCGGCGACACTGACACCGGCGGCCGCCGCTTTGGTCAAGATGCGCTCGAGGCGGCGCTGGACTGTGGTCGCAGGGTCGTACGCCAGGCCGACAAACGCCATAAACTCAGCCACGTCGATCGACCCGCTCTTGTCTTTATCAATGCGCTCAATCAGTTCTTGGAGCAGCGCGTCGCTCAGCTGTGTCTCGACGTCCATTTCTTGGATGAGCGCGCGGAGCTCGTCGTACGAGACCGCGCCTGACCCGTCTGTATCCACATGGTGAAAGAGGTCGCCAATGTCAATGTCTTTGGCCACAGTCCGCTGCAGAATTTGCTGTAGAATGGACACTAGAGCGTCTTGGGCTTGGAGGACGAGCCCCATGGACGTGATAAACTCCATGTACGAGATACTCCCGTCGCTATCGGCATCGAGCTGCTTGCAAAACGACTCAAACATTGCTCGGTCCGACACTTGAAAGCTGAGCTGGGCGAGCGCCGTCTCAAACTCGACGTACGAGAGCGTGCCGTCGCCCGACGTATCCAAATGTCGAAAGATCGAAGGGACGTCGAGGCCTTTCTCGAGGCCGCGCAATAGCACTTGTCGAAGCTCGTCCCGGAGATCGATGCAGCACGCTTGGTGCACAAACGCCAGGAATTCCTTGTAGTTGACGAGCCCGTCGCCGTTCGTGTCAAAGTATGCAACACACGCTTCAACCGCGGCAGGTTGCAGCGACGCAAAGAGCGGTCCGAGCTGCCGAAGGCCCTTGACAAACTCGGCCGGCGTCACAAAACCGTCGCCGTTCGCATCTAGAAATTCAAACATGCTCTTGAAGCGAAGGCCTTGGGCATGGGCCTGTAAGAAGACCGCGCGGAGCTGGTCGAGAAACTGCTGCGTGTCAGCACGACGCGTGGCGTTCGAGTGGGGCTTGATCGATGGCTGCAGCGAAATGAGTGCCAGCAGAGCATTTGCGTCGAGCCGGTTGGTCCGCGTCGCCTGCGTTGCAAACCGGGTACAGAGCAAGTCGAGTTCGTCGCGGGTCAACGACGCACCGTCGCTGGTCGTTGCCGGTCGACGAGACGACGACGCGGTGTGGCTACCCGTCGGTGCATAAAATTGCTCCTTGATGAGAAGGTCGCGCAGTTCTTGGTTCGAGTCGGCAAGCGGCCTCGCGCGGACTCGGTGGCGCGGCTCTCCCGGTACATTGTCGCGTGGGGCACCAGCGGAAAGTCGCCAGTTGACATCGCTCTCGGCAGCGTTGGGGGCGACGAGGTTGCGCGGGCACGGCGCCGACGCCGATGCAAAGTTACTCATGAGCACTTGCACAGACCCAATCGTGGCTTTGACGACACACTCGTCGGTGGGTAGCGTCTGCACCGGGTACTCGGCATGGTGCTTCTTGACCTTTTGACCTTGTCGCAACAGCGTGTGGAGAGGAATCGCGATCGCACCGAGTGGGAGGAGACTGTCACCGTCGTAGACGTCGACAAGGAGCGATTTGCGCTGGAGGTACTCGGCAAACGCCCTTGGCTCGAGCATCGAGTGCCGCGTGGTGTGCACTTCGAACGCGAGCGCTTGGGCCGGCTTGGTTTTGGCGCCGTCCTGGCGACAGAGGAGGTACGTGGCCGCGCTGTGTGTCGCCGTGAGCACGAGCCGGTCGGTTTTAGTCGGTTCAAACGTATAAAACTGAAACACAAAGTGGACTGACATGGGCACGGTACGATCCGCAGCCGGGCGAAAGGCTGCAAACTGAAACTGAATCTCGAGCAAATTGAGATTGTCGGCGAGCTCGTCGGCGATCGACGTTGTGAGCTTGGGCGACCGCACCGGCGTAGCGTGCAGCGAATTCGGTGCACGGTCGTCGTACATACCATGGCGCGTTAAAAGAGCTTTGGACGCGCGACTGAGCTCGTGCGCGGGTGCCACATCATCCGACACGATCGTCGTCAAGTGTGGCTCAACGCCTACGTGTTGGTCGTACTGCGGTCGGGCGGTCTTTGGCGTCGGGTTCATGGTCGATTGAAGTGCTTGCGAGAGCGTCGCATCCCGCGCCGCCTTGTCTCGAAGATCGTCGGCCCACGTATCGGGCTTCTCCACCTCGTTCTCTGCGTCCTCGTTGGCCTCTTCGTCCGACGAGCTCAATGAAGCGCCTTCGACAAGCACTTCGACGTCCACGGACGCAAAAGTCTCTTCCAACTTGCCTTCTTTGACGCTGTTGGTCCACGCTGGCGACGTGTACAAGACGTTGTCCGAGTACGGCCGCGCGTACGTTCCGCTCCTGAGCTCAATGTGGAGCATGGCATCGTCGGCTTGATTTGTGCTCTCTTGCAGCGTTGGTGTGCTCTTGTCGTGGTAGTAAAACTTCTTCCCGTCGCTTGGTACAATTGCCCGGGCGCCCATGGTCACCACGACCACGTCTTCGGTTGGGAGCGGCTCCTTCTCGGTCTTGGGCTTGGCGTTCTTGGGCCACACGAGGCGGAATTGTACCGTGAACTGGAGCAGAAGCACGATCGCCACCAATGAGCTCAGCGTGTAGCCCTTGAGCTTGACATTGTGCTGCACCGCCGAGAGCGTATTCGACCCATTCTCGGCCTTGAGGGCCACCGTGTGCTGGCGCGTGCGAAAGCACCGGCCGTTGTGCAGCGCGACCTTGAGCACGCGGGACGTGACTTGGCCGTCCATGCTCTCCACGATGGGATACAAGGCGCGCCGCGTCTTGGCGAGGCGCGCAATGAGGTTGCGCTCGAGGTCTTCGCGTAAATGCACGAAGACACTGGACGTGGCGACGGTGACGGCAAACTCCTCGGCCGTGCAGATCTCGCGCGGAAGCTTGACCCGCGAGAGGTCTAATTTCGACGGCAAAATGCCCACAAGCGACAAGTCTTTCAAGCCCGGAACGCGGTCAATGCCCGAGATCATTTCGTTCTTTCGCACCAGCGCATATGCCTTTAGCAGCGGGTCGTACGGTCGAATATGGTACAGCAATTTCCCACCCGGTACTTTGGGCTGTCCCTGCCACTCGGCCTGTGCGACGACCCACAGGTAGCGTGGACTCCCCATAAAGACGTTGACCGACTGCGCCTCAGTCGTCGCTGGTAGCATCTTTTGGCCAAAGAGCGGGAGGATGCACCAGCCGCAGCCGTGGGATGTGGCCGTGAGCGAGGCCGAGCTCGTGCTCTTCTCGTGCGCAATGAGCTCGACGATTGCAACGCAGTTGGGGTCGACGACGTCGGTGAGAAAGCACACGCTCATTTGAAAGTGCACGTCTGCGACTGCATGGGCGGGCATCTCGGGACTGCGCCACGTGTTGCCAAAGAAGCGCCGCGTCACCGCGTGAAAGAACGTCACTTGAAGCCCGTACTCGAGCCTCGCTTGCTCGAGCTTCTCAGTGAGCGGCCAGTTCTTGACCAAGTGCAAGTCGATGCAGTACGCTGATGTTTTGCTCACGCGCGTCGGCGCAAGCGGCCCTTCCGGCACGGGCATGACGATGTTTCCCGACCGAAAGTGCTCGAACGCTTTTTCACGCTCGAGCCAGAGCTCAGAGCCACTTTTGCGCTTGGCGCGGGGCACCCGAAACGGCTTTGGAATCGGCTGTCGCAGTTGACCGTCGCCATCGTCGGTGCTCGACCCGTTGGACGGCGGGGGTCGCGGCGCCGCCTTTCGCGGGGGGCGGCGTTTCGGGGCGTCCTCGCGCGTTGGTTCGGCCTGCTTTTTGGAAGGGGACGCCTTGGATTTGGCTGGCGATGCAGCCATCTTTTTCTTTCTCGACGGTGACTTCTTTGGTGACGCCGGCGCGGCCATTGCGGTGGTCACAGGCGTTGTGGTTGGCGCCGTTGTATCCTTCACATCAGCACCTGGCTCGGGGCTCGTCGGTGCTGCGGTTGATGCCGCCTCGGGATGTGACGTACTCGGAGGAATGGACCCTTGCACTAGCGCCGCGCTGTCTCCAGTGCTGGCTTTGCTCTTGGAATTCTCGTTGATGCTTCGTGCCGACTTTGTGCGCGCTGATGCTACCACGGTTGACACCTCGGTGGTTTGTGCGCCTTCTTTCGGTAGCTTGGTCTCTACGAGAGCATCAGCCTTGTTTTTACCGTGATGATCACAATGTCGCTGTACCTGGGGCAACAACGCTGGACTCGACAGTTGCCTGTGTCTCACTAGCTGGAGGTTTCTTCTTCGGCTCCAGCACCGACACGTCGCCAATGTCGGCACGTGTGGTCTTGGAGGCACTACTCTGGTCGTTCGGGGCGTCGGCATTGGCAGTCGGTGGCTCTGACGCAAGCTTCTTGGCGGGGGGCTTTTTCGACGGTTGCTTTCCGTCTTCTTTGCCAGACGTTGCCGGCGAGTCGGTGGTCGCTGGCTTGGCATTGGGCTTCTTGGCCACTTGAACGACGTCGTCCGTCTCGGACATTGGAGAAGCGTCCGTCGTTGCCGCCTTGGCACCAGGCTTCTTCCAAGGTTTCGCGCCATCGTCCTTGCCCGAGGCCACAGGAGACTCGGTCGTAGCAGCCTTGGTTGCAGGCTTCTTCGCCATGACCACAACATCGTCGGCCTCGGCGTCGGCCGGTGCTCCTGTAGGCTTCTTCTTCCATGGTTTCGGATCATCTTCTTTGCCCGAGGCTGCAGGCGTCTCTGTTGTAGCAGCTTTTGCTGCCGGCTTCTTGGAAACGACGACCACATCGTCGGCCTCGGACAAGACAGGAGCCTCGGCTGCGGCCTTCTTCTTCCAGGGCTTCGGACCGTCTTCCTTCCCGGATATCGTTGCAGAGCTTGTGGCGGCGCCTTTTGTAGGCGGTTTCTTCCACGGCTTTGGCCCATCTTCCTTGCCGGACGTGCTGGGCGATGCTGTCGCGCCCGGAGGCCCGCGCTTCGGGATCATCGACTTGCGCCGGGCCTCCGGCGCCGTCGCTTTTGGCGCCTCTTCGCTCGGGGCCTTCTTGCGTGGCCCTTCGTCGTCGCTGGCTTTGATCACCTTGACGACGTCCTCGTCCATGACCTTCTCGGCCTGTTGGCTTCCTTTCTGGTGCAATCTTCGATCTTCCACGGTCTCGCCATTGGATTGGTGGAAAATGAACAAGAAGCGAGGCTGGATTGGCTACAATGCTCTGTATTTTTTATTTGTTACCATCTAAATTAGCTTATTATTTGTATGCATAAGCACGTCATTTAATACAGCGTGCTTGGAGTGGCCAAAAATCAAGCATTTGGAAACCATGCGAATCCTTGCGCGATTTCGGCGGGCGACGACGGGCCGGCGGCTCCTCTCGACAGCGCCGCGCCCGATATCCGCGCTCAACTCGCTCTCGGGCAAGGTCGAGCCGCTTCCAGTAGCGTCCTCGGGCCCGCTCAAGTGGTACGTCTGCGGGCCTACGGTCTACGACAGCGCCCACCTCGGCCATGCGCGCAGCTACGTGAGCCAGGATATTTTGCGGCGTGTCTTGACGGGCTACTTTCGCCATGATATCAACTTAGTCATGGGCATGACCGACGTTGACGACAAGATTATTGCCACGTCGCTCCGCGAGGGCAAGCCCATGGAGGCCGTGGCACGCCACCACGAAGCCGCCTTCTTGGCCGACCTCGCGTCGCTCAACGTCTTGCGGGCCTCTGCCATCACGCGAGTGAGCGAACACATTCCCGAGATCCTCGCCTACATTAAGACGCTCGAGGCCAATGGCTTTGCCTACACAACGTCGGACGGCGTGTACTTTGACACGGTCGCGCTTGGTGCCAAGTACGGCAAGCTCGCCCCCAACGCTGCGACCGAAATCAGCGACGTTGCAGCCTCCGACGACTCTGGTATTGGCAGCGAGAAGCGCAACGTGCGGGACTTTGCTCTCTGGAAGCGGTCCAAGACTGCGGACGAGCCCGGGTGGGACTCGCGCTACGGCCGCGGCCGACCAGGGTGGCACATTGAGTGCTCGGCCATGACGCACCATGTGCTCGGCGGCGCGATCGACGTGCACTCGGGTGGCATTGACCTCTGCTTTCCGCACCACAACAACGAAGTCGCGCAGTGCGACGGCTACCACCACACGACCGCCGGTATCTCTAGTCTTGTGTCCGCTCTCAACACGCCTCTATCTGTGCCTAGGACATACGTGGTGCAAGCACTTTATTCACTTTGGGCACTTGTACATCAAGGGTCTCAAAATGTCCAAGTCGCTCAAGAATTTCATCTCGATCCAAGATTTTCTGAGTGCGCCGGGGTCGTCCTCGGATGCCTTTCGGCTCTTCTGCCTCCAGTACAAGTACAACACAAATGTGCACTTCTCGGAGGACCGGATGCGCGACGCCAACGTCCTCTTGCAGCGCTTTACGTCCTTCTTCCAGTCTATCGTTGGCCTCACAAAGGCATCGACGCTGCATCGCCGCCTCGAGACGCCCAATGATGTGCTCCTCACGGCGCTGGCCGAAGCCAAGGTCGAGGTCGACCGTGCCTTGCGCAATGACTTTGATACACCGGCGGTCCTCCTGCAACTGACGCAGCTTATCTCGCTCGTGCACCGTGAAGTTCAATCCCGCGACATTTCGATCGAGGTTGTGTGCCGCGTTGCCGCCTACGTCCTCGAGACGCTCCACCTCTTTGGCCTAAACAAGTCGCTCGCAGGCTTTTCGTCGATTGCGCTGGCGGCGCCGGTCGCTACCACCGACGCGGGTGCTGGCCTTGCGCACGCCGAGAGCATTCTCGACGAGTTTACCGCCTTCCGCGCTCGCGTGCGTCAAGCTGCGTTGACCAACCCCAAGGACCCGCAGAGCCAAACGATCTTGGCGCTTTGCGACCGACTTCGGTAGGCTCGGTCCAACTTGAGTGTATGCCACAAGCGTACGTTGGGTAGGAACGAGACGCTGCCGCCCCTCGGTATCCAAATCGATGACGTGGCGCCGGGGACGTCGCACTGGAAGGCGCAAACTATGATCGAGGCCGACGCGGCGCCGGTCGACCCGGTCAAGGTCCAGTTGGCCGCCAAGCAAGCCGCGTTCGAGGCCGAGATGCAGATCGCACCCGCCGACTTTTTCCGACGCTCGGCTCAATTTGCGGGCCACTTCGGTGCGTTTGACGACGAGGTACACGGCGCCGTGTGCTCGGGGTGGCTGCTGAGCAACCGCGAACGATAGGGCGTGCCAACGCAAGACGAGAACGGTCTCGACTTGACAAAGACAGCGCGCAAGAAGCTGCTGAAGAAACTCGAGAAGCACATCAAGTCGCACGATAAGTACTGGGCGACCCATCAATAGACTCATAGATCCGGGGGCAACCTGAATACACCTGGTGCCGTCCTACATGTATAAGCAACTTGGACGTAAAGTTGACCACGGTACCGTCATGCCGGCACACGTCGCGCCGACGAGTGTGATGTCAGTTGCCTTTGTCATCGATGCACTCGCTTCGGCGCCATAGCCCAGTAGACTGCGCAGAGTCTGGCAGCGTTGGAGCGTAGGATTGGGTGCGCGTGCATCGGATCAATGAAAATGCTTTGGTGCTCGTGTAATCGAAGGAGACGGTCTCGCCTCTCGCCAAGGCAGCAGACGCTGCCCCCAGCCGTTCTGCGAGGGTTAAATGTCGATGTAAGCGTCATCAAGTATCGAGTCCACGATGCCCGATCGATATATTGGTATGAGCCAATCAGAATGGTCTTCATAATTCATATATCCAATCCAAACGCTGTATTCCCTTTGCTCTACCCAATCACGTGGTGCCTCCGTAGAATCCAGTCGCGTCAAGGTCGCTTGACTTGCAAAGAAGATGGTGCTGCCGATCAACCGCTTCCGCCTCCCGCAGGACCTCAAGACGCTCTCGTGGCGCTTCGAGCACCCCTTTCGCTGGTCGACGATCCGAAACCTCGCGTTTCATCCGTTCAACTGGGCTCTCTCGACGCTGAGCCTCGTCCTCGTGCTGGGCTCCGTGCTCTCGCATCTCTCGTTCTACGCGCTCACAACGCTCAAGTTTGGCCTCGAAGAGGGCTCGAGCGAAGTCGACATTACGATCCCCCATAGTATCAAGCACGCGGCGACAACCGACCTCGTCGTGCACGAATACTTTCAGCTCGAGCGCAATGAGGACGACAGCAGCGCGATGGCCGGCGTCGACCTGCGCCTCAAGTACACCATCGCGCACTCAAAGGCGTCGCTCGAGGTGTACCTTGCGGTCCTGTACTTTGTCTCGCTCAAGCCCATTGTCGCCACCGTCTTCTTTACGCTGGGACCGGTCTTGCTCGTGGGTACGCTCGTTAGCATCTTCCAACCGGGTCCCAACGACGTCGCGCTGCTCGTGTCGCTCATCGAGACGTACGGAGGTGTTGCGCTCTCTTCGGAAGAGGAAGCGTGGATCGCTGGCGGTCAGCACGTGTTTGTCGTACTTTTCTCGCTCGTCGTAACCGAGTTCTCGGCCGCCGTGTCCCACGACCTCATGCGACTCTTTTGCTGCGAGTGGCGCATCGTCTACGACGAAGAAGACGCCGACGGAAACCAAATCGCGTCCGAGTCGACACCATTGCTCTCATTGCATGCTCTTGTCGAGTAGCAAAATGATACAAAGAAACCTTGCTCATAGTGTACATCGTCGTCGACTGCGTGACGTACACACTTGCAACACGATGCGTCGTCCGGAGTCTCGCCAATGCCTCCTAGGTCACCCGCGCTTCACGGAAAATGTGACTCTGGTCGGAGTAGCGAGACTAGTGACGCACAAGGTATACAACCTCGGCACAAACAAGACCTTGATGCTACTATCACTCCACGTTTCGGACGACGTCTCGGTACTAAAACTCGAGAAAAGCATCGTTCATGGCGGCTGTACATTGCACAGATTGCGGGTCTCGCGCCGGAGGCGACGGCACATCAAAGCAGGTCACATCCCCTGGGCAATGGAACGAGGGTATGATCGGGGGAACGATCTGGTGCGCTTCAACGTCTGCCCAGACGATCGATGTAAACCATGGGTGGGCGCGCATGGCACTGGGATCGATAAGGCGGCGGCTGCGCTCGGGCCGCAGAAGCTGCGAAATAAAATCTACACAAAACGCTTGCACTCTGTAGCGACAAGGAGAGAACGAGCTACCTTTGGCCTCTTTCGAGACGGTCTTGGGACAAGCAAACGCGCCTTGCACGACGCGCGTGTAAATTTCAAACGGCGAGTCGCCTCGACCTTTGTAAAACGGCGTGCGCCCGACGAGAAGCTCAAAGACGACGCAGCCGAGCGCCCACCAGTCGATCGCGCGGGTGTAGCCGCCTTGGGGCTTGAGCTGCTCGGGCGAGAGGTACTGCGGCGTCCCGAGACTCGTGTACGTTCGCGTCTCTGCTGTCATGTGCGGTTTTGCAAAGCCAAAGTCTACGAGCTTGAGATGCCCACTGGCGTCCAAGAGGATATTTTCGGGCTTGAGATCGCGGTAGACGTAGTCTTCGGCGTGCATGCGTTCCAAGCACACGAGCAGCTCGGCCGCGTAAAACTTGGCTTCTGCATCGGAGAAGACGCGGTATTCGTGCAGCCTCATTACGTACATCGCATCCCACGTCACCAAAGGCAGTGGGACGTACCAATGAAAGAGCTCGCCGCCAGGGACATATTCGAGTACAAAACACACTTGGTCGCGAGTCTGAAAGGTACCAAAGCTCCGGACGACGCCGGGAATCCCATGGAGGTCCTGTAGCGCTTGCTTTTCCCGGAGGAGACTTGACACCATCTTCTTGGCGACCGCATCGGCCTTGTAGACGCTCTTGAGGGCGAAGTACGTCTTCGACGCCTTGTGCTGGGCGGTCGCGACCGACCCGAGGAAGCCCGTGCCCACGATCGTTTCGATACGAAACATATCAAGACTCAGCGCCCTTTTGACCTTGAGCGATCGGCCTAACACGCGATACGAAGGACACATTGGCAAGGACGAGGTGTACCGATCCAGTCGATAGCAGGCACACTCTGATTGTTGGAGGTAGAAACGATCGTATACGCACTCTCGCGGTGGCGCGTCGACGAGCCGCTGCCCATCGATGACACGGCCGTTTTCCCGACCAATAGTCGACACGTCGGTTATTTCCTTGACTCCAGGCGTGTCTTGATCCCCATCATGTATGCTTAGAGTCATTGACAGCAACCCAAAACCCTCCACGTCCAGAAGACCTTGAAAGAGAGGGTGGTGGAATTAGAGCTTTTGGCCAAAGACGCCGATGCGATAGAGGCATGTATACTTGTCGTGGCCGTGGTTGGAGAGGATGTGCAGCGTCACGCCGTCGACGGGGGTTCGTGCAGCCTACGAACGCTCACATCAGTCTTGCGGGCGGAATCATGAGGAACGTACGAGGCCACTTAATGCAAACTCCTGCGTCGACGGCCCGCCGGCTGCAAACTCAAAGGTGCCCAAGTCGACCGACAGAACGCGCTGCAGGACAGGATCGAGGGCGAGTCCCTAAACATTCCTCTGATTGGCGGAGCGCAGATGATGCAGCATGCGTACCGTGACTTGAAACATCTTTGGAGCAGTCGACGCGTTCGTTCCAGCACTGTCGGTGGTCTCGGGACGGTACAGTTGCACCGTGTCGGCCAGAATCGCATCTCGAAAGTGGATGGTGAGCTTCCCAGAGGACCCTTGGAGACTCCAGCAGTTGGGGGGTTGCCCCAGTGGACTGTCCTGTATGAAAGATGAGCCAACTTGAAACGAATTCGCGCAAGTACCGTAATCGTAGTCTCGGGGTTGGAGCTCGTGAGCGGACACGAGGTGCCCAGAAGCGAGCAGAGCGGAAAGTCCGAGTACGACGGCGACGTGTACGGGGCTGGCGACATCCAATTCATAAAGAGCGCTTCGACCCACGACCCAAAGAAATCACTACAACAACATTAATATACACACAACGCTAGATCCGCCTTCGTACCTCTTGTACATGGCAACGCGGGCGCCATTGGCACGGCTCGCATAGTCGATGCGTCCTGGACTGGACGATGTACTACTTGCAAGAGTCGTCCGGAGCTCACTCGAGACGCGGCTCGTTTCTTCCCGCATCCACGTCGCCAAGTCGGCCTTGAAGCGCGCCATTTCTTGGGCGAGCTGCACATGCGCCTCCGAGTAGTCGGCCGCATCCGGTCGGGGGTTCTTCGTATCCCAGGCAGCAACGATCGTTTCGGTTGACTGGAGCCGGGTGTCCTGGGCACGACTGCTCTCTTTGAGAGTGCTCACTTGCCCCGAGAGGGACGCAATTGTCGACTCGAGCGGGGCCAGCATGCTCTGGACGTCAGCTGTCTGCAGCACAAAAGAAGACATCAAATTCAACGATTTCATAGGAAGGGTCGTACCATGCCCAGAAGAGCCTTTTGGACTGCGCCAGCCACCATCTCTTCCATGTGCTCCAGGACGGAGCGTGGAATCGGCTCCGTTGAGGAATGCTCGGCGCCAGCCATGTGCTCGACGGTCTTGGTCGTCTGCTGGTGGAGGACGAGCAGTTGGTTCATTTTGCTCGACTGATCACGATGCGCCTTCTTGAGCGCGTCCATATCGTGGATCATTGCATCTACATGCACTTGGATGGTCGAGATGGCTTGAGCTTGGCTGTGGCCGTGCGACGTCAACGAGCCGGACGACGACTGGACGACGCTGATCAAGTACCTAGTCACCGGTCATGACGCGCTTGCATGGCAGCGCGCTGTGTAGCGTACTGTGGATAGATAAAGGCCACGGCAAGACAGAGAACCGGCAAGAAGAGCCATGTATACCCCATGACGCGTGCGAGCCCGTCCACTGCTGCCCGCTACATCGATGGTCATCGTCACCGCGGCGACTGCGTTCGCCAGCATACCATAGATGGCTTGGTCCGGTACCACGGCAGGCGCTTCTTGCCAAGTGGTCGGTTTGCCATGCGCTGCATGGCCGCGTGCTCGTCCTCAGACTCGTACGCTTCGCCATCCTCATCGTCGTCCTCGTCGTCGTCCTCGTCGAGCATGGAGCCATACGCGCCGCTCACGTCGTCGCGGAAGAGCGTTCGCTGAAAGGGCGGATCGACGCTCTCCTGGGACGCAAGGCGCTGGCGCACCATGAGCGGCGGCGTCTCAAAGCCCGGCGACCCGCTCTCGCGACGGCCCTTCCGGGCGCTGCCTGGCGTCGCGCGGTGCATGGTCGGGCGTGCGCGTTGGGAATGCAATATCCGGATACGCGCCAACATCTAGCACATGGCCGCAAGCCCCCATTTGCATACATAAATCGATAGTGAAAAAGCTTGCGGCCAAGGCCGTGGGACCGCGCCAAAACTTAAACTCTGAGGATCCACTCCATCCTGCACCAAGCGTAAGCTCGACCCGGCAAAGGTAGCTCTCGTGCGCGTGCAGTCGCTCCTACACTTGTCCTTGGTAGAGAAATATGCAGTCGCTGGTCAATTCGATGCTTGGCTGGCCTCGACATACGCCGTCCAAGTGCTTTTCAAATACGGTGGACCCGAGTCCGATGGCGCCAAGGACAAGGAGGCACATAGTCGTTGGCGCCGAGCGCATGACCAGCTCAGGTAGCGCCAAGGGCCGATGATTGCATGATCCTGGAGCCCGGTTGAAGACGGCGGCGGCGGCTATCCGGATGCAGGATGCGGAAACGGATCCAGCCTGCGAAAATGGAAAACTACAACATCTACGACGAGATCGGCCGCGGGTCGCACTCGGTGGTGTACAAGGCGCGCCGGAAGCGCAGCATCGAGTACGTGGCCGTCAAGAGCACGGGCAAAGGCCGGAAGGACAAGGTGCACAACGAGGTCCTCCACCTCATCAAGCTCGAGTCGACGTTCGTGCTCAAGTTTTACAACTGGTACGAGTCGAGCAACCACATTTGGATCATCTTCGAGTTCTGCATTGGCGGCGACCTCCTCAAGCTTCTCGCCCAAGACACGGCGCTGCCCGAGACGTCGCTGCAGGTTCATCCATCCACGATGTGCTTGCGTCATCCTGCCTTAGACCTTTGGCCATGATCTTGTCCATGGCCTCCACTACGTCCACTCGCAAGGCGTGCTTTACTGCGACCTCAAGCCCGCCAACGTGCTCGTCGACGAGTATGGGTCGCTCAAGGTCGGTGCCTCCGCGCGACTAGCAGGCTGCTTAAATTGTCAGTAGCTGGCGGACTTTGGCCTCGCCCGGCGTATTCCCACAGTCGAGGCGCTCGAAAAAGTAAGTGGGCCCATGCACAGAGCTGTTGCGAATGCACACGAGCGTAGGACCCGCTGGCGCCGGGATCTCCGCACTACATGGCACCCGAGCTCTTTGAGGCGACGCCGTTGCACAGCTTTGCCTCTGACTTTTGGGCGTTGGTACAGCCGTACGTGGCCCAACCGAGGCCGTCATGCAACCGTAGGGCTGCGTGCTGTACGAGCTCCGCGTCGGGACGCAGTTGTTTCCCCACCGTGACTTTAACCAACTCCGGCACACGGTAACAGTCTAGATTTTGCATCTCGGCGGTCGTACGAGATGTCTTTTCCAGATCCAGACAACGCATCTCACATTACCAGACGCGGTGGACATGTCCGAGCCGTTCAAGGCTTTACTGCGGCGCCTCCTCGAGCCCGACCCTGCGCGTCGCATGACTTGGTACATATTTGGTCGCATGCGTCGCACGCTCACCTTGGGTAGGTCGGAGCTCGTCCAGCATCCATTCTGGGACGCAGTGCTGGAGCTCGACACGAGCGCGCTCCCAGCCCAAGACCTCTTTGCTGCCAAATACCCTTCAACGTACGATCGGTCTTGCATGAATGGTGGCTTCACGAGGCAATTAGCGCCGAGACAACGACGATGTGGGCGGCCCCCGTCGAGAAGGCCGGTCGCCCGCCGTCCCCGCAGCTGGCGTCGCCCGTCAAACCACCGAGCGACGCGCTTGTGCACTCGGACGAGGCCGTCAAAGTGCGTCCCGCGACCGCGCCAGAGCACGGTACTGACAACCAAGTATCCCATGATGACGCAATGCCGCGTCATCCAAGTCCACCGCGGACTGCACCGGCGATGACGCGCCCGATGCCAATGGACAAGATCGAGCTCGTCGCACTGCCCACCAAGGCGGCGCACCAGCGTATCTACACGACAGCCGACTGCGCCGTCCGTCCGATCGTGAGCTGCGACGAGATTGAAGCTGTGGCGGTGCCACGTTACAAGGAAGCGAGTCTGCCGGTCCGACCCGCCATCGCCTTTGATCTCCCCGGGGAGCTCGAAGCGCACTTGGAACAGCTGTACCTTTTCCTACGCGGCGATGCGGGCGCCAACGACAAGCACAACGCGCTCGCCTACCTCTGCGCTTTGGTGCCCGCCCCCAAGGTGCGCATTTCATTTCACACATCCATCGCACCTTGCATAGATTGCCAATGTCGTGGCCAACAGCTCCCTCTTGACGCTGCTCGTCAAGCTCCTCGATCGATCGACATCGTCGGCGCTCTCCACGCGGCTTGGCTTGGTCCTTGGTCTTATCGTGCGGCATGCTGCGTTCATTAGCACCGACGCACTCCTCTCGCTCGATGGCCTCGTGCCCGTGCTTCTCCGCGTCTTGCCGTCGGCGTCCGAAGTCCTCGGCCGTCGCGCGACAGCCTGTCTTGGTGAACTCGCATTCTACCTCTCGACGCTGCCCACCACGTCGTTTCCATCAGCCCTCGTCGATGCACTCGTGAGTGCTGTCGACGCGCCCGATGCCATCACGCGCCACTATGCGACTCAAGCGATCTGCAACATCCTGGTGAATGCATCGACGGCCTCTGCCGTGCGGGACGCCTTTCTCAAGGTGTCTCTTCTCGACGCTGTATATCGGCGCACGTCCGACATCGACGCGTTGCCGCTGCGGGTTGCCGCCATGCACCTCGCGTCGCAACTCCTCAAGCACACGTCGTCCCCTGACCCGTTTCTCGATCGCACGGTGCTCGTCTTGCCGAGCATATGGGCGTGCGTCCGTGTCGGGGATGCTGCGCTGGCTGTCCCGTCTCTCAACATCCTCAATTGTGTGCTGGCGGCGAGGCCGTCGCTGCCCGTCACCTCGATCGTGTCGGTCGGCGACATTGCACTGCTCCTGCAAAAGAAGGAGTTGGACCTGGATGCTGATGCGACCAGCGAGACGCTCGGGCGGTTCCAACACTCGAACGCACGCCTCCGCACGCTGCTCCAAGGCAAGCTCCTTTTGCTCGCGTACTTTGGTCTTCAGTCGAGCCGTGACTTTGCATTGGCCTTTGTCGCTGCGAATCTCCTCGACGAGGTCGAGCGGTGCCTGCATGCGGCGCAGACGTATGTTGCGCACTCGGCCGCGCAGGTCGTCTCGCTCGCCGGTCGCATCGCCCTCGAGCTCACGTTTACGCTCGCGTCGTCCGCATCGCCGCCATCGAGCGTCGTCGACCTCTTTGAGACGCTTCTCGGCCGCCAGCTCCTCACGCTGCCGCGCTGCCGACACCAGTTCATGGCGATGCTCCGCGCCAACGAGCACGAAGAGTTTGAGTGCTTTGTGCTCGGGTCCACCGAGCTCCTCAAGCACCCGGAGCTCCAGACGTGCATGGTGCAGTTACTCGTGCCCGTGTTTGCAACCGACGACATCCTCCTCGGCACCGAACGCGACCGTCTCTGGTTCGATTCGGCGCTCGTCGCTGTCGCAGACCTCTTGCTGTCGGCGCCCGACATGCCCGATACGCTCGTGGCCGCGATCCGCGTGCTCTTTAGCGCTCTCAACATCTTGCCACGCGCCGAGAGCCGCGATGTGTTTGTGCTGCAGGCGCTCCTGCCTGCGTACCGCTCGCTCCTCACGAGCGGTCACCACACGGTCGTGTTGCGCTTTGCGATCGAGCTCCTCTATGATCTCGTGCAGCAAGACGCATCGTATGTGGCGATTTTGCACCGTCTCGAGCTCCTCCCGTTGCTCTTCCGACTGCTGTTGCAGCCGGCTACGATCTCGGCCAGTGCGACGCAGCTCGTTCGCCGCGTCGTGGAAGCCCACGACGTGGTGCCGACTGACGTGCTCTACGAGCTCGATTTACCAAAGACGCTCGCAGTCTGTAGTGCCCATTGTGCCGCCAACCAGCTCTGGAGCTGCGCGAGCGATATCGGTCAAAGCATGTACAGTCTCCTCTACGCCCAGTACGAGGCGCCCAACGACGCGCGCTTGTTGTATGCGCAAAGCCATGCTGTGCTCGTCGAGGCGCTTCCGAGTCTCCTCGCCGTGTGTGCTGCCGACACGGGCGACGAAGCGGACGCCCACGAACACGCATCGCGCTGTGTTTCGCTTCTGTGCCAGGTACACTGATTGCTGCATGTCTCTCGACGACGACGTGGAGTAGCTCTTTGGGGCCGAGGCTAGCGCAATGCTGCTACGCAAAGGACTTGCGTACGCTTATTGCCATCCACAAGGTAGTGGGCTCATACGCAGCATAGGAGCTTCCTTTCTGCGCTGCGCGCCTCATCGGCACCGGTGCTCTTCCGCTTGCTCTTGGGTCTCAAGAGTCTCGTCAGCGAACACCGAGTTAGTCTGACAAAAGACCCGCACTGGCCGCACCTCATTGAGCGCGTGCTCGGTATCGGCAGTGAGGACCAAGGCCGCAAGTCGACGCTCCTCGCGCGCGAAGTCTACCATCTCATGACCGCGCCGTAGACTCGCCATTCTGCATCATTCAGCTTGTTCTTTCCATCATCCACCTGCGTCGGCATGGCGGACGGACCATCTTGCCCACGCGGGTACTAGCTGCGGGTGCCAGCTGCGGGTGCTAGGAGCACGCAAGCAGTAGTAGCTCGATGGGGCGGCTACCGGCAGAGATTGCCGTTGATGCTGGGCCTGTCACATGTGGCGCCATCATCGGTATCCGGATGCTGGAGCGCCACCCAAAGCGAAGGCCGAGGATCATTCGGCGTGTCTATCCGGATGGTGCTGTTCACGAAACAGCTAAAATTAATATTCAAGAATCGCGTCATAGACATGCCCTCTACATACAAATAACGAGTATAAAGACCCCGCAATAGCATTTCTCTTTGTAAAATAATATGCGCGCTTGTCAAAAAAAAGAATCCTATGGGCGTCGGTATCCGGACACGTGGCCGCCATGTTGAGCGTGGCATTCGTGGACGAGGCGAGCATGGCGGACGTGATGGACATCCCGCGCGCGGACGAGATCGCCGAGGTCATGGACTTCCTCAAGTTCAGCATCAAGAGCAGCTCCGGCTTCCTCGGCAATATCTGCTTCAACTTCCGCGTCGAAGGCGCCGACGAGGACACGCGGCTGCGCTACATTGTGCACGTCAACGCCAAGAAAGGTATGGAGCACTTGGCCTCGCCTCGCCGAGCGTCGACGCTTATAGCCGCAATGTAGAGGTCAAGACGACGCTTCTCCGAACGGACGTGCCGCAGCACGCCAACATGAAGATTGACTGCGAAGTGACCATGACGATCGACGACTTTTTGCACTTGTACTCGGGCAAGGCAACGATCGGCGAGGTCTCGCGCCTCTGCTACTCGGGTCGCGTGCACGTCTCGGGCTTCCAGTTCCGCTTCCTTACGCGGTTTGCCCAGAGTTTTGAGTTTTCGACCGACAAGTGGAACGCGTTTTACAAGTGGCAGCGCGACCAGCAGCAGCAGATCCTCGACGAAGCGTCGCTCATGGCCGACAGCGTCGAGTACAGTCGCTTGCCGCGCCAGATTGCGCTCTACATCCGCGGCGGCGTCAACATGGCGATCCTGCAGCGCCGCTGCTTTGAAGCGTCGCTGAGCCGCATCTTTGGCACGCGCCTCCTCCTCTCGTACACGTCGCTCGCGCACAGCGGCAAGCAGTTCCAGCACACGCCCCGCGCCAAGAAGCTTTTGCGCATCTCGCGTACGCTCAACGGCGTGCACCCGCCGACGCGCAAGACGAACGCCAAGGCCGTCGGCAAGTCGCTCCGTGACGAGGTCGAAGGTGTCTTGGCGTCGTCGTACTCGCTCGTGGCCGACGAGGACCTTCTCTTGGCGCCCTCTTTGATCGACGACGAGATGGTCAAGGTGCTGCAGGGCACCGCGCGGTACCCGCTGCGTCGGAAGAAGGGCAACTGGATCACAAAGCTCAAGCAGTCGACCGACCTCCACAAGCGCGTGGATCTCACAGACGCGACGCGCAAGCAGATCGACAAGATCGTGGCCAACCTTATCGGGCCGGACCAGCCGATGACCAAGAGCAACTTTATGCCGGCGCCGCAGCGCGTCTTGCACGAGCTAAAGAACCTCATCTCGAGTTCCCAGCACGAGCCTTCGTCGCCGCCGCTCGCGTCAGTCCTCCGGGACATGGACGCTGCGATCGCCATGGAGCTCGGCCTCGTGGAGAAGAAGCAAGCGTTTGTGCGGCCGGCGCCGCCTGTCGAGATTGGCACGCGCGACATCATCCGCTACAACACGAACCGCGAGTTCATCAAGGGCAAGAAGGCCCTCAAGAAGAAGATCGAAGGCCTTCGCCAAGGCCTCTTGACCCACCGCCCCGTCGAGGCCGTCCCCGACAGCATGGCCTTCCTCATCGACTACTAGACGTCGCCCCTATTTAACCCTCTCTATGTCATCTCGTCCACGTTGCTCAATGCTAGTCGGTTGAATATTTGTCGTAACGGCTAGCGCTCACGGCTTGGCGACTCGGTTCAACTTCTGGCTCTTTGCTCAAACTCAATTCTCAAAGCGCATGCGATTAGTTGAGTTGTGCGTTATTGGATGGGGCCCCCCAGGAAGGTGCGGTTTTTACGCCGGATACAGGGCGTCTCGTATAAAAATTCCGCCAATGAAATCGACGTGTGTTTGAATTTTTAAATTGACGCCACCCAGCGCGAAGGAGGGGGTCATCTGTTTTCATAAAATAATGGAGACTATGAGCATTTGTATGCCGAGAGGTATAAAATTGACTGGGCCTGCTGGCTGGTTTTGAGATTTTGGCACACAAACACGGTTGAGGGAAGATCTCACAGTGGACGCCACGCAGTACAGTAGTCGACGACGACGAGCCAGCCACCCGAGACCATCATGCAGTACCAGTCCAATGATGAGAACGTCGTCCCTACCGCCCTCCGCGCGCGCCCCACGCGCGTACGCCCGCGCCTGCCCAGCCTCGCCGCCTCATGCGCCTCGTAGGTGTTCAAGCCGCTCGGTAGCCGAAGCCTGAAGCAGCATGGCGAGAAGGTCGACCCGTCCAAGATGGCCCAGACCTTCAAGCGCTCGGCGCTCGGCGAGATCACGAACAACAAGCTCACGGTACGCGCCGGCGAGAGGCCACGGACAGGCCATCTCACGTTGCACAGGCGCAAGTGGCCCAAAGCACCAAGCTCCTCCGTGACGGCCAGAAGGTGGCCCGTCGCCAAGAGGTGATTCGCCGCACGTCGCTCGTGAAGGAAGAGGTGACAATCAAGTCGGAGCTGCGCATCGAGCCCGAGCTGGAGGCGTACAACCCGTACGACATTGACTCGAAAGACAAGGGCGATGAACTGGCCTGTTCGCAGTACGCGGCCGACATCCACAAGTACTACTTTGAAGTTGAGGTACTTGCGAGCATGTATCGTCAGCCATTCAGGATTGTGGGCGTAGAAAACGCGCATGCCCAACCCGTCCTACATGACGGACCACTGCGATGTCAACATCAAGATGCGCGGTATTCTCGTCGACTGGCTCGTCGATGTTCACTACAAGTATCACCTTGAGCCACAGACGCTCCATATCGCCGTCAACCTCGTCGACCGCCACTTGGAGAAGAACGTGACGCTGCAGCGCGCGCGCCTTCAGCTCGTGGGCGTGACGTCGCTCTTCATTGCGTCGAAATACGAAGAGATCTACCCGCCCGAGGCCGAGGACTTCATCAAGATCACCGACAACGCGTACGAGCTCAAGGACCTCTTCAAAATGGAAGAGGAGCTCCTCGCGAGCATCGGCTACCGCGTCACGTCGCCGACGTCGTTCCAGTTCATGAACCGGTTCCTCAAGGCGTCGGCCACCGAGGACCCCAAGATGCGCCACTACGCCCACTACATTGTCGATCGCTGCATGCAAGAGTACAAGCTGCTGAAGTACCGGCCGTCGATGCTGGCGGCGACGGCCGTCTTCCTCACCCGTACCTATATGTCTGCGACGCCCGTCTGGGTACATGATTTGCTCGTTGCCCGACCAAAGCTCATGTGGTGATGTAGTCGGCGACCGTGGAGCACCACTCGACGTACTCGGAAGCCGCCCTCGCCGCGTGCATGAACGACGTCAGCACCATGCTTCTCACGGCGTCCCTCGGCGTCGGCAAGTCGGCCAAGCTCACGGCCGTCAAGCGCAAGTTTGCCAAGGATAAGTTCCACTCGGTGTCGCTCTTCCAGCTCAAGCACAGCGACGTGTAGACCTTGTCGATAGCTCCCAATGTGTGCACACACACGCCCACTAGTAGCATAGTTCATGTTTAGTTAATAATTAGTCCTTGACACGATTGTACATTTTAACAATCTGATTATTCCTCGTCCCACGCCTGTTCAAGGCGGTGTATTGAGGGCTAGGTCATTGACCCGTAAATGTCAACTGCAGAACATCATAGCGCAAGACAAGCGTGGGCGGCGGTCGGGTTTGGCACCGATGCAGAATGCCATCATTGATATACAGGGCAAGTTACATGTAAAAGAGTAGTCATTTACGCAGTTCGACCTAGTCGCTCGTACTCGAGGTGAAGCTCAAAAGCGACTTATTGACGCCAGAGCTCATCTTTTTCTCCAAAAATGCTTCGTACGTTTCCATGATGGCTTGGCGACTCGCCGCTTCCTCTTCGGGTGTCTCCCAGAAGCGCGAGACGTCGACGGCCACACCCGGCATACTCTCCTGGCGCGCAAAGAGGCGGCCCGTCACGACCTTCTCGGGCGCCGAAAGCAGCGCCGAGAAGGCGTCGAGAACGGTTCGGTGCGCTTGATTGTCGAGCTCGACGCGCTTCTCCATCGAGACGTACGTCGGTCCGTCGCTGAGGCTGTAGTACACGGGCTTGTACGCCTTGATCTCGGTACTGGCGTCGTCCCAGAGCTGGTGCTTCCCAGTGTACACGGCTTCGTGCGAGAGCTTGAGGTCCCAGCGTGGCACATACACGCGCGCGATTTTGGTCGGCAAAACATCGCAGACCATTGATGCCACGGGCACGTGACGGTAAATGGCGGCCGCGGCCCGTCGGGGCGCCTAATATCAAGGTATCAGGTCCCAAACTCCTCTTGCAGGTATTACCTCGTGGATCTCGGTTTCGATGGCCGAGACCGTGGCCGCCACAACCGAGTTGCGGCGCTTGACGTCGAGTGTCACGAGCGACGAGAAGACAGCAGCGACGGCCGACGGGTTCTGACGCAGCTCGTGCAAGGGCACCTGCGGCACTGTCGCCTCCGGCGCCAACTGGTACAGGCGCGACGCCCAGAGCCGTTCGATGCCAGTGACAGGGCAGGCCATCGACGGCTTGGGCGCCTTCAGCAGCGCACGCACAACCTCTTCGGTCGCTTGGTGCACGACACCGTCGCAGCGCGTCACGAGGTAGTCGACCGGGATCGTGCGCGGCGCGACAAGGAGGCGGTCGCCGTCGGCCACGAGGATGTCGCGCACGCCGTCGTCGGTGCGGTGCAAAATGATGCGCAAGGCGTCCGGTGCAATCGCAAACACATCGTGGAGCAAGTTCATGGCGGCGGCGAGGTCGAGGCTGCGCAAGTTGACATAGACCGTCGGCATGACCGGCGAGGCTTGCAGGAAGGCCGTGAGCTTCAGGGGCGCCTCAAAGGCGTGCGACGGCGGAAGCTCGGGGAACCCAACGACCGACACTTCGCGGCCCCAGTCGTGTGCCTTTGAGAGAAGCGACGGCGACCAGAGATACGTGATCGGGATTTTCCAGACCGAAAAGGACGGCGGGAGTCGGTGGTGCCACGGCGGGAGGCCGAGCGTCTCGACGCGAAACTGGTTGAGCACATCGCGGCAGTTGGTCCACGCGTACTCGTCGACGGCCGCGTACGAGAGCCAGTTGCTCCACTCGCTCCACGTCGACGAGTCCTCCATGAGCGGGTGTGGGAACTCGCTCGTCGGACTCCACGGCGACGACGCAATCAGCTGGACCGGCACACCGAGACGCTCGGCCAAGTAGCGATGGACGATGACACCAGGATGCGACAGAATCAAGTCGGCGCGGAACCCGACGCCGTTGACCGCCTCCCACGTGGACTGGAGGAACGCGAGGGGGTCGTGCCAAGGGCCATCGACCGTCGCCATCTTGCCGATCCGGTCCATCCAGTCGTGAACGCTCGTCGGGTTGCCCTGCAGCGAGAAAAAGTCGAGGCCATGCGAGCGCACAAGCTTTTCGTGAAGCGGGTTGGCGGCCAATCGAACGTGATGGCCGTCCGACGCAAGCACAGACGCGACGGCAATGACAGCTTCGACTTCCGAGGGCGCCCCGATCGCGAGGACGCACACGTTCATGTGGAAGGGCACGGACGCCGGCGCGTCATGCAACGACGACGACGACACGGCGTCGAGAAGGCGGCGCGTCGACGGTGCCCGGCGCAAGAGATCGCCACGAACTTCGTACTCCATGTGGAACTCCCCGGTCGCGGACCAGCGCATGCCACGGACAACCATCGGGACACCCGACGACGACGACGAAGAGGACTCATTGCCGTCGTCACCGTCGTCGTCATCGTCTGTCACTGTCACCGACGACGACGCCTCGAGCGATTCGGACGGCGGCGGCGACAACTCGCGATGTTCCTTGAGCGCGATCACGTCCTTGAGCGCCGATAAGATCTGCGTCTGCTCGGCGGGCGTGACGTGGACGCCAACGAGCGGCGCGAGGCTGTGCCGGTGCACACGGTCGCGGTCGGCTTCGTCGCTCGTCGCAGTCGAGAATGTTGCGTCGTTGCGGCTGAAGAGCTGCTTGCCGTCAAAGCGGGGCTCCTTGCGCTTGCCCTCGTCGCGATGCTTCAAGTTGTAATGGCCAACGGCGACACGATCGGTGAAGAGCGCAATGCCATGCAGCGGCGCGAGGGCAAAGTTGGCGAGACCTTTTGCTGCGCCGATGGCCGCGCCCTTTGCGCCATCCTTCTTGTAGCCTTTAGTCGGCTCGGCGACTATGCCGACGAGCGACGACCCAATCTCGTGGACAAACGCACCCGCCCCGTTCGCAGCGCCTTCCAAGCCCGAGTTCGGACCGCTGCGCGCGTAGGCCATGACGTGGTAGTCGAGCACCGCTTGGTCCGACGTGGACCGGATCACGTACGCGCAGCAGTCGCACACTTGGACCTGATCTTTCACGAGCCACTTGGTCGCCATGTGCGTCGGTGTGAACGCGCACTTCATCTTGTGCAGCGGTAAATGGTTGTAGAAGCTCTGAACCGCGGCTTCGACGCCGTTCTCGGCCTGCATGGCAGCTTGGAGTGCCCGCGCGTTGGCGGCGAGCTCTGGCGACGAGAGCTGCGCAAACGCTTGGGTGAGCACCGGCGTCGTGAGGTCGGCGATCGGGCACGGTGGCGCGCCAACGCCCGCATTCACAACCGCCCAGCCCCAGAACGGCTGGTCGCCAAAGAACGGCACAATAAAGGTCGGCTTGCCCGCGAGGAGACCCGCGGCCGTCGTGCCAGCACCGCCGTGGTGGACAACCGCAGCCATGTGCGGGAAGAGCCAGTCGTGCGGGCAGTTGCCAAGGAGAAATACATTGTCCGGAATCGTAATCTCACCGCCTTGGGTCATGTCGCTCCAGCTGGACTGGAGCACGACACGGACGCGAGCGAGTTTGGCGGCGTCGATGATCGTCTGCGTCGTCTTGGCCGCGTCCGGAATGACCATCGAGCCAAACCCGACAAAGATCGGCGGCGGCCCAGACGCCAAGAAGGCGGCAAACTCGGGCGTTGGCGTGTGCGCGGGAATGTCCGTGTCGCAGACCGTGCCAATGACGTCGTAGATGCTCGGGTCCCAGTCGTCCGGGCGCGGCACGAGGTGCGGGCTCCACATGAACGAGTGCGGAATGCGCAAATCCAAAAGAACGTTCCGGCCGGCGTCGCCCATGCGGATCTTCCGGAGCCCGAGCACGTCTTCGCGGAACCGGTTGACCATGTTCTCGGTCCCTTGCCACATGAGGAGGTCCACGAGCTTGTACGAGATATGGTTCTTCTTCTCGATCTTGCCCGTGTACGCGAGGTTCGAGAGCGGGTGCGGGAACGCCGCCGTCGGCACCCACGGCTGCGGAAACATGATGTGCAAGGGCACGCCAAGCTTCTCGGCCACATGGATGTGGCCGTACGTCACCGGGTTGGAGATGATGGCGTTGGCGCGGAAGGGCGGCAGCACGCGCGTGGCACCCGGGTCCGCCGAGTGCACGGCCGGCCACGTCGAGAAGAGGATCTCCTCGACCATCTGGATGTTGCGTGGCATGTCCTTCGTAAGCACGTCGTACTGGACAGGAATCAAGTGCCCGCCCGTCTTGACCATGTATGCAGCGAGCTCCTTCGGGTCGCCGCCGAGCGGGTAGAACTCGAGGCCACCGTCGGTCACCATCGAGCGGTAAATGGCGTGGGTCGCGAGCCGGACGCGGTGGCCATCGGATACGAGGCGCTTGCCAATGCCAATGAATGGCTGCACGTCGCCGCGCGTGCCGACGATCATGATGCAGATGTGCATGGGCGGCGCCGGCTCGGAGAAGCCCGACGGCGCCGACGACGACGTTGGGCTGTGGTTGCCGACGACCGCGTCCGAGCGTGCGAGGCTCGACCGATGGAGAGCAGAAGGCGGCGGCAACGGGAAGCTATCGGCGTCATGGATCTCAATCTCAATGCGACCGTCACGCGTCATGGCCGTAGCCGCGGGATGGATCGTCATGGGCGCTTCGTCGTCGTGGTGCTTGCCCTACAAGCACGATAAGAAAGCGTACATCGTGGCGTGACTCTGGCGTACGAGGTTCTTGATCTTAGACGAGAGGTCGTCCATGGTCTTCTTGACCGGAATGTCGATCGAGTCGAGCGTCTTCTTGACGGGGATGTCAATCTCGGCCATTTTCTCCTTCGTCCTCGCTGTAAAGTCGGTGATCGAGTCCCATGTCTTCTGGACCGGGATCTCGGCCATCTTCTCCTTCGTCTTGGCCGTGAACTGCTTGAGCTTGTCCATGGTTGCGAGCCAAAGCCAAAATGACGCCTCCTTGCTTTGCCAAAGCCTGTTATAACATCATGAACATGTCGCGTTATCATAGTACTTGCGTGTTAGACGCACCCATGTTGTGCGACGCTGGCGTTTTAGTCCGTTTAACCCCTTTTGCGCGGTCGCTGATTGGGTGAATCGGGCAGCACCCGTTGTGATTGGACCGATCTTGCTCCTAACACTTCGACGCGGCACGGCTGACGTAAACCCATTATTTCATCACGCGATGCCATTGGCTAGTAGCCAACCAATGGCCTTGCGAGAAAGGCGATCCTGCGAATGCACTTGGGTTTTGTATGCTGTCCATGTTTACTTGTGTGGACCATGGGCATGGCGCGGATGACGTGACGGACACGACGGTCATAAAATGGTTTTCGTGCGATTGCATACAAAATGTAAATAAAAAAATTGCATTGCATTTGAATCACGCCATTCGACTCTAAGAAATTAGGGCGGATCGGCAAGCATAAATAAGGCCGCGCCTAAAAGAGGCAGTCGTACAGCGGCGCGAGGAAGACGTCGGCGGTGGGTGCGTCCGCGGACGAGAGCGGCCACATCGAGTCGACGTGGTAGAGGTCCATGACCGACGTCGGCGAGAGCGCTGCGTCCAGCTCCTCTTCCTTGAGCGGTGCGTGCAGCGCGTTGGCGTCGTGAAAGCCAAATGGGTCGAACGACGAGACGTCGCCGAGCGCCTCGGGGATCCAGCAGTCGCTCATAAAGTCGAGCTCGCGAAAGTCCCGGTCGAACGTGTTGTCGTCGTCCTTGAGCGGGTCCGCCATGTCGAAGCTCAAGCTCTTGGCCCGCGAGGCCAGTTGCAGTTGCAGCTCCTGGATCTGGGTCGATGCATGCGCCGTCGCCTTCTTCGTTGGTGTCAACGACGGTGCTTGCGTTGGCTTGGTCATCGAGGGCACGCTGTTGGTGCGCTTCACAGGGCCCCGCGGCGTCATGGCCACATACGGCTTGACACTGGTCTTGATCGTGAGCGCCGGCTTGGCCTCGGTCTTGACCGCGGACGGCGACAAGACCTTCTTGGGCATCGTTGTGCACTGCGACGACTTGGCGACGACATTGAAAGGGGGGCGCACCGCCGACGTCTTGATCATGGGCGGGCGGTGCAGCATGGACGAGAGGCTTGATGCATGCATAAAGTGATGGCTGTTGGGCGACGACATGGACGACTTGAGGGTGCCCATGAGCGACGGCTTGAAGCCGTGGAATGGCGTGGTCGATGCCGTATGCTGTTTCTTGACGGGCGGGATCGGGAGCCCGTTCGCGTCCTTCTTCTTGTTGCGCTTGCGCTTGCGCGTGCCGTTGGCCTTGTTCTCGAGGCGTTCCTTCTCTTCGCGGATCCAGCTCTCGCAAAAGTCGTCGTGGAGCTTCTCAATCTCGGCAGCGCGGCGGAGCTTCTCGTCGTCGCTCATGTCGTTGATGCGCGACTCGTTGCGCTCAAACATGCGCTTGCCAATGCTCTGCTCGCCGACAAACTTTTTGCTAATGCGCATCGGGCAGCAGCGCAACTTGGCGCTGAGCCAGCTGCGCATCGTCGTGCCGTTCGTCACGTCTGTGAGAAGGCCAGCGGTGAAGTCGCCAATGAGCCGCGTTGTGTACGCCTCTTCTTCGCGCGTCCACTTGCCCCAGCGCAGCTTATCCTTCTTCGGGGCCTCGGCGTCGTCTGTGGTCACAGTCTCGGTCGGCGATGCATCGGGCGCGGCAGCTGCCGGAACTTCCGTGGGCACTTCCTTGGCCGGCAGTGGCACGGCCGTGGGCGCCAGCACCTCGTGGGCCGTCGCCGTCGTCGTCGTCGTCGTCGCAGTGCTCATGCTCTGTGGTTTTGGTGCTTGCACGGGCGTCGATACCAAGGGTGTAGCACGAGATCGCTTGCGTGTCAAGCCTCTTATTTAAAACTAAGGTCCAAAGCCGCGCAGTATCATCGCGGCCACAAGCCTGTGCGAACAGATCGTGGTCCCACCCTGCTTTGGCTCCTCGCTTCGATAAAAATCCTCCCAACAGCTGTGTGGGCGATCGGCCCATTCCCTCTTTGCGATCGACTGCATTCCTATATTTGGCGTCACCGAAAATCACCCAATCCACATCCTTCATATTCAAAATTCACGCGCGGGATTCGCCAATATGAAAGCGTCACTCCTTCCAAACGGAGCTCAAAAGGTGGTTTCCGTGGAAGAGACGGAATAAGATCTAATCGGGGCTTCGATTTTTGATTTGCATGGGTGGACAATAGCCTCAGTGGCGACAACGCCTGTGAAAATGGAAGGCTTCCGACGCGGGAACTTCTTAGCGGAGGAGGAGGGGCCGTGGATGGCAGCAGCTTGCTCCTCGTTGTACCATGTACCATACGAGTGCATTGCAGTAGCATCGGCGATTCTTCGTTGGGGACTGCGCCCGTCTTGCGCATCGGCTTACTGTCACAGGCGCTCGTTGAGCACATCCATCATGCCTAGGAGTACGTCCCAACCATTCGCCAAAGCTTCGGTCGCGTGTGACGATGTGGGACCGAGGGCCACTGTGGCTGGAAAGGCCGACACCCCGTCGAGTGGCGCCAGCCATCCACAAAGTGGTGCGTGGTCCTTGGGAGGAGGCACTCACAACCAGAACGGCGACACGAACAACGATCTCCGCTGCGCGGTCGAAATGACGTCGACAACAGCGCCGGACCAGCCATTGGCATGCTGGCGCCTTGCATTCGTAGTTAGTTACTCCTTGAAGCCTTGCAGGATGCGCGACTGATATGCGCTTCGATGGCGCACGAGATTCGCCACCAACCACCAACCACCAACCACCAACGGACCAGCATACCGGTATACAAGAGCACACAGCACGCTCCCATTCGTCACTTACTTTGTGAATTCCTTGCCGTTTCTTCTTGCATTTTGGGTCGTGCCATACAAACGAATCTCGGTCGCAGTAATCACTAAAACGCTTTGGTTCGATATTTCGTTTGAAAAAAATCGAACGCGCGATCTTCTGGTTCGGAATGTGACGTGCCAATGGGCAATGTGGCAGGATCTGGGTTCAGCGCCACGTGGTTGCACCTACGCCTTTTGGGTCTTGGTCGCGACGGTCTGTGGCACCAAAGGTACTCGTATTCGCTCCTACGGCCCCTCCTTTCCTTGCATCTTGGTCGGCCGTGCTGGCGACAACGGCCTTTCCAGCACACGGGCTCTCCAGCCACCTTGCCCTTGGCGCTGAGGAGGTATTGGAGAGGTGTATACACGTGTATGTGGGCGAGATAGCACCTGGTGATGCACCTCCCACGACCACACGATGCAGAGCAGCAAGTGTTACGCAAGGCTGCGTTCAGTGTTACTGCGCATTGCCAACGACTATTCATCGTCTTCGCCGTCGTCTTCCGACTCTTTGATCTCGTCCATGTCGACGTCGAGGCTTTTGGGCGCCTTGTGCCCGATGCTGCGCCCCATGAGCTCGTTGGAGTCGGCCGACGTTTCTTTGGCGCGCATGAAGAGCGGCGAGTTTTCCAGGATCGGGCCCGCGATCGTGAGGAAGACGCCGAGGATCTCTTCGTCGTCGGTCGTAAAGACGCCGTCCGTCTTGTTGATGAGCTGGAGGACGCCAATGACGTCCGTCTTCTTGCCGCGGAGCGGCAGTGCCAGAATCGTCTGTGTCTTGTACCCGAGCTTTTGATCGACTTCCTACACCACCTATGTACAGACCTTCTGATGGCAGTCACCATGGACGACACCTTGTTGAAGCGGGCGTCGTCGTATGCGTTGAGGAGGTTGATCACGTTGCCTTCTTGGGCGACGGCGCCCGAGATGCCTTGGTGCCACGGAATGCGAATGTCGACTTCGCCTTGGAGCGTCCACAGCTCGCCCTTGTTCTTATCCACGAGATATAGCGAGCACCGGTCGGCGCCAATAAGCGTCTGGATGCGGTGCGTGACCGTGAAGATGAGCGAGTTGATGCCGAGGTCTCCGTGCATGGCCTTGACAATGTCGAGCACTTCGGTCACCTTCTTCTGCGCGAGGAGCGCCGTCTTGTGGTTCTGCGCGTTCTGGAGCGCGATGCCGGCCTGCGCCGCGAGGATCGTCATGACCTCCTCGTCCATGTCGGTGAAGCCGCCGTCCTTGTCATTGCCGACACGGTTGAGCGCCTGCATGACGCCGACGATCGCGCCGTGGCCATTGCGCTACGTAGTTCCTCAAAACGTAGAAGGCGAAAAGCCAACGTACCACCGGGACACATAGGATCGAGCGCGTATGGTACCCCGTCTGCATGTCGTACTGCGAGTCGAAGTTCGGGTCGGCGTACGCATTGGCAATGTTGATGAGCTTCCCGGTCGATGCCACGACGCCTGCAATGCCCTAGCGCAGCTGCGATCGAGAAGCTGCGACGGATGGACCGTAGGAGGAGTACCTTGCCGACAGGCACACTGATCTCGGCCGCGCCCTCGGCGACGCTGAGATTCAACGTTTGGCGCGCCGCATCCTACGCTTTGCTCGTGGCGCGGCTGCGCGGAGTAGGACACGTACAAGTTTGAAGAGCGTCGATCGCTCGCAGTTGAGAATCTTGCACGTTTGCTTGATGATCGAGTTGGTAGCTAGATACGTACACATGCTCGACAAGGCACGCGGATCATGGCGTCGTACCTTCCAGCGGATCGAGCTGCATCGTGATGACGCGGAAGGCCTGGATGAGCTTCTCGAGTAGCGTCAGCCGCTTGTTGGCAGCGTTCTCGCCGCTGCTCGCGACGACGCTACATGGCGCATGAGACGTGGTCGATACCGAGCGCGCACGTACCTGTCGCGCTTGGGCCGAAGGCACAACCGTCCGTTCTCGTCTGCGGACGCGCTATCGACGCCCACGACGTTGTAGAAATGATGACCATGGAGCGTACCTCGCTTCGGCGTAGCACTGCTTAATGTAGGTCATTGCGTGGTCGGGGTTGTACGTCTCGCCCGACGAGCGCTACGCAGGACGTCATCCTCTTGTGCACGAGGGGCAGCGTACCAAGGCGAGCTTCTCGGACGCGATCGTGCGCATAAAGGCGAGCGGGTCGTCCGGGCGGCTCAAGAGCGCTTCGGCCGTGACCCACTCGATGAGCGACCGAAAGTTCATCGAGTTGAGGTACTCCTCGCCGCCCTCGGCCGTCTGCGCCTGGCTAGCCATTTCGCTGGGTTTCGCTTCTTTCAACGAAAATGGAAATTGACGTTTCACGTCGCCAACCGCCAAATCTTCCAACCTCTCCATGGTGTCCTTGGGAACCCAAGGCTTGGGTTTGGACATATTTCTCAACATAAAACGCTGTCGACGGGCGATATGGCGCCAGTTCACTCTACGTCGACCTCGACGACGCACTGCAACGTTTGGACTTTCACTGCTGCGCATCAACAAGGTCGTCGGCCTCTCGGTGGCGATCGCGATCAAGCCGAGCCTCCTACCAAATGATCCAAGTCGTTGCTCTCTTCGACGGCGAGGCAGCTCGGCGAGGCCACGACCACGGGAAGTCGATTGAAGAATATTCCTTTGTACCTTTGAGTAGCGTTGCCAATCGGTATACAGAGATCTCTGTACTATGACCTACTGGGTGATCTAGCGCCAATATATCTTGGACGGACTTGCGCTTGAACTAAAGTGGTCTACCATGTGATGTCCTGCGCTCAAGGAAAATGAGTCCGCAGAGCGACCGTAAGATATAGTCGATCTGGAAAGATAGGAGGGTTGCAGTCTGCCTGGGGCGGTGAGATCGCAACGTGGTGGCGACGGTGTCGCCGTTTTCGCGCGGCTGTTCGAATTCGGATCTTGCCGATTTGTACCAGGCAAAGTCCTAGTTAGGCCCTACAAATGGGGCGAAGAAGAGCCTCGATTCGAATCTTTTGCAGAGTTCAAGCAACGACGAACCGATGGAAGACGAGGAGGCGCCGACGAGCAGCCGCGGGGCCCGCCATCGACGAACGCGCAGCGTCGGCTTCCCCGACGAGCATGAGCTCATGGAGCCGGCGGTGCCAGATGATGTGGATGTGCAGCCGGAGCGCGCCCACCGGCGGACCAAGAGCTTTGAGAGCCACGAGCAGTTCCTCGGTATGCTGCAAGCACCACGCTCGCGGGGCTACACCAAGTCGCTCAAGAGCTTGGTCAAGCACTTGGCTCCGGACGGAGCCCAGAACATCACGGGCTCGGCGGTCTCGAGCAGGACGACGCCCACCGGGATGTCGAGCCCCGTGCCACCGTCCCGGCGCCAGAGCCACATGAAGACGCATACGACCAAGGTGTGGTCGCCGCACCAAGACACGGAAGCGCACAAGCATCTTCTCGACTCGAGCAAACCATTAGAGTACGAATTTGCACTCGTGCTCCACAACAAGCCCGCCCGTGCTCGCGAGCTCGAGCTCCATGGCCTCGACAAGGTCGGGAACGAGCAGCGCGACGTGATTCGGCGCTGCGTCAACGCAGGGTTGGACGTTACAGTCGTGGCCAGCACGGTACACACACGCAAGTACCTCTGTCTCCTCGTGCGTCCGACGGCCCAGCGCATGCGCATCGAGCGCAACCGTCTCGCGGTCGAGCGCTGGCTGCAGATTGGCGCTGTTGGCGAGGTGCCAAGCGAGATCGAGCAGCTCATCTACTCGAGCGACTTGGGCTCGTCGCCGGCGCAAGTCGCGGCGGAGCTCGACGACATGGACGACGAGTGCGGGGACATGAAGTTTACGCCGGCCGAGCGCATCCAGACCATTGGCCGCATCCTCACGTCGACCGACGACATTCAAGAGCTCAACCCGCCGGGCGCCAACATCTCGATCGAAGACGTAAACACCAAGGACCCGATCATTGCGGCGTGCTTTCCACTGCACAACCGCAAGGTACATCCATATTCCCATATAAGGCCTGCATGGAGGGTGTCGTAGGTCAATGCGATGCTGCTCGCCAAGAAACACTCGTGGTGGATCAAGTCGGACGACATCACCAACGCGATTCGGTAAGCACAACAGGCTGCATTGGCTATCGTACTCGACACGACGACTGGGGGTAGGTTTCACTATGGCGAGCGCGTCGCCTTTCACTTTTCGTTTATCTTTTTATACACCAAGTGGCTCCTCGTGCCGGCGCTCGTGGGTACGATCCTATACCTCTCGCTGCGCTGGTACAGCGCGATCTACTACATGACGAGCCTCAGCATCTTTGGGTACGCGACCGTCATCATCTGGGGCACGCTCTTCCTCAAGGTACAAAGTATCAACTCTTTGTATCAAGCAGACTCAACTCCTATGCGCGGCATTAGTTTTGGCAGCGCGAGAACGAGCACCTCAACGACATTTGGAACGTGCGTCTCTTCAAGGAGGCCGAGTACCCGAACCCGCGCTTTCGACCCCACGGCTTTCGGGACATTGTCGATTCCAACGGCGTGCTGCTCTTCAAGGAGCCGTACTACAACCCACTGTACCGGATTCCCGCCATGATGCAGACGCTCTTCATCTTTACGCTCTTTACGCTCACGTATGTGGTCGGGACGACGTTTTTCGTGCAGTGGTACACGGCGGCGATGCTTGCGCCCGTCTGCGACGAGTGCCCGCACTGCGAAGGCTTTCTCTCGTGCTTTGACACGGTCGGCGCAACCGTGGGTACGTGGCGCTGGGTGTACATCCTCGTGCAGGGCATCTTCCTCGGCATCACGCTCGACGTGTTTGTCTACCTCTTGAGCGTCAAGCTCCTTCGGTTCTTTGTTGTGCGCGAAAACCACGCGACCGAAGCCCAGATCGACCGCACGATGATCAACCGCCTCTTCATCATCAACTGGATCTCGTTCTTTCTCTGGTTCATGCTCATTGCGTTTGTCGTCGTGCCCTTTGGCGAGCCGGTCGAAGACTGGCTCAGCGACCGGTTTCGATGGACGCGCATCACGGTGAGCTGGCGCGAAGGCCGCATCGACATGAGCACGGCGCTCGTGACGCCACTGCTGATCACGCAAGCGCTCAATTTGCTCATTGACACAGCATTGCCCAATGCCCTTCGGAAGCGCCGACTGAACGCGTTTCGCATGGCGCGCCGGCTCCGCGCCAACCCCGCCGACACGATGCTGGCACTCTCCGAGGCGCAACAGCACGCTGGGAGCCATCGCAGCGGTCGACGGTCGGCGCCAACGATGACGTCGTCGTCGTCGTCCCTCTCGCCCGACACGCCGTCGCTCAACTTTCAGACGAAAATTGAGGTTCGTTTTGAGATTGATGTCGAGAATTTGAGATGGCATTGTAGCTGCAAATGATCACGCCGCTTCGCATCCCGTACATTGAGAACGACTTGCACATTGCGATTCCGTCCATTGAAGGGTTCGAGAACGACAAGGGTGCGACGGCTCGTTGCTTGCACAATGTCTGATGGCGAGAGACTAGAGTTTATGACGGCTGATTCGATTGTCGAAGAGTCGCAACTCGACCTCTACGATGCCTTTGTACGTACCTCTCGTTCGTAGCTAGATTCAGCGTGATGTGGTAGCCCGACTACCTCAAGATGGTCATCCAGTTTGTACGCCGACAAAAGCGCCAAGATCGTCTTTACATGTCGTGTTGTCTAGGGCTACGTGGTCATGTTTTCGGTCGTCTGGCCGTTCTGCGGCATGGCAGCGCTGGTGCGATCACCTTGCATGGTATCAATGTATCGAGTGCGTAGGCCAACAACGCGGTGCACATTCAAAATTGCTTTCATAAGCTCTGCCTCACGCGCCGACGCCCGGTTCCGCGCAAGGCCAACAGCATTGGACAGTGGGAAAAGACACTCTACAGCACGCTCTTCCTCGGCGTCTTTGCGGTCGTCGGGCTTATTTGCATCAGTTCTGGCCAGGTCGAGTACTTTGTCGGGCACTGTCTCGCGCTCGACCGCTTCAATGGCACCGACTACAGGTAGTTTGTCGACCAGTGTTTCCAGCGGTGCTGCATATGGGTCGTAGCATGACGCCAGAGTTTTCGTGCTTTGATCTGCCGTCGCGCTTTCTCATTGCGCTCGTCCTCGAACACGTCGGCCTCGGGCTTATCTACTTGCTGCTGGACAACATCTCGGGCACGCCGGCGTCGCTGCGGTCGTCGTTCCAGCTCAAGCGCGAGCTCATCCGCCGGGCCATTGGCGGTCACAGCCACAACCACTCGGGCTCGCCCCACTCGTCCAGTACGCGACCCTGTCAAATGGCTTGTCTTAGGCGTCTTCTAGGTCGGTCGCAGCACGAGTATGTGTAGTAGGCAGAGAGATCGAAACGCGGGTCGTTGATTGGCTATAAAGCTCCACCAATGAGCACATCGTCTTTTGCACAGTAGCCAATGGCCTTGCGGCGTTTGAGTGGATAAGGTGTTGGGCTTGATCATCATTGAAGAAGCGAAGAGATGGACACGCAGACGACGCAGACGCCCGGCGGGATCCCGGACCTCGTCCTCGACAGCGACGTCTTCACGCTCGACTTCCACCCGCAGCGCAACATTGTCGCCACGGGTCTCATCAACGGCAGCGTCCAAGCGTACGGCGCCTGCCCAATTCACTGCAAGGCTCATCCGACTCGCGTAGCTTTGCCTATGCGCCCGAAGGCCACGCGAGCGTGCTCAGCTTGAGCCACCACCAGGATGCGTGCCGCAAGGTCATGTTCTCGGAAGATGGCAACAGTACGTCCTGATATGCGGTCGGATAGCATCTCATGCCAGGGACGTAGCGCTCTACACGGCGTCGACGGACAAGTCGATCCGCGCATACGACACGACGGGCGGCGTCATGTGGGCCGAGCTCAACGCCCACGCGTACGGTCTTGCGTCTCCTCTTCATTCGCTCATTGCGCATGGGCGGTAGTCACCCGGTCAACACGATGCATCAAATCTCCAACAACATTTTCACGTCGGGCGACGACCAAGGCTGCATCAAGATGTGGGACGTGCGCCAGCACCGCTGCGTCGTCGAGTGGAATGAACACACGGTGCCACGATGATCGTACACAATGTGTATGCTGAGACGAGTGTCTAGGACTACATTTCGGACATGACGACCAATGACGCCAAGGACACGCTGCTGGCGACCGGGTGCAAATGACCTGACCGTGACGTTCTTCGTGCTGACACAGTGTGTAGTGGTGACGGTCGCTTGTCGGTCTACGATCTCAAGAAAAATGCGTTCGTGCGCAAGAGCGATGAGCTCGACGACGAACTGTTGTCGGTTCGCATTGTCAAGGTCCGTCGTCGTCTTTTGGGGTCATGACGTCATATGAATGTGGTGCGAGTAGGGCGGGAAGAAGGTGGTTTGCGGCTCGCAAGATGGCGTCCTCGTCATCTTTAGCTGGGGCACGTGGGGCGACATGTCGGACCGGTTCCCCGGGCACCCGGACTCGGTCGAGACGATCCTCAAGGTCGACGAAGACACGATTTTGACGGGCTCGAGCGACGGTATCATTCGGTATGTTGCACTATAGCGTTGGCTGCAGAATAGTCACCAGTCGAGTAGCGTGGTGCAGGTCCACCCGAACAAGCTCCTCGGTCTCATCGGCGACCACGAAGACTTTCCCGTCGAAGTGCTCGAGTTCTCGCACGACCGTCGCATTGTCGGCAGTGTCTCGCACTCGGACAAGGTCCAGTTCTGGGACGTGGGCTACCTCTTTGACGAAGACGACGACGACGACGACGAAGACGATGGTCAGGAAGCTGCGGGCCTCGCGTTTGAGCCCAAGGACGACGAGTCCATGGACGACAGCGACGACGACAGCGACGACGGCGACAACGGCCAAGCGTTCGGCCGCCAGGCGGCACCGACGCAGCGGGAAGCCTTCTTCTCGGACCTCTAATAAATTACAACCAACACGACCGCCGACCTCGTCCGTTGCCCCGAAGACGCGGTGTCGCAGACCTTTCTCTACCTACTGCAGCAGGTCAGTCGCGTCGTCGACGCCAGTATGTAGACTTGCAGCAAGTCGCATCCGTACAGGTGCCCATCGTGGGTGAACATGGGTCGTCTGAAGTCCTTCGCCTGCTAAGTGCGAAGCCTTTCTCCTGGCGAGCACCTTGGCTACCTGGTGTGGACGACCAAGCCAAACCCCGCGTATCATACCTATGCAGGAGCCAGCGACACCTAAAGCTCCGTCCATGGCAGGGTAATCCTCTCGTGCATGCTTTGAGTCGGATACTGCGCCGAGACCACTGGCTTACGAGGTGAAAAGAGACGCTAAGATTTGCTGGATAATGACCTTGGCGTCGGCTCGACTCCAGTCAGCTTCAACGTGAGAAAGTGATACGTCCAACTCTACCCGCCTTGCGTACATCGTCGAGAGAAGACAAAGGTTGGCGTGTACGTATAAGTATATTGGATGATATGAGCTATTACTTGGTCACCTTCTTGGTCTTCTTGGCCGGCGGCTCTTCAAAGTAGCCCGTCTTGTTGGCCTCGACTTGGCGCTTGATGAACTTCATGCCCGCGAGGTTGAAGCCGATCTGGTTCTTGGCCGAGACGAGGTTCGTTCGCAGCGAGTGCCACAGCGTGTCGAGCTCGCCGAGGAGCGATGCGTTGGCCACAATCTGGTTGTGGTGGACTTTGACGAGGAAGAGGATGCTGTTGCAACACAGCTCGACCTCGAGCTCGGCCGCAATAAGCTGGAGGAGGTACTTGATGAGCTTCTGGACATAGTCGAACGGCAGCACAAGGAGCGCCTCTTCGAGGTCCTGCGCGCGGATCTCACGGAGACTCCGGAGCACATACTTGAGCGGCGAAAAGCCGAGGAGGAGGATATTGCCGCCGGGCGTCGCGGCCTTGGCTTCGTGCTCGGCCAAGTCGATGGCCTCGATGAGCCGCTCGCCGCTCTTGACCGTCTGGATCGTCTTCTTGGTCGCGGTCGCCGACTCGGCCTCAAGGACCGTGTTGGCGCCGTTGAGCGTCGGCGCGCTCGTGTTACTCGGGTTCAAGTCGGCTTCAAACATGGCTTCGAGCTCCTTCTCCTTTTCTTCTTCAATAAACACTTGGTCGTCCGAGCGCGCGTACTTGACGAGCGACCGATCCTGCGACGCCGAGATCAAGAACGACCCGTCGCGCGCGACCGCGATCGCCCACACTTCGCCGAAATGGTTGTTTTCGAGCTTGAGGATGCGCTCAAAGTGGTCGCCGTCCCAGTACGAGACGCACTTGTCCTTGGCGCACGTGAAGAAGAAGTGCGTGCGCGGTACAAAGCAAATGCCCATGATCGCCTCGTCATGCGCAAAGAGCGACTTGTGGCAGTCACCAAAGTCGAGGCCCCAGAGCTTGACGTTCTTGTCGGCCGACGCGGTCACGAGCAGCGTGTCGTCGGACGAGATATCCATGGCCATCACCGGCAGCTTGTGACCATACAGCGAGAGGAAAAACTTGAGCGAGTCGTCGAAGAACACCTTGACCGTGCAGTCGAGGAGCGCGACGGCCACGAGCAGCTTGCGCGGGTCGCTCGAGTGGCTAAACTTGACGCAGAGCACGTCGTCCGACATTTTGAGCATACGGACGTGCGCCAACCCGAGCTTGAGGCTCCCGCCAGCCGCTTGCGCCGCCATTTCAAACTCCCAAAAGTTGACCATGTGGTCGGCGCCGCCGGTCGCGAGGCCCTTCCCGTCCGGACGCACGTCGATCGACCAGATGGCGCCGGCATGCGCATCTGCCTTTTTCCAAATGCACTCGCCAGACGCGAGCTCAAAGAGGAGGAGCTCGCCGGCCTTGGTGCCGACGACGACGTGGAGGTTGCCGGGCGCAAAGACGGCCGAGAGTGCGAGCGAGAAGTCCGTGAGCGTTCGGACGCACTGCATCGAGCGGGCGTTCCAGACCTTGACGGACGCGGACGAGACACTGAGCACGAGCTGGTCGTCGGACGAGATGCACACTTGACGGACGTCGGACCGGTGGCCGGGCAGCGTCACGGCGTGCACCTTGGCGAAGCGCGCGTCCATCGACTCGGCGGACGGCGTCAGTGCATACGTCTCGATCGCGTTGTTGTGGAGCGAGACGAGCACGGACGTCGTGCCGTCCTTGGCAACGTCGGGCGAGAAGGCGAACGACCGGACCTTGGCACTGCACCGGATGATGCAGAGGAGCTCGACTTCGTTCGCGATCGGGTTGGCGTCATCCTCGTCCTTGTCGTCGTCGTCCTCCGCGTCCTTGTCGGCGTCGACGGCCGGGATCGAGAGGCCCGACTTGCCGTCGACCGCTTCCTTCTTGCGGGCCTTTTCACGCGCACGCTTGAGGCGACGCTGCGCCTTCTTCTTTTGCTCGTCGGCCGACCGGAGACGGAAGATCTCGATGGTCTTGCCCGCGCCCTGGCAGCCGAGCAGCGTGCCGTGGCTGTTGTACGCAACGTGCATGGCGCGGTCATGCGTCGAACGCTGGATCGTGCCGAGCAGCGAGAGGCGGTTGTCGCCGACGTTGTCGCCTTCGTTGACGCCGTACACGCGGAGCTTGTTGTCCGACGCACCCGTGAGGATGCGACGCGTGCCCTTTTGCATGTCGAGCGACCAAACTTCGTTGCGGTGGTCGACGCATGTCTGGACGCAGTGCTGTGTATCGAGGTCCCACACCTTGAGGAGCGAGTCTTTCGAGGTCGAGAGCAGCGAGCGCTGGTTCTCGACAAAGCCCACGGATGTAACCGCGTCCTTGTGGCCGCGCAGGCGGTACAAGCCCGACTGACTCACGACGTCCCACACGATGATGTCCGTGTCGCGCGAGCCCGACGCGAGAAGCGCGCCGCCCTCGCCAAAGGCCAAGCACTCGATCGCGTTCTTGTGGCCATCGAGCGTCACCTCGACATTGCCGTTGCTGAGCTTGAAGATGCGAATGATGCCGGTCGAGTAGCCGACAGCGACAAAGGCGCCGTCGAGGCTCAGGCGCAGCGCGGTCACTTGGCCGGCCGTGTCGTTCTCCGTGTCGGCCTTGAGCACGCGCACCTGCGTGCCCGTGCGGATGTTCCACACAATGACGTTCTTGAGCGCGCCGCAGATGGCGAGCTGGCCCGTGAGGTCGTAGACGACCGGCGCGCCCGGGCTAGCGATGACGCCAAAGGCGGCTTCCGGCGCGTACTTGAGGTAGCTCTTCATATCGCGTCGCTTCGCAAGTTCACACTGCAAGCACTGGCGAGGCCATTGGATGGAAATGATTGGTCCGTACAGAGATCCTGTGGAAATGCATACGCCGTATTGCTACGGTTTTATCCGGAAGTGAGCCGCACAAGAAGCTGCTGCTGATGGGTCCAGCAGGTTGGCGTCGGCCTGCGTCCCTGCGACGTGTTGCCGGCGATTGAAGGCAGCCATGCAGCCAGGCGAATGACCCTGTCGTCACCGTATCGCCAGGCGCAAGCTGGCGATCGGTGCTTGTTTTTACTAGTCCGCCATGGCGCGTCATGGGTCATCGAAGCGCTAGGAAAACATTGCGTCGTTCGATGCATGTCTAGGCACCGGCTCCACGCAGTATCATGTAGGTGCATGCGCATGATGTGGCCGCGTTCGATGCGACGATGCCCTCCCGCGTGGGAGCGGGCGCGGCCGTAGCACCGGTCGCGTCCACGGCGTCTTTGCTCCTCGAGTCCGGCGCGCCTCCCGCGCCAAAGATGCGGCAACCGCAGAGAAGAGCAAGTACTAATACAACGATGTGAATAAATAAGCTTCAACCTACGCTATAAAGGACCGACACTAGTTGAGCATGGCCTCCACCGAGAGACGCCGGCGCTTGTTGTCGATGACATGGATATCGCGGCGCGACGCCACCTTGGGCTCGACAATGTCCCGCGAAGACGACGACGATGACGACGACGCGCGGGGACGCATGGGCAGCTGGCTCTGGTACTGGAGCTGGTAATGCATCTGGAGGTACAATTGACGCTGGCGCTGCACCTCGAGCTGCATCATGTGCTGGCGCATCAACTGAGCTTCGTACTGCTGCTGACGCATCTGCTGAATGTACTCTTGCTCGCTCTCGTGGCGCTCGGTGCGCGCTTGGTTGGTCTCGATGCAGAAGACGGCAATCTCGTCAATCGAGAAGCCAAGGTCGCGCAGGCGCTCAATGCGCTTCATGGGCGCCAGGTACAGCTCTTCGTGCGAGCGAGGCGACCCTAGGCGGTCGGCGACAGACGTCGTGTGCGTCGAAATGGGCTTGCCCATGAGGCCAAGGCCGGGCCCACCCGTGCTCGGGACGCTGCACGGGTTGTGGCCGAGCTCAAACTCATGCACCGTTGTCGTCGCCCACGTGACCGTCTTCTTTGTGGTCGTCGTCGGAACCATCGTCGTGCTCATGGTCGCTACTGTCGTCGGTTGGGAGGAAGCTCAAATGCGAGGCTGGACGGACCACGCAAAGCATCCAGACAACCAAGATCTGGTTGCATTACGCACGCCAATTACCCCGCGCGTTCCGCTCGTGTTGATGGCAATTCGGAAAGCGTTACGTCGGCTGTGACATACGTCGTTTTATACCAACGTTTTATCTTGTCTTGGGCTTTGTATCCAAATGCTATCAAAACAATAGTATATCCTGTGGCAGTCTATACCCTGTCACAATGCATATTCAAATATTTAGCATACATTTCTTTACCTACATACAAATACAACCAAGGCGTGAATGCAACCTCTTGAAAATGCATAACACGGCCCGCGTGCGTTTGGGTACCAAGGCCAGTGGCCGTCGTGACGAGCGTGGCGCCGCATGCAATGGTTGTGACTTGCGTGTTCGACGCAGCAAATCCTTTGCGGTGGCAGCTGCGTTATCGACCGAGTAACTCGTGAGTAGCGAGCGTCGGCAGCCGCCGACAGTCCGATCGCATCGATGACACGGCGCTGGTCCCTTTTCACAAGCCGTTCTTGAAGCTGCCGCAGCTGCGAGCGGAAGCGACAGGCGATCTTCCTCCTCCTCCTCGGTGGATTGAACTTTGCATTTCGGTGAGTCGAAAAGTGACACATCTGATATCCACATGTGTAGCTCGCTTACGTACGAGCTCGGAGACGCCGTTCACTTGTCAACGCCAGCGCGATGAGCAGGCGGCTACTTGCAGCTTGTCGCCAGCACCACGCAGCCATCCGCGGCGTGTTGTCAGCGGCGCGCAGCCGCCGAACTGCGTTCAGGTTCGAAGCACTGGCTCGGCGTCCGGATAATCGGCGTCCGGATACCGCATCCTTGAGCCAAACAGCAAAGTGGCAGGATGGCGACTTTGACGAGGTGGGCCGACGCGCCCGGGACGCTCGTCGCCGTCGGCGCCTCCGTGGCCCTCGGCCTCTTCTACGCGGCGTTCCAGCTCCACTTGCTCCCGGTGCCGCTCGCGCGCATTGCTGGACGGCTCTACTTTTACCCGACGCTGCCCTTGACGTACCTTGCGCGGCGCAAGAACTATTTCACGCTCGTCGACTCGCACGTCTTCCTGGGCGCTGTGCCCATTGCCGCGCTCGGCCATGTCGAGCAAATGCACGCGCGGGGCGTCCGCGCGGTCGTCAACCTCTGCGACGAGTACGCTGGGCCGGTTGTGGCGTACCGCAAGCGGGGCATCCAGCAGCTCTGGCTCCCGACCGTCGTACGCTCTCTACATGTATTACGTTACAGCATTAGCTTCACAGGGGATGGTAGGACCACACGGAGCCGTCGCTCGAAGACATTCGCAAGGCGATCGACTTTATCTCGTTCCACAAGGAGCGCGGGTCGCGCGTCTACATCCACTGCAAGGCGGGCGCCGGGCGCAGCGCCACCATCGCGTTCTGCTGGCTCCTCCACGCCAAAGAGACGTGGAACCTCCCCGAGACGCAGCTCTATCTGAGCGTACGGCGCAAGGTACGCAAGACGCTTGGCCAGCAGCCGAATGCCATCGCGTACTTTGCGTCCCTTCGCCCGCCGGTCACATCGCCCGTCTTTCCCGCGACGCTGTCCAAGGCTGGACAATAAAGCGGTGGCAACCTACATAGTGCCTTGCACCCTCTTCTAAGGAGATGGAGGGTTGTGGTTCTAACGTTATAAAACAGAGCTAGGACTCGTAGTAGACACCGTAGCCGCCGAAGCGCAGTTCGCGGTCGTACTTGGCCTTCTCGTGCGGGTCGGAGAGAATGGCATATGCGGCCGTCATGTCCTTGAACAGCACCGCGTCAGCCTCCGACTTGGCCTTATCTAGAAGACCACCCACATAGTCCGACGTCCACTGTCTGCCACCGACGCAGTACCTGGGTGATGTTTCAGTGCGAGCTTTCGGTACGAGATCTTGATCTCGGACGCTGTCGCAGTGATAGGCACGTGCAGCACCTCGTAGTGGGACTTGACGCGCACGGGAGCTTGTGGCTTGTGCGTCTGGTGCCGGTTCCCGCCATTTTGCGACGCCCGACCACCCTTGTTGGACGATGATTTGCTGCCGTAAAAGTAGTCGTTGTACGGGTCGTAGCCGCCACGACGCTCCTGCTGCTTCTGGCGCTCCTTGCGCTGCTTGGCCCGCGCTCGCTCCTGCTGCTCGTACTCGTGCGCGGCGGCCTTGGCTTGCGCAGCGCGCAATTCCGCTGCGAGGGCATCGTGCTCGTCCTGCGTCGCGCTTGCCTCGGTCGCGTCCATGTAGGCGCGGAGGTCGGCGATGCCGTCCTTGAACTTGAGCAAATTTAGCAAACAGCGCGCTTTTCGCAGCAGCGCACGGTAGTAATTTGGCTTGCGCGAGAGCGCATCTTTGCAGTCGGCAATCGCCGGCGTCCACTTGGCCAGCCCCATGAGCGCCGCCGCGCGGTTGCAGAAAAGGACCGCGTTGTACATGTCGTGGTCGGCGTCGAGCCCGAGCCCGGCCGAGTAAAAGTTGATGGCGCGCACGAAGTTGCCGCAGCTGAACGCATCGTTGCCCAGGGCCTAGTCCGCCATCTTGTTGCATGCAACGTTCACTCGGCGTACCTTGGCCTGCTTCATGTCGAGCCAGAGCTGCTTGAGCTTGAGCACATACTTGCTCGTGGGCGCCGCCTCTTCCAGCTCATGGAGCACCGTCTCGGCGTTCTCGACCTAGTTGGCCATTTTACTAGCAGCAAATGTGGACGTCGACTACCTCGTCCAGGTAGTGCAAACTACGTGCGTACTGAAGCCCAAAGTCGATGCCGAGGGCCACGATCGCAGTGTGCAACTGCAGCTGCTGCATGGCATACGCCTTTGCATCCGAAAAGCGCCTAGTACCGTCCCCCGTAGAACACGATATCACGGCAGAGGAGAACGGTGCGACGTACTTGAGGGCCACGAGCGCATTCATCTTCTGGAGCACGAGGTCGCGGCTGTACGGGGCGTACGTAAGGGCGCTTGTCGTTTGCTGCAGCGCTTTCGCCGTCTCGAGCACATCAAAGCACCACTTGGCTTCGTGCAGCGCCGAGACGAACGCCTCGACGTCGCGAATCGCATGGTCGACCTGCGGCTTGTACACGGTCTGCTCTTCGGGACTGGCGTGCGCTAGCAGCTTGTAGACGCCGAGAAAGGTGTTGCGCGCCCGGTCGTGGTCGCCGAGGAGCAAGTGGCACCGCCCGTAGCGCAGATGCGCCTACAAGCATGTGCCAAATCGTACAAGCGCCTTGATAGTCGATGTACCCGAAGGTACGTGGGGTTGAGCGCCATCGCAGCCTCGGCGTCTTGAAGCGCCTCGCGGATCTTGTGCAGCATCATGAAGGCGGCGGCGCGGTTGGCGAGCATCTTGGCGTGTTCTGCCATGACGCGATCGAACGCTGGCTCATCCGCGAGGCTCTCCACGCCGCGGGTGTAGAACTGGGCGGCCGCCAGGTAGTCCTTGCGTTGGTACGCGGCGCTGCCGTCGCGCTTGCACTGAATCCATGCCGGCTCGACCGGCGGCGGCGTCGGTGGAGGCTTTGGAACCGGGGCTGGAGACGGCATCGGGGCTCGTTTTGGACGGGGCACGCGGCGCTTGGCGCCTTTTGTCGATGGTTTGGGCGTAGTACCAAAGGCAAAACCAGGGGCGGGCGGCGGTGTCTCCCACGGCGACTCGAAGAGCTCGCGGTTGCAGTTTCGGAGAGGGCAAATGTTGCCCACTTCAGCGCACGGGGCGCAGAGATGCAAGTCCACAAACACCGTTCGAAGCGCCTGCTGGCAGCACGAGCAATGCACTAGGAATGGTGCGTGCGGCTGCGTGCGCGCGTCGAGTCGGTGGACCTCGCACAGTCGAATGTACTCGCAGTCGGCGCCGTTCGGTGGCGGCTCGTGGACGTTGAACGCCTGGAATTGATGCATGAATGCATCGTCGATCGGTCTACGCAGGTAAGTTTGCGAGGAGCTCCGCAGTAGAAGAATGGGCGTACGCCGAAGTGGTTGGAGGTGTGGTCGCGGGTTGCGGTGGCGCGGAATCAAAGCCATGTCGGCCCGGTCCAGGCGACTGGATCGGACTCGGGGCCGGTTGCGACGCTGGAGGTACCGCAAAGGTGTCTGCCTGAGGCATCGCGAAAGGATCGATCGTGGGACTCGGGGACGATGCAGATCGGACAAACTTTGTCCGGAAGGCAGCATTCAATGCCGCCTGCTTCGTCTTCTTCTTCGAGCTGCCCTTTTCCGGCTTGTTGTCGGGCACGAAGGGATTGGCCGCAGCGACAAAGACGGGCTCGGCCGTGTCCATGGGAATGTCCTCGTCGGGCGCCGCATGGTTGTTACTTGGGAACGCAAAGCCGGTCGGAGGCGGCTGCACGGGCGAGTACGCGGGAGCCGTCGGAAAGGAGGCTGCCGGTGTGCTGAACGCAAACGGTGGCGGTGTCGAGGCCGCAGCCGGCTTTGGTCGCGCGCGCCGTGCACTCGCCTTCTTTGGCTTCGTATCGGTGGTGCCAAAGGAGAAGAGCGGCGGATCGCTCAATGGCGCAAAGGTCGTCGTCGCTGGCATGGCCATCGGGGTGTCGGGGCACTCGTTCTCTGGTGGGTCCGAGTCGTCGCTGGAGCTGTCGCTGTAGTCTACCAAGGTCGGCTCGTCTGCATGAAGCGCCATGAGATCCACTGACGCACGCGATGGCTTCGATCGCACCTGGCATCAACTGCGGGACGAGGCGGCGTGGGATCCAGCAAGGTGAACGTTATCCAAGCAATTCCGGTTGCTTCAGCTCATATCCGGTTGCTCGTATCCGGAGATCGCACCCAAGTTGAAGCTGGGCTTGCACACATGACCAGCATTGGCACCACGATTGGCACCTGCCCTCGACTACGAGGTTGAGTGTCTCGTACGGTCGAGCGTTTCCAGCTTCATTGCCTCAGTCCTTTCAGTGCTTGCAAGCCAACGTTTGGTCAGTTGTGGTATTTAGTTGCTGCTTTAGCGGGAAGAACGAGTGCTGCTGATTCTTGGGTGCAAGCTGGCCACGCATTTTGAAAGATCCGAGACGAACCGACATCACAAGCGTACGGTAGGATCGTCTGGTGCCCCGACGCACGCGGAAGCGTTCGACGCCCGTATTTGCATTTTGCGTATTTTATCGCGGTGCCACGTAGCGCCAGCCGTCCGTCGACCACCCCTCGACCCTCTCCACCGCCTCGACGCCAGAGCATGTAGCTCTCGTGGGCACTTGCGCAGGTGGGAGCCGTGCTTCGCGAGAAATTATATAGTTTTGGGGAAGGCTTGGCGCAGGATCTAAGACAAACGCAAAACAGCACAAAAGACAACAGCAACAAGGCCGCACATGCCATGCCAACTTGCCGTGTGGGACCGCGATGCATCGGCAGCGTTTTCGTAGTCGATTCGACGCCACCTTTCGACCGTGCGACCATGGCGTCGTCTTGCCATGTTGAAGTTGCTAGGACTGTTGAAGCGTTCCCGTTGGGGTTCATTCTGGACTTTGACAAACTGCCGACTCCAGACAATTCAAAAAGCTGAAGATGCAAAAGATGACGGACTCTTTGATGAGTGCCACTCCAGTCGCTCAGAGCTGCCTTCGAGATGGCAGGAGGCTGGACATCCTCGTTCGCGACATGCAGCGCATGGCCTCGCCCGCCGCCCTCCTTGAGGCCCTCCCGCGCAACGACCTCTACGATTCAGCCAAAAGGGGGCGAAGACGCGCCGAGCACCGAGGACTTAAGGTGGGCGCGGCGTCGTGGACTCTTCTGGCGACTACTAGCTTGTTGAATAGGAAGCGCGATGAATGCCAACAAGCAAGATTTCTTGAAATTTCAGTGCTGGGCCACTGGTGCTGCGCCAGTGTAATGCACAAACGTTAACGTGCACAAACAGGACAACTCACATTGGAGACGGGAGGTCTGGAATCATCGGGCGCGCCAACAGATTCTGTGCAAAGTGATGTGCGACTCGCCTGCTTTACGCGGGCAATAAGGAAGACGAGGCTGTTGTCAGACGCATTACCACAAGACACATCTTGAAACGAAGTCGCTGGGCATGAGAAAAGCGGGCTGGAAACAAGAATATCGGGCGATGTTGGACTCGACGCGTTTGTCAAGCCGGCGTACACGCGTTGGTGCCTACATCGATTCGTACACTGTGGCATTCGGCCGTCGCTCTCAGAGGCTTTCCGCAAAAGCGTCAACGTAACCAGCAACACGACAGATTCGTACACCGAGTGCACCAAAGTCGGTGAGACCTCACGCAATGGTCGTCGGCCTTCGAGGAAGCGCGGCAGACACAGTCCAGTACATTCAATCGCTATCAGCAAGGCCATGAATACCAAGCACTGAGCGCCAAGAAACATAGAAAGCGTGTGCATTCCATGCCAATTCGAGGTTATTCGGGTTGTTGTGTACCCTAAACAAACCTCCCAGCTGCCATTTGATAACTCGTTTCGAGATTTCTCTGCACAAGTTAGTGTCGTTTGGTTGAAACATCGCCACCAAACAGCCAAATTTCACCAATCATTTGTCTTCCCGTGCATTCGCAAGGAAAGGTTACGTGTTATCTTGTCTGCATGCTCGTTGATTTGGCACCTGATGGAGTACTAGAAAACTACAGTTTGCAGTTTGCCTGTAGACACGACGGGCAGTTCAACAGATCTGGACGGCCCTCTGCCAATTGACAGTGTCACATGCAACACATGGTCCCACCAGGTGGATCGCACCCTCGCGGTTTGGCACGTCGCGTCATTCCGTAATTGTTGCACTCATGGCAGAAGCGTGCCTCTACGCAGCCCTCGCCGTCAAGTCGATCCTCGTGAGCTCGTCGCTTTGCGGGTCGGCCACGACGCCATGCCTTGTGTCGCCCACGTGCACCCTCCTCGGAAGCGCACCGCCGACGCAAGCGACCAACGGCGTCTTCTACTCGGCCGACGCTGTCGGCGACATGGCTGGTTTCAATGGCAACTCGTTGTGAGTGCTTCCACGCTGAAACGCGTCAACTCATGACGTCCTTTTAGATTTGTCAAGTCGAACACGACCAAATTCATGGACATGTCCCTCATGGCGTTGCCATCGAGCTTGACTAGCTTGTAGTACTTTTACTGATATGCGGTGGAATCTCATAACGTGTATTAGGTTGGCCCACCCACAATCTCCTCGCAACGTCTCATCTCTACTTCTTGCATAGCAAAGCAACCTTGTTTGCGGACATTCCAGACAATTTTGAATGGCCCAAGGGGCTCACGTGGCTGTACGCCGCGGCGCGCATTCCACTCGACTCATCGTGAGACCGTAGGTCTCTTGACAATGGCGTCTTGAACGACGTCCCCGCCAACCTCCCAACGGCAGTGAACCACATGTACGATCTCAACACGGATATCAACGACAGGTAGCTCACTATGCTTTGTCTAGTGAGTTTGGCAACGTGAACTGGTCGTCCATGCCGGCCATCCAGCCGAGATGGGACTATCTGTATGCTAAGAACACTGACTCGTCCTTACAGGCTTGTAGGAGCCTCTCGACCAACAAAATTGTGAACGTCACCAACGTCGACCTCTCCAACTTTACCTTCTTGTACACTGCTACGACGAATTCTGGTTCTCATATATTCCGATAGCTCGGTGTACGACAACAAACTCAAGGACTTCGCCAACGTGACCTTCTCGTCCAAGCTTGTCTACCTGTAGAACCAGACTGGTCTGCATATCAGATCTGAGAACGTGTTGTGTAGGGGTCTCTCTGGGAACCTCCAGACCTTTACCGTGTCGAGAGCGACCTACAACGTCCTCAACGCCATGCGCAAGTATGTACCCGGGAAAGGCTACGTCGGCTACGAGCTCCAAGACGGCAACTTCCGCACGAATATCAACGCCGCCACATGCAAGAGCATTGGTGGCATCGTCGAGCCCATTTTTACGTCAAGTCTCACTTCGCATCAAGCGTGTGTGCTGCCAGGTACAACATTCTTCCTCTCGATCAACCATATCTTATATATCTCTATTTTACCCTAGACCCGACACCCAGCCCCACCACCGTCGTGCCGACCGCAGCCCCGACAATGGCGCCCAATGAAACTACCTCGTCCAGTACGTTGCCGATGACGCATTTCCATCAAAAATGGGACTTTCTTGTAGACACAAGTGCTGTGCTCGGTGCCGGTGTCGCCGTCGCGATCGTTGTGCTGCTTCTGGGCGCCTACTGCCTCTGGAAGCGCCGCAAGACATCGTCCGATGCCTCGGCCGATGCCTACTTCCATCGAGCACCCAACCGCAAGTCGACTGGCGCCAGCGAGGTCACGGGATCGATGCCCTCTGGTGACAACGCGCGCCGGCACTTTGACGTCGACCTCACGAGTCTTCGCATGCTGCGCCTTGAAATGACCGACTTGATTGTCAACAGCAGCGCGCCAATCGCCGCCGGGGCGCACGGCGAAGTCTGGTATGGCACGTACGCTGGTCAGCCCGTCGCCATCAAGCGCACCAAAGACAAGTCGTCCAAAGCCATGGCGAAAATGTCGTCCGAGATTCTCCTCCTCGCCAGGTTTTCAATTACCATGCAGGGCTCCTGGATCTGACATGGCACACTTGTAGAATCCAGTGTCCGTACGTTGTGGCACTTGTCGGTGCCAACTGGAGTCGGCCCTCGGACCTCGAATGCGTCGTTGAGTACATGAACCTCGGCGACCTCCGCGCGTTTCTCGCAGCAACACCCGCCAGCAGCTTCCCGTGGACGCACAAGCAAGCGAGCATCTTGCACGTGGTCTATGGCCTTATTTACCTCCACACGTTCGAGACGCCCATCATCCACCGCGATCTCAAGTCCCGAAACGTGCTCTTGGATACTATCAAAGGCACCAAGCTCACCGACTTTGGCGAGTCGCGCGAAATGGACGAGAACACGCTCACGAACGGCATTGGCACGTACCAGTGGATGGCGCCCGAGATCTTCTCGGGCCACGACTACTCGACGGCGGCGGATGTCTACTCGTTTGGTACACCTCTCTTTCTTAGGGGTAGGTTCTCATAGTAGGGCTAGGGGTGCTGCTGTCCGAGTACTCGACGCACCGCGTGCCGTACATGGATGCGATCAACCCACCCACGAACCGCCCAATGAACCAGCAGTTTGTGATGGCCCAAGTCATGGCAGGCCAGATTCGCCCGACGTTTGACACGACGACGACGCCGCCGTGGGTCCTCGACCTCGCCAACCAGTGCTTGGCATTTGACCCGGCCGACCGTCCGTCCATGCTGCAGATTGAAAACATGATTCCCAAGACACTCGCACTCTAGTAGATAGTCCGCATCCCAACGTTCGCGAACAAACTAGAGACAACTGTGCGTAGTAGTACATTGGAAACGCGCGATATCGCCAACTTGAAGAGCACGAAGGACAAGAACGTCGTGGACCGCATAAAGCACAAACTCTGCATGGCGCGGCGTCAGGACACAGACGACGCAGTATGATAACAGAGCATGTCATTGACACCCAACACGCAACACAGCGAGCGTCGCGATACCGGTACCAGAAGCACTAGAAGCAACACCGGCGGTGACGTCGCGGCGCGCCACGCGAGTCATGAATATAGTGCCGTCCACGAACGATCTCAAGGTCTGTAGGCGTTGCATGATTCAATGTCGAGGGTCGGATACACCGGCGCTCTTGGCGCAACTCGTGAGTGGCATTGTCTATTGTTCCATATTTCGAATGTACACTAGGACAATGTATGAGCTGGACTATACGAGTAGTGACGATCCCGCCTTCTTGTGTTGCTGGTGCAGTCGCAAGGGTGAGCTGCAAGGATAGTGTTCAGAAGCGTGAACGCCCAGCATCGTTGCATGGTCGACAGCCCCATGCACCGCGATCACTCCACGTGGCCAGAAGGCGGTGACTAAACCCACGCAACGTTCGGTGCTGCTCCGTAGTGTCTGCCCACGAAAGACATGTCGAAACTATTGCATCCATTTCCTTGTATTCTACTAGTGCTTGTGGGTATTTATTCAAAGCAATTGAGTGTTCATGGCGCGAGCACTCGCGCTTGATGGACATTGAAGCCGTCCTAAGTTGCGTGCGTTTCGCCAGTGCGCCGACACGTGGCCGCTTGCGTTCGAAGTGGACGGGGCGACACTCCACTTTAATACAAATATCAAGTGTAAGAGGGCGGGCGACATGGCGACCTGGCTTCGAACTTCGAGACCCACGAAGATCCAAAGGTTCGAAGTGTGGCCAATCGTACATTTGAGCGAGTCCACGCACAAGTGGCATGCGCTTCTGGACCCTTGCGCTCCTGGCGCCGCTGGTACGTCGTCGTCGCCGAGGAGAATGGTCTCATAGCATCGACGTACGTAGCTGGCTCAAGTGGCGCCGCAGAAAACCGAGGCCAACAAGCTCCAGATTGCGGCCGAGAATGCATTCGCAAGCGGCGATCTAAAGAAGGTAGGCAACGTGCACGGACTCGCTGGCACCTCATGCCGCCCAGGCCATCTCGCTCTTCACGCAAGTCATTGACCTTGATCCGAACGAGCGCGTCTACTACAAGCGGTACCGCGCCTACTTGAGCGATCGCAAGTACGGGTCCGCCTTGGCAGACCTCACGTCGGCCGTCACGTTCAAGCCGACGTACACGCAGGTGGGCCGAGCATGCTATATCGGAGCTCAATGCTCATGCAAAGATCCCATTGCTAGGGCTTTCTGCAGCGCGGGCGGCTGAACCTCATGATTGGCAACTGCGCCGACGCAGTCGCGGATTTCTCCGCCGTCCTCAGGTACGATGGCACACTTCCACCACGAGCACAACCTCATCCCCTTATCCTTGTAGCCTCGAGCCCAGCAACGGTCCCGCGAGCGAAAGCTTGAGCAAGAGCCGCGAGTGCGCGCAGCTGCTCGCCGATGCGACCGCAGCGCAGGTAGCCTTCTACCTCCATCGCTTCTGCCTCTAAGTGGCGATGCGCAGCAACGTGGGGACTATGCGAATGCCCATCGGTTCCTCTCGGGTGCAATTGACGCCCACGCAATCTCGAGTGCGCAGCTTCTCCTGCAGCGCGCCGAGCTTAGGTACAGAAACACCAGCAACACCGTCTTCGTCACCATCGTCTGCGATACTAGCCGTGCGATGGGCCAAACCTTCGACTTGATTTCGGACACGGGCAGCGTCCTGCGCATCGACTCGGCCAACGTGCGCGCGCTCACGATGCGCGGCCAGGCGTACTACTCGCTCGGCGACGTCCAGTCGCTCGAAGCGGCCCTTACGCACTACCGTCAAGGGCTGCACTCAGACCCGGAGCACAAGGAGATGAAGGCCATGTTCCGCAAGGTACCATGCCATATGCTCCAACTAAAGACTCAAGAGACGCGAACAGCTCAAGAAGCTGCTCAAGTGGATGCAGTCGTCGACGAACGCGATGGAGTCGGGCCGGTAGTCGACCCAGTCGAGCAATCTCGTCTAGGTCTTGACGATTCGGGTAGGTACGACGACGCGGTCGAGGACCTCGAGCTTGCGGTCGCCGAAGACCCGCACCACGATACGCTCAACAAGGACCTCAACTTCAAGCTCTGCGCGAGCTATAACCATATCGCCAAGTACACGCTCGCCAAGGCTGCATGCTCCGAGGTACGGCCCTCTCGTGCGAGATATTTGTATCAAATTATCAATTCTAGACTCTGCGTGTGGACCCCAACCATGCCGCCGCACACTCCAAGCTCGGCGACGTGCTCATCAACTTGGAAGAGTACGACGAAGCCGTGCGCCACCACAAGCGCGCGTGCGAGCTCGACGGCGACAACCGCGCGGTACGTCCTTCGTATACACCCAAGTGCCATCAGGCTCATCGTACTTCTGGCGTAGTTCCAAGAGGGCTTGCAGCGGGCAGAGACGGCGCTCAAGCAGAGCAAGAGCAAGAACTACTACAAGATCTTGGATGTGGCCCGGGACGCGTCGAGCCAAGCCATCAAGAAGGCGTACCGCAAGAAGGCGCTCGAGTGGCACCCCGACAAGCACGCCGACCGCGGCGTACGTTGTCCCGTCATCATTGCCCTGGCGGATGGAGGCCTCACGGCATCATACTAGGAGGAGGCATCGGAAGCCGCCAACAAGAAATTCCAAGAAGTGGCCGAAGCGTACGAGATTCTCTCCAACGAAGAGACGCGCGCCCGGTACGATCGCGGCGAAGACGTGAGCGGCAACGGCCAGCAGCAGCAGCAGCACAACCCGTTCCAGCACTTTCAGCAAGGCGGCCGCAATTTCCATTTCCAGTGGGGCTAACCATCTCGATGCTCAACCGCTCCATCCACCTCATCATCATATTGCGTCGATAACGCGAAACATGGAGCCAACTGTTGTCGTCTTGCTGTAGTAGCACCGTCATGCCCACGTGTAGTCCTAGTACATGCAGAGCGGTCGGCGCAGGACTGCCACTCACAATCCGACGGCGGCAACGTTTGATGGTGTGAAACAGAGGCTGGTGCAGTGCTGCGCAACCACGCGAGTTGCGTGGCAAGTGGCAGGCGCCTCTGGGCACCCCGAGGCTGCGCATGGGCCGGGAAGCCGCCACGAGACAGGCAGCAGTGGCAGGCGTGCGTCATCGGCAGACATCGGCCTTCCTTCGTTTCTCAGCAAACAACCCGACTGGTTATCCTCTGCAAGTGAATATTGTATCGGGAAATACAGGATTTCGAGCCCACGATGGCTGCCCCGTGCCACCAGCTGGACCGCCATGCTCGACACAGGTCGCATGCTGGCGCTAGCGCCGGTCAAGAAGAAGTACAACAAGCGCACGTACAACCGCGAGCGCCAGCGCATGCTGCAGCTGGAGCGCGTTAAGGAGCTCACGTCGCTCAAGCAGCAGATCGCAGACCTCGAGAAGACGATGGCCGGCTTCTCGGGCCAACTCCCGGCGCTGGCCCGCGTCGCGTCCACGGCCATGGGCCCGCTCTCGTGGCGTGACATTGCCGGCGCGCTCAACGAGGCAACGCTCGACTCAAGTGTACTCCACGCATCACTCCGGCGCAAGGTCGCCCGCCAAGACGAGCTCGTGCGCCACATGTCCAAGTGGGTGACCTCCATGCTCCGTGTCGAGGTATTCCGCCATGCTACCTATGCGCGCCTACGAGGTCATTGACACGCCGAGTAGAAGCCACTGGACTTTGCCGACGCGTTCTGGAAGAACATTTCGCTCACCGAGGACCCGGACTCGCGCAAGCTCGGGTGCGAGTGGATAGCAGATCACTTGTTTCACAACACGGACAAGACGTTCCAGCAGTGCGGGTTTCCGGACCCGAGCTGCCTCGCCGAGTTTCACCACTTCAATCTGGTCGTTGACGAGCACGAGCGCTGCCAGTATGGCTGGAACAAGCAGCGGCTCCTGCCCGTCTCGTTTGAGAACGCCAGCCGCGCCTTCCAAAAGATCCACGTCGACAACTCGATGGGCCTTGGCCAGCGCGACTTTCTCGACGACAGTGTACGCACAGCGCATCATCCTTCTCGTTCTCATAACTCAGATCGTATATCTAGCTGCTGCAGACGGACGCCAAGCGCATCGACTACAGCCGGCACTCGTTCGTGCTGCCGGACCGGAACGGCCCGCGCGTCGACTGGGAAAACTGGCTCTGCGGCGAGTACCTCGCAAAAGACCGGTATGTGTTTGTCATGCGGAGTATTCACGCGGACCCCAAGTACCCGATTGGCACCGTGCAGCGGAACCGCATGACGTGGTAGCGTCACACACCTTGTTGGCTATGGCTACACAACGATTAGGGTTGTGGTCGACCGGATCGGTCCGTTGACGACGCGGACGCGGGAGTTTATGACGCTCTCCAACTACTGGACGAAAGAGCGCGGCAACCTCTCGCTGGACCAAGAGGCGCGGTCATGGGGCTGCAAGCTCCAGAATGTCCCGGACCACCTCAAGTACCAGACCTTCAAGCAGCACATGCAGCGCGGTGGGGACATCCACGCCGAAAAGTTTACCAAGCAACTCTTGGCGGCCATCGAGAGCACGCGCGCGCAGTCGCCATAATGTACACGATGTATCTTGTATTTGGCATACGTGGCAAGACGCCGTGATGAGATTAGTGTACTCATGTGTGGCAATTCCAGAGTGTTGGTGCAACCCAGAAATTTCACACGTCGACGCTTATTTTTACAGAGCCGTCCACACAAGCATGAGCCTGCCGCCCAACTGGACCGCGTACAAGACCGCGGACGGCAAGGTTTGCTGCCTGCGCTGAGAGAGCGCCACGTCATGTGCCTTCCCAATAGGAGTACTACTACAACGCGCAGACCAAGGTCACGACGTGGGACCGGCCTGCGCCCATCGCGTCGGCCAAGCCCGCAGCCGCACCGAGCCCGGCGCCAAGTGGTGGCGCGGGCCGCGGCAGCCTCCTCGCACAGATCGAGCAAGGAAAGAAACTGAAAAAGGTGACGACGCGAGAAAGCGCGCCCCTCGCCGCTGTCGAGCCTCCATCGTCGTCGTCGTCGGGCGGTGGCAACCCCCTCTTTGCCGCGATTGCAGGCGGCGCCGCCAACCTCAAAAAGACCAACCGCGGGTCGCCGTCGCACGCGGTTGCGCCTACCAACAACGATGCAAGTCCGAGCAACGGCAGCAGTAGCGGCGGTGGTGGCTTTGCCGAGATCATGCGCAAGAATCGCGCGGCAGCGGCCCGGAAAGCGTCGTCGTCGGGGGCGCCCTTGAGCAACGGCAGCAGCTCGAGCACTGCGAGCCCCGTCACGCCAACACCGACGCCGATGCCGGCCTACCGCAAGTCGGTTTCGATGGTGCCATCCGGGTCCTTGACCAACCTTCTCGCCGCCGAGGGCGGGTCCGGTCCACTCGAAGAGCAGCTCAACCGGATTGAAGCCAAGCTCGACAAGATTATGGCCGCGCTCAACCTTGCCTAATCATCAAACACCATTCAACACATACAAAAGGACTACCAACGTATTTTCTCATAAAAAGCGGATTCGAGACTAGGGCAGCGACGGCTGGCATGCATAGTGCAGGAGCGTGCCTTCGTCCTTGTCGTAGAGGAAGGCGCCGCGCTCGAGCTTCCGGCTGCAGACCGCGCACGTTGACTGGGCAGAGATGTCGACCGATTCTTGCTGCGCGGCGTGGAGCTGCGATCGCACGTGGAGGTTCTCGATCTTGAGCAGCTGCGTCTGGACCTGCGCCGTGCGGCGCGCCTCGACCTTGAGCTCGAGGACACGCTGGAGGTACGCACTGAGGGCCGCGGCTTCCGTGCCGGGCGGCAATAGCTCCAGCGCCGTCGCGACGTCGATCGTCGCCGCGTGGCGCAGCATAAACTTGGCGACAAACGCGAGCCCAATCGATGAGAGGACGTGGTTGCTCATGCGATACGGCGACGTCTTGGCCGACGGCGGACGCATGTACGTCTGGAGAAAGAGCGTGTAGATGGACGCGTCGCCGACTTTGGAGGCATAAACGTCGTTGCAGTAGGCCTCGGCGACGGCCGCGTCCTTGATCTCGTGCAAGTAGAGCCGCAGCACCTCTTCGTGGCGACCCATGTTGGCGAGCAGGACCGCGCGCTCCTCGATCATCTCCATGGGCGTGCGGCTCAAGAGACGTTCCGGGTGGTGCTGGCTCAATGGCGACTGCAGAAACGCGAGGAGCTGGCGCCGCAGCGCGCCGAGACGTCCTTTCTGCATGCGCACGCGCGTATGAAACACAATGAGCGACTGCTGGTCGCGCTTCTTCTTGAGGAGCAGACTCACGTGGTCATTGATCGCATCGAGAAGTAGGTACACGAGTTCGTCGTGGAGCGTCGACGGCACCGAGCTCCCGTTGGCGTAAATGACTTGGTGAAGGTATGCGATCGCGAGCGCGCGGCCGTCGTCGAGCGGCATCTCGTCGTCCCCGTCCGGTGGCGAGCTCACTTCGATCGACTTGAGGTGGTCGACAATCAAATGCGGGTCCAAGTCGACCTCGGGCGATGGCACGAGCCGGTGCGTAAAGATCGAGAGACCGAGCGATGGCGCCGACTGCAGCAATGGCTTGGAAAACTCAAACACGAGCGGCGCATCTGCCAGTGTCTTGAGGTACGCGACCATCTCGCGACGCGGGTCTTTCTTGGCGCTAACAGCATTCGCCTGGAGCTCTTCGAGAAGCTCCAGGCCCTTGCGGTGCAGACGCTGCGCCTGGTAAAACGCAAGGAGCGCTTGCCACTTGGCGTGGGCGCGCAAAAACACTTCGGCTTCGCCGACATCCGCCGCGCTTGGCGAGATACCGCAAAAGACGGTGAGCGCCGCATCGTTGGTGAGAACGTACGCCTTGAGCAAGACCGTGTCGACGAGCGACGCCGCGTCGTCGTACTGGATCTTGGCGAGCCCTACGATGCAAGTACGACGTTCGCGATAGCTCGGGGATGGATTCTGTTAACCTTGCCGAGGCAGCGCCCGGTACGCGACGAGAAATTGCACAAGGGCCGTGAGCGCCGCGCTGAGTGTGTCGCCGGCGAGCGCTACCGAGGGCCGCGGTAGCGTGGCCATCGCCAACCGATGCCGGCTGCGCGGCAAGAGCTCTTCAGGAAAGAGCGCGAGGACCTCCTCGGCGGGCACGTGGCTTGCGAGAAAGTTGTCCATCGCTTGGCTGAACGCGTGGCGTTCAAACTGCTGCAAAGCGAGCTGGAGGTGGATGGCCCGAAGGTCGTCGTTCGGGAGGTGGCACTCGACGGGGCAGAGACGGCAAAGGTCGATTGCTTCTTGATACCTACGTACATATACTTTTGTTGACAGCTGTGGGACATCGCAATAAAAGGTACCGCCCGGCGTCCAAATGCAAGCGAAGTTGGTCGCTTAGCGGGGCCATGCGCAGCGCGGCAAAGGCAAAGGGTCCCGTCACCACGAGGACCGCCGGCGGCGCGGTCACCGAGGCAGTCTGCGCTTGGGAGAGGAGCGGGGTGAAGAACACAGCCCCCTTGATCGCAACGCTCTGGACGATCTGGAACGAGAGAAGCACGTCGATATGTTCGGCGTATGCGACGAGAAGGAAAGGGTGGTGCCCAAGAACGGCCTTGGGCGGACCCGCACCTGCCGGCCATGGCAATGGCGGCCCCGTCGTCACGACAGCGTACTCGGAGCGGTCGTAGCGCAGCGCGATTCCGTGCGTACGCCACTGCACGAAGAAATCGTCTTGAGCGGGCGACAGGCCCGGAAGGCGGACCGCGGCGAGCACGGGGTCGCGGCAGTCGGGCGGCAGATCAAGGGATCGCCCCGTATCCAGATGGAAGAGCGTTGTCTTGCGCTTGTAGACGAGCACGGCCATGTCGCTCGAGAGGCAGAGGACGCTCTGGAGTGTGCTTGGCTTGTCGGGCACCTCGTGCGTCGAGCGCGGAAGGAGCTTGGCGTTCTTCCGACTCCAGTCGTACACGAGGAGCGAATGCTGCTTCGTCGCACATACCAAGGTCCCCGAATGCTCGTGCGCCGAGAAGAAGACGGTGCCTTTCGTCTCGTCCAAAGGTGTGGCAGCCACGTCCTTGGGCAGCGGAAGTGCTACGAGCGCGAGCTTGGCATCGACGATCGTCACGCTGACGCCCCACGCGTCCAACAACTGGGTGCTATCGTGGTAGACCTTTTTCGATTGCTGCTGGAAGCGAAGAGAAATGGGCTCGGACGACGTGGTCGATGGCAAGGTCGTCGTGAAGGAATGGAGGTTGCTGGACCCATCGCCCATGCAGACGGTCGCCGCCAAGGGGCTCGTCGACGGGCCCTTGAGGCTCACGAGAACGCGCTCGGCCTTCTTGCAGCCGCGGTAGGACCGGTCGTTCTCGACCTCGAGGACGTCGTAGGCCGTGGACATGGCGTGCTCAGCTGGCGTGCTCGCGATCCAAATTTCGCACTTGAGGTTGGACCGTCGAAAAGGGGCTGAACGCACGCAACTTTCTCCATCAACCCGGCGCCCGTGGGGCCACGCCCAGCTGGGCCACACCGACGCGATTGAGATCGCCTGCTGCGACAGTGGCGGTGACCCACCACACTGGATCTACTTCCGAGAGTCGTACAGCTCTGGGCGTCTAGGGAGGTGCGTGCAGACGACCCTAAGGTGATTAGTTGCGTGAAAATAGAAGCCGATTTGGACAGCAAAGGAAGCATCAAACTTTAGGATTAAAATATGAAATCGGAGCTCCGATCAAGCGAAACTCGGATCGAACTACACTCTAATTGTGCACTCGGACCACCTACTTCTTGGCGCTGGCACGAGTCGTCTTCTTGGCCGGCGCAGCCGCCGCGACCTTCTTGGGCGCAGCCTTCTTGACCGGGACAACCTTCTTGGCCGCGGCCGCCTTCTTGGCAGGCGCAGCTTCCTTCTTGGCAGGCGCAGCTTCCTTCTTGGCAGGCACAGCTTCCTCCTTGGCGACCTCCTCCTTGGCAGCCTCCTTCACCGGGGTAGCCTTCTTGACAGCTTCCTTCTTGGCGGGGGCTTCCTTCTTGGCGGGGGCTTCCTTCTTGGCGGGGG